GACTGTATCAGATTGGCGAAAATTTGCCTGGTAAATTGGTTAGATATAACTAGAACCTCCAATGGGCTGCTGGTCTCTATCGTTCAAAATAAGTCTGAAATATGAAAACAACTTAGAGCCTTGACGGGGGTTGACTGAAGTTCGCTAGACAAAGAATAGTATGACCCTGAGAAGTAAATGTGTTTATCATACCTGTTTTAGCATGCGGTTCTATTAGCCCTCTCTTTGTATATATAATCCACAAACTCGTCTAGATCGAGGGATTACATGTAGCCTCGCTGTTGTATATTCACAAAAATAACATGCATCGTGGCCTACAACTCTAAAATGACCAACCTACCAGAACTATTTGCGAAAGGTCGACCTGTTCATTCTTTGGACATCGCCACCGTTTTCAAAATGGCGTTGATAGACCACAAAATAGTACGATATATGCGATAGACTGCGCAAATAGACCCAAGGCTTGAAGTGTCATGTAATTTTGATTGCGTGAGGTAGAGTATCAGGTTAGGTTTAGGACAGATGGAAGAGAAAAGGAATAGCCGGGCCTAATTTATTCGTAAAACAAGATTTACTCCTGAGCGAAAGTCTCGGCACCACCCTCAGCCTCTGCGGCCTGCTGCTCAGCCTGACGCTGCTGCTCAGCGAGCTGCTGGGCGGCAAGGGCCTTAGCACCGTAGTCCTGCGACATGGGCTGGAGGACGGGCTGCTCCTCCTTGGGTTCGATGATGGTAACCGAGTCGGGGAGAGTCTTCTGGGGGCCGGCCTTGCCCTCGGGGTCGGAGCCGCGCATGATCTTAACCTTGATACCGAGGACACCCTGGCGGAGGAGAACGTGACGGGTAGCGGAGTCGATGAACTCCTTGGCGGGCTGACCGGAGTGGATCATGAAGCCGTCCTGTTGAAATTTGTTAGCCATTGATTCTCCCTTGGAATAGTTGTTCAGACGAAAAAAGGCTTGCGCATCGGTGAACAGCCATGACTGATTCATCGCAGTCATTCTCCAATGCGCAAAACCAACAATTTCTTCTAATATCGGTGTGAACGTACGGTGAACTTCATGGACTTGGCACGGGCGGCACGGAGCTTTCCGGAGACGACAACCTCGCAACCCTTGGCACCGGACTCCATGATGAAACGGAGGACACCGTAGCAGGCACGACGGACGGCGAGACCGTTCAGGAGCTTGTAGCGGAGGGACTCGCACTGAGCGACAGCGGAGAGACCGCGGTTCTGGACCTTGGCGGCGTAGAGCGAGACAGAGTTCTCGGGGAACTTGAAACGCTTCTGGATGAGGGAGGTGAGCTCGCGGATGCGGCGACCCTGCTCACCGAGAACCTCCTGGGTGTGGGTGGCACGGACGACTGGAAGAAAAAAGAGCACCCGTTAGCATCAGATTGTCCCAATATTCGATTTTCGATATCCGCAGATCCTTCGCGATCATATTGAACCATTCTCTCAGCATTCCACCTCTTCAAGATCCAACAAGTCCAATTTCACCAAACGATCAACGGGAAGGATGGGATAAAAGTGTCGGGGCGACGTACTGATGTCGGTGACAGTGGGAGTCACACGGACTTCAACGCCGGAGTAGCCCTCCTCGGCCAGCTCGCGCTGGAAGAACTCGTTCAACTCGGCATAGAAGACACCGTCGGCGACGAACTTTCTGCGCTTGGAGATAGCACCCTGAACAGCGGCCATTTTGACGTTCCTGGTGGTGGTGGAATTTGTCGACGGAGGGGGAGGTCGTGGTCGAGAGAGGCTTCAATTCTGAGAGTGCATTATTTAGTGGGGATTTTTCGGGACTAGGGTTGATTGCCCGTTTGGGTCAGGGCTCAACCCTCGCTTGCCGCCGCCTTCCCTGTTTAGGATTAGCTTTGATTGCCTCATATATTGGGCTACAAGGCAGAAAGGCAGCAAGGTTTCAACGTTACATCATTGGTCTCGAACCCTATTTTCATCTACGAAGTGAATGCTCGTCGCCGTAGGATTCCTGGTATATCCAATGACATATGCATTGGTTTCCAGATAATCTGATATTTCAGGCTATGCCGCCTATCACCATGTACACGGCCATAAGATACATCAAAGTCGTAAATGCCAAATCTCAAAATCTTAAAAACTAATCAGCCCGATCAACACACGTGTTATTGCATCTCTACTCCCAGCTCTTTCATTTTATCAGTGTCAGAGCTGCGCTCCGAGGCTGTCGGCAAGGTAAGCTTAGAGATACCAGACGCTACAGCCGCCATTCCTGCTGATGCGGCATCCGGTAAAGTTTTCGCGGGCACTCCGTTGTAAACCGACTGGTCCGCAGTTTCGATGCCGGTCAATATCGGAGTTCTCCCTCCATTGGGACTATCGGTAGGAGCGGCTGCTGGTGCAGTTGCAGAAGGACGAGGTCCATTCATCTCTGCATCTGTTCGACCGAATACTTCATTCCACCATCGCGTTTCACTAACTCGGGGGAAGATGAGCCGTTCTTTGCCGCGCATATGGTCATCGATATCAGGATCGTACTGAGGGTTCGTAAACTGATCTCGTCGAGCGAGGAAGTAGTCCCAAACGCTACGAGTTCGTTCCCGGGCCTTGGAATCCACGCGCTCTTTCTCGTTGTTAAACAAAAATGTACCAAACTGACAAGAGTATAAATGATAAAGTAACCGTCGAAGGAAACGTTCGTTGAACTCAAATCGAGTCGGATGCTGGTGAAGCAGCTGATATGTCGCGTCCAAGAACTGATGGAAAACAGGGCTTGTCTCTTTCGGTTTGGTTATCTCTTTCTCGGAGACAGTTGATCGTGGTGTAGGGCTAGCCTTTTTCCCAGCTGGGCTATCGGAATCGTAGCTCTGCATCTCTCCATCGGAGTCAGGCAACGAGTCTCGACTGTTATTATCCCGGCCAAAGAAGCCTTTCGCGCTAAGGAAGGCGTTTTCAAGGGCTTTCCCAGCGCCGCCTCCCTCGCCGAATGCACGATTGGGGTCTCCACCAATGCGCTCGTTCTCAATCTGGAACCATTTTTCGCTGTTCAAATGACCCGATCGGTGTCGGAACATATGCCCAAATGAAAGCCAATCTTTCTCCACGAGAACCATGAAGCCTTCCAAAGTCCGATAGTACGGATCCAGACAAATTTGACTCAATGCACTGAGCTGACTTGTGCGGTCCCATCCATCTGAGCAGTGGATTAGCACATGGGAGTGGGTTAGGCCAACCTGACGAGTGATCAGTCTAGCGCCCTCTAAAATCCCACCGATGTGCTTGAGCCAGCCGCTGCGGGCCAACTGGTCGCGATTTGGGCCTAGTGGGGTAACATCCGAATCCTTCAAGGCATCTATGACCTTGTTCAACGAGTCTCGCATGACATGGATGTTGTCAATACCAAGATATGCCTTGGTAGCGAACTTGTAGTTGTCCATGTTCTCAGAGCCGAGTCCAACGGCTTGCATGGCAAACGCATTAACAGTAGGGCGTGCGTCCACAATCAAATTTGATTGCTGGGCTCCGTAAATCGCGCGCTGTTCCTCAATATCGCCGTCTGTAGCAGCCAGCAAGTCATCCTCCAAGTCCTCGGCGTTGGTCGGCTCGGGGATTACCACCTGGCTTGTCTCTGGGCTATCAGGACTCGAGTCCGATGATTCTTTCTCCAAAGGAGGTGAGGAGAAGCTCGCTAATGGCCGCTCAGATCGAGAGGTCAAGAATATGGCGGAAAGAAGCTTCTCATCTTGAATGCTTCGGTTCTGTCGGACACCGACCAGCGGCTGCGAGCTCCTGGTGATTGTGCAATTATTGACAGGGTGGAAATATGTTAAAGCTGGGATTCTCGCTCGGGATCGGTAGCGTCCTGCATAGTTGAGAGTATTATCGGAGATGGAAGAGGGTACGGGGATGATGGCGGGATAGGTTGGGGAGAACTGCAAGCTCGGTTAGCAAAGCGTATTCTACTAAACGCGGGACCGAAGAAGGTATCTTACTTCGTAGTTCGCATTTATCTCAGAGAGTCGCCAACGTGAGCCTTCATTCAAAATGCCCTGGCGCGCCCATTCTTTGCGCGGGTCATACAAATCCCACCCATTGAATTCCTTCTCTGGTGGGGGAGGCTGATAGGTAAAGGCATATAGTTTGTCGATCCGGCTGGATTTGCACGTCCATTGCTTGATGCTCTCAAAAACTTCACGTGCTTTGACTTCGTTAACAAAGTAGAAGCAGACATAAGTGAAGTCTCGGCATCGAAGGCGGATGGAGGAGAGCTGGCGGGAGGCTGCAGGAGCCGGGCGCAGGGTACAGAAAGCGATGATGGGGTATGTAAACCAGAGCTCTCTAGGTCTGACTACCACACCCTTTACCTGGTCTTCGGCGGAAATCGTGGGTGTGTGCGAGAAAATAAGGTGGTGAGGGGTGAGATGGAGGGTACCATCGACCTGCTCACCGCGGCGAGCCAAGGTCACATTGTCAACCTGGAGAGACATAGCGAGTGAGTGAGATGTTTGTGTCGCTTAGATTGGGACCTTGGAACCTTGGCAACCCGTGTTTTCTCCATGCCGTCTTAAATCACTGGCTGCACGCGCTCTTCATGCTGAGGGGAACAGTGGGTGAATGTATCGGAATGAGGCGATGTCGCGAATAACGGGAGATCGACAGAAAAATGACGTTTAAACAATGAGGCGGGCTAGTTCATCTTTAAAAACCGGGCAACGTTGAAGAGAGCGCGGAGTAGTGATCGGTCCACGGAGGTGTTACACGTCACGGGCCTTGATCTGCTGTGGGGCCGAAAACCAAGTCTATAGGGAAATATTGTTCCCTCCTATATTTTGCTTGTACTCGGCCTTTACATTATATAATTGAGCAATATTGTTTGAAATAAGTTATTTCGACATGACCTTGATTCTATCTGGGCAAAATCACGGCAGAAACCAGAAAGCCCAGTGAAGTTCGAACCATTCATAGGGCTCGCAACGAGTATAAGGTAAACAAAACGGAGAGATAAAAAATTGAAGTAGTTCTGTTTCGTTTGAGCGGGGCTAGATTTGCATTCAACTGTCGTGCATTCTTCATTATCCATAAACAAGATAAGGTGTAGACTGAAGTCCTTTCTCGACGAGGCAGTCCACTATCCTCTCAATATACATCATTTCTCGCATACTACTTTGATTGTCCTTATTGAACACTTTGTAAGCAGTTTCCAATGGAAGGATTGCAGATGCAGGTCCAAATAACTTCATGTCATCTTGCACAAGGTATTCCATACCAAGACATATCTTGCGCGAGATGGATTGTATATTTCGTTGAGAGTCTTCGGAACAGAAGAACCTCCCTTGCTTGAAGGGCTGAGATCCCCAATTTTGGAACGAAGCCTCTAAGCGACCAAGCTCGACGGCGCATATGACCTGAAAAGCCCACATGTGCGCCCAGAAGTTTGCCATCGTGATGTTTGTGAACCAGAGAGGCGTACCCGGAGGACTCGGTATCCGTAGGGTTGAGTGAGAAGACTGGGCCCAGAAGCCCGGCCTCTCACAATTGAGTGCTTCCTCCCACCTTTCCAGTTGTAAAAGTAATTCTATATAGTCGTCCCACAGCTTTGATACCTGGGCACTTTCTGTTTCACAGGGTGTCCTTATAAACCGGTCGGCTTCCTCGAGAAGGAACGGAAGTTTTGCAACGAGGTTGATGAGCTGCTGCATTAATGATGGATTGCATGTAGAAAGTGGTATCTCAATCCATTCCTTTGATGCGATGAAGGTTGCCTTTCTGGATTGAATGGCTTGGACCATCTGTAAAATCTATTAGACACTGGGGTGCAAGGACGTATCATGGTAATTGCATACCAGTAGAGGTCGAAATCCAACAAAAAGGCTCTGCAGAGCTCCTGACTTGAATCGGTCCGGTCCGCTAGTTTCGAACAACCCGGCTACACCATTTACATGCATAGCAAGGCCAAAGCGCGAGTCAGGGAACATGAGCTAGGGCCAAAAGTGTTAGCTGGATCTTGGAATGTGCCCAAGGAACAACAATACCTCTGCTAGGACCAGGCACATTATATAATTCAGCATCTAGGGCTTCTTCGAGTATTTGGGTGTCTGATCGAAGAGCATCAACCGCGGAAGCATAACTTTGTACCTTCTGCGCATCTGATCCAGATGTAAGACATAAACCCAATGCTGTTACTGCAGGGGCCAAGACACGTTCATAGCGACTCGAGGGAGGGCACGGTTCTTCGACAAGCGTTGCTAAGACCCCAACCCACGCACCGCACACTCTCGGGACATCACTCGCGGCGGGATATATCGAGCAAATTTCTTCTCGGGGAATATAAGCTTGCGTGATGGCTTCAATTAGAGACCTGCGACTGCCAGAAAAACAGGCGGATGTCATGGACGTGGAGTGACCATGACGTAGCTCCTCGATAGAAGCGGAGCCATGCGGCGAAGAGCTCTTTTGAGAAACAAAGGTCCAGGTTGGTATATTCCAGTCACACGTCTTCCCTCTTAGGGCACACTGGCTACAAACGGGTCGTTTGCCATCACACTGGAATGCATCAGATAAGCTTTCAATGGAGAGATGTCATGCTATACTCCAAGTTTTCGTGCCCTACATGTCTGGCAGACTGTCTTTTTCTTGACTCGCATCTTGGGGGTGTTACAATGAGATTTTCAGAGACATCAGCAATTCGTCAGCTGAGTTATTTCCCGAGGTCGTGGCGAAGGAGTGGTCAGTCGACTGGTACTTTGACGTGCACCAATCAACGTTCCGATCTCAAGTCTTGGCGGAATATATGCCCCGAAACGGTAAGGCGCGATATGCAAGTCGATCTATAAAATTTGGAGTTCACTTGCAGATGCAGAGGGCTTCCTTTTATGGGATAATAAATCGCCAAGACAGACTTGTATACAATGCCGACTCTCCCGCTCGTTTATAATCATGGTTTCGATTTCTAATCCCAACGCAGCGCGGGGGGATGTCATAATGATAAATAGAACAGTCTTTGCCCTTCTTGTCATTCTTCAAAATATTTCTGTCTCAGAAATTCTTTTCTAATCAACTTGAATAATTCAATTATCACAATGGCACCTTTAAACTTCAACAGCAGTGTATCCATCACCCACATCGGGACCGCCACTGCAATCATTGAGATTGACGGCGTCAAGCTCTTGACCGATCCCTTTTTCTCCCCGGCCGGCACAGAGTTTGATGTGGGCGTCACGGTTCTCAAAATAAGCGAGACCCCGGCCCTCGGACTGGGAGATCTCCCTCCCATCGATGCGGTCCTCTTGAGTCATGAGGACCACCCCGACAATCTCGATCCCCTAGGTCGCCAGCTACTCGATGGCCGTCTTGTGTTCACTACAATGGACGGAGCAAAGAACCTAGCTCCTCGTCCTGGAGTACGAGGAATGAAGCCATGGGAGACAGTCTCTGTCAACATCGGAGGCAAGCCCTTCCAAGTCACGGCAACACCATGCCAGCATCTCCCAGGGGGCGAATGTACAGGCTTCGTCCTTACTACACCAAGCTTTGGCACCAACCTGGATGGTAGGCCCAATGCAATTTGGTTCTCGGGTGATACTGTCTACTTCGAGGAGTTGGATCAAATTGCTAGCAAGTTCCATATCGTGGTTGCAATCTGTAACTTGGGTGATGCCCGGGTTCCGCTCCCAGAGGGTCCATTGCAGATTACAATGGATGGGAAGCAGGCTGCTGGTATGCTCCGGTCATTCAAGGCGGATATCCTTGTTCCTATGCATTATGAGTCATGGGGTCATTTCACTCAGGGTGGAAATGAGCTGGCTAAGGTGTTCGCCGAGGAGGGGATTGCGGACCAGGTATGCTGGCTGGTTCCAGGCAAATCGAGGAAGGTGTTTTAAGGAACGCAAAGGGACTATGTTAATAGGCAGAATTGGAGACAAATTCGGTGAATAATCGGAATGTTTCAAATTTTAACAGTCTCAAGTAAAACGTGAAGTATCATTTAAAGGAAAGAAAAGTAGCTCTATGTCAGTATGTCAGATTAAGTGGATATTTTAACAAATAATATACAGGAATCACAGTCCCAGTACGCCGTCAGTTTATATGATGATGGCCGTTGATGCACGCTGTACAAATCTAAATCAAAGGCGCTCTAGCCAAGCTCCTAATCCATGTATCTGCTCCCGTGGACTTTGAAGGCCATGTCACATGCTGTGTTGTAGAACGAATGGAACTCATGATGAACAAGCTCTTGGGCTTGGCCATTTTCGGAAGTCGAATCGGCATGAGGAATCTGTGTGGTAAGAGAAATCTCGTTCGAACGAGCAGCGAGCAACGGACCACTCTCATAATGACGGTACTCAAGCTGTCGGTCACCGAATTCGTATGTTTGGACGGCAGTACCCCGGACGTCACTGATAGGTGGGAACATATATTCAGCAGTGACATTATTCTCCGGGGATTCACTCTCCCGCAACTTATTTGGTGTCGCTTTGTGGGATGATCGGACGACCTTTTGGACACCATTGGGAATAGAGATATTGCAGAACGGCAAGAGAGGGCCACGCGAAACACCACCGGCCAAAAATGAGCCCTGGAGGGATTGCTTGATACTCTGCAGCATCGCTTCGAGGCCTGATGAATGAGAACCTTCGTGCAAGAGATCCTGAGAAATGGTTCGTGTAAATCGCAGATCCAAACCATTTTCTGGGAGAAGGTAGTCAACGGCATTGGTGGCGAGAATAGCCTTTACGCTCTGGATTTCGAAAGCGTTATCTGAAGTTTGGGTACCATTCTGGTTCTTGATGGCCACCCCTATTTCAAGTTCAGGGAAAGTGCCCGCATCAGCAGCTGGGGTCAACCGAATTCGATATAGCTCTGACTCGTTCTTTTGCGAGAAGGGCGAAAGGGAATCGAGGAACTTGGAGACCAAAGGAATGTCGTTGGTGAAAGTCCGCGGAAGAGACAGTCTTCCCAATTGCGCTGGACTCATCGTTGTCTCCTCAAAGGAGGACTTTTGCATAAAAAGGCACCTCCCGACCTCGGCCGTCACAGATTCCTGTAGGCCAGGCGTGACTTGCAGGTTGGTCTCTAAGGGTGTGGTATCTCTGAGTAGTTTCAGCAGCTCATCAGATAGACGTGTTTGATGCTTATCAAAGAAAGGAGTCTCGAGAGTTTCTGCTTCCGCGCTTTGACTAGAAGACATGGCCCATCGGAACCACGGCTTCTGTCGGTCAAACCATGAAGCATTTTCTTCCGGTCTGTAGCTGTAGACACTAGCTAGCTCGGAAGCCGGTAGGTATGTGGAGAAATGTGTTGATGGGGGTGTTGAGTTGGTGATCGCCAAGTTCAAGGCCCTTCGGGCATTGTTCGCTCCCATCTTGTTCTCGGCCAGGTAATAGATTTTCTCTGGGGTTCGGTATGCCTTATATTCCACATAAACCCCGTATGTCGTGTTGATCCACTCCAAAAAGTCGGCCGTGAAAACCTGATTAATACCATCCCCGAGAGTATATGGGCTGATGCCAACATCCTCTTCGCGAGTTCTGGCGGTAGCATCATAAATAATCTCATGGACAGACTCGCAAGCGATCCGCTTGCCAGAGATTGTCACTCGACAAGCAGATCGTGTCACATTAATAGTGCATCCATGGAGACTGGCCAGCTCATGGAAAGAGAAATGTTCAGCATGAAGCAGCAAGGACATAAACTCAGGCTTTAGATGGAACTCCATCTGTCCCCGCTCCGCTGGAACCACCAACTGCCAGCAATCTCGAACAATCCTTTCTGCGAGCCGAGCTTTCCCCTGGGACCCCTTGGGTCCTTCCGTTTCCGATATTTTGTCAGACGGCCTCCATGTCCAATTTTTCCCCTTGAGTTCCACAGTATTGCCTTGTTGGTCCGAAACATATTCGGAAAGTTGCCTATAGGTGAAGGATGATGAAAGGTTGGAGCAAAGGGCTTTGAATTCGCCAGTCGCCAACGTATCTCCTGGTTGATGTGGTCCGCGGCTCGTATCAATTCCTCTTTGGACTGTTTCAGTCGTGGGGTCTGAGTTCTCGTCGTCAAGATCATCCAGCATGGAACTGATCGTACTGCGGTCTTTATTGGGACTGCGGTTGCGGTTGCGGTTCAACCTTCGACGGCCACGCCCAGGAACGACAACGATTTGTCCTGGCTGACCCAGGGAATTCACATCTAGTGTGACCTTCGACCCTCCATATTTCTGTCGGTCACGGGGTTCGCGTTTTCGGTGGGGATTAGGTTTATCGAAAGTGTAGCGTTGGGCTCGATTGGACTTCCAGTCGCTCAGGTATCGGGGAAGGACGGGTGTCAAGAGAAAAGACCTCCGACAGAGCGATTTGAAGCTCAAAGGCCTCAAATCGTTCCTCAGAGGTTGTCGAAGCATGACCGTAGGTTCAGTTGCGTACGGAAGACAAATAATCCTGCGATCGCTTTTCTCCGGCCGATAGCGCTAGGCCGCGATAAGGAATTATTTCCGCCTCAGGCCACCAACATGCTCAATACTCACCTAGACACATGTATATTTATGGATCTCCATGGATATTTGATTTGATATGATAGAGAAATAATCTGTGGAACCTATTCCTCCTTTGGGGTCAACGGTAGAGAGCAGAAGTCTGAGAGGTTCTTGCTTCAACTGCATATTATTTAATAACACGAAATGATGGAAGTCATTCCTTTGAAGGAACTTCCCAGCTGCGCAAATCCTCTCTCACGTCAAACTCAGAAAGTTCATTGTGTACATTGGGTGCTTTCCATCCGCGACCCTTCGCCCCGTCATAAAGCTTCTGCTCGATGCTTCCACCCTTTTCCGGATGTCCAAGTGTAGAAAGAGAGTCCGGCGTCTTGCCGCTATTGTGAGAACGATTGCTCGAAGAACTCTTGGGCCGACGTTCGAAGCTTGGGGACAGCCTTTTTCCTGTGCGACTTTGTCGCGAAGCTGACTCTACGCTTAGTAGAGTATCTCTGTGGTCACCCTCTAGCAAGCTTTTGTCGCTGGCATTGTGCGCTTCGTTGTACCAGCATGCGCTTCCAGCAAATAGCTCCTCAACAAGTTTATCAGCAGGCAGATCAGACGCCCGGGAGGACCATGATGCCGCCAGAGTGCGCCGATACATATCTTGCATATCCGCAATTTCCCGGCTCTTGGTATTGATGGATGGGAGATGTCCAGCTTCATGGAGATCACCTTGCTGCTCGGAAGCATGTACGAAACCGGCGATGCCTCCAAACACAGTAGCTGACTTCAAATGTGGGCTGTTTATAATCAGTACCGAGAACATGAATGAGCAATATCATTGCTGGACTTCGACTTACGTCGTGAAGTTGCGGTCTCCTTCTAGCTGGCGCATCGCTATCCCGATTTTGACTGTACTATTCACTTTGCATTCATGCATCAGGTAGCGTCGAACGACACCTTCATCTTCTTCAACCTTGTCAACATATTCAGCAAGATTGAGTCTGATTTTGCCCAGCACATTCTTTTCAGACATGGGCGATGAGGTGAATTCTTGTATGATTTCGAAATTGAGTTCACACTCTTGAAGCACTGATGTCCTGTCAATTGTAAGTCTCACTTGAAGTACTTTTTCGTAGTTCCAATAAGCCCGGTGATCAGATAGAGTCGCTTTCTCTGTCTGGCCTTGGTGTTCAGTGGCGCTTGATGATGGTAGTCGCCATCTCACAAAGGCAACGCCGTTGCCTAGCGGAACATTGTTGATATCGATAATCTAGGAATCAAAGTCAGAGACGTTTATACAGATTCATAGTGGTTGGTCTATATACTCTCAACACAAGCTCAAACCTAGGCTGCATAGAAGTTAGCTGCAGATACTACTTCACCTAGTGCTCTTCAGAGACATACCCGTCTGTTTTTGGGAACTGAAACATCACAATGTGAGCGTGCATCATAGACAGAACATATAACTAGAGGACATACCAAATGCCTGCATGATGGCAGTCACGTCACTGTGCTCAAGCTGGTCGGGAATCAGGTGTCACACACCAGGTGGCCCAATTAGGACCGGCCTAAGTAATATGTCGCAGTCTGGAACTGATAATGAAATGAATTAACATAGATATCAAATGCCAAGCAGCTATGCGGTCGTCAACTTGGCTAAGTTCCTCCCCGCATGCGCCGATATGGTGGGCGGTCTGAAGTCTCTGGCAGAAATACATCCCAAGAAAGCCGCGGACAAACTCACCTCTCCAACACTCGCCCATTCTTCGAGAGTGTCGCGCAAGACTCAACTATCTTCTCTCTGCAGCCCTTTACTTTGACTCGACTGAACCTATCTCTCTGTAATCATGGTCAAGACCGAATCTACGCTTCCCTCTCCTCCATCGGAATCAGCGTCCGCCTCCGCGGTGCCTCTGGATTCACCAATGCGCACCACCCCCATACATTTTGATCTCTCCGAGATTAAAGTCCCAGATGGTCCCCTTCCCTCATACCGATACCACCCAGTTACATGCCAGCCGATGGAGATACACGACTACCAATCCGAGCTTGCTAAGTTGGAACGAGAATACTCGTCGCGCGAGGCTGCCTCCAGGGCCCAGGGCGAAACGGCCAAAGAGCTAAAGGCCAAGATTGAAAGCGCGCAGCAAAAACGGGAGAAAGTTCAAAAGGCCATTGATAAGAAGGTCAAGGAGCGCAACACTGAAATGAAGGTTGTGTCGAAGTTCCAAGAGGTCAAGACATCCGATATTCCGTCTTGAAAAAAGGGGCAATGGAATTTGAGCAATCGCCCTCTTCACGAACCTCCTTGAGCTCGGACAACAAAAAATTCTACGTCTATTGTCGCACGTTCCCCACGGGCCATATTCGCCGACAACACTGCAACCAGATTATTACTGGCTACCTGGTGATCTGGTCAAGACACCTTTGACACTTGCTACGACGCCCTTGACCAGCCCAGTTACAAGCTATGTATTGAGATGTATTGAGATGCGGCCAGAACATGGTTTACCCGGCCACTCATTCGAAGGAGAAGGACGCAAGCAAAACGCATTCTGCATCTCTATCTTGTGGGATCAGTTGGCCTGAATGCATTGCGGGATTCGCAAATAACTCTGGCCTTCAACTGCCATGTCTGCCGTCTGCTTCACTGGAGGGGACATCTCTTGCCTCCAACCAACTTACACACTGGCTCTCCCGACAAACGCCCATAAACCTTGTTGAAAGAAAGTAGCTATCACCACATACCCATTATTTTTCGATTTTTGTAAGGCGAAGTATCCTTACCGAAGCTTCGCATGTGCAACCAGCATGTTCAAATATCATGAATTGACATACATTGCCATTTGATTATGTCGTATTAAACATACACATATATAACATTAGTTTATCATGAGATGCCATGGATCCTTCGTTACGAACAAAAACAAGAAAAAAGCCCTTACAAAGACCCGAGCAGCTTCATCACGAGTGGAAGAATCTAAATCAGTTAGCCATGCATTCAACAAAATTGAGCCAAGCGGGAGATTAAACTTACATCCGCAGCATCCTCGATCAGGGTCTGGGTCTCGTTCACGAACTTGGGCGTGAGGAGATCTCCAGCGTTGTTGAGGAGACCACCAACTTCGGCGAGCAGGTTGGGTGTGATGGCAGGCGAGACATCAGTGATAAGAGTGCGAGTATCGTTGACGAAGGACGGGTTCAGCAAACCAGTAGCGTTCCCGAGCAGATACGAGACGTTGGTCAAGAGCTGAGGCGTGATAGCTGGCGAAACCAGATCGATCAGGCCCTGGGTCTCGTGAACGAACTTCGGTGTGAGTAGTCCGCTGGCGCTGGTGAGCAGGTCGCCGATCTCCTTGACTGACTCTGGAGTGAGGAGGTCGTTGGCGTTGCCCAGCAGGCCGTTGATCTCCTTGACCGACTCCGGTGTCAACAGGTCGTTGGCATTGCCCAGGAGAGAACCGATGGAGGCCAGGACGTCTGGGGTCAGATACTTCGACACGCCACCGATCAAGCCCTGGGTCTCGTTTACGAACCCTGGCGTCAATAAACTGCTGGCGCTGCCTAAGAGGCCACCGATTTCCTTCACGGAATCCGGGGTGAGGAGATCGTTGGCGTTGCCGAGGAGGCCGCCAATTTCCTTGACGGTCGAGGGTGTCAAGAGGTTGTTAGCGTTTCCAAGAACACTATTGATCTCCTTGAACAACTCAGGGGTGATATTAGGACCAACAGCGCCAATGAGGCTCTTGGTCTCCTTTACGAAGTCAGGGGTGAGCAGACCACCGGCGTTGGTCAAAAGGCTGTTGATCTCCTTCACAGACGAAGCAGTGAGGAGGTTGTTGGCATTGTGCAGGAGACTGTTGATTTCCTTGAACAGATCAGGAGTGAGGACAGGCGACACGGCGTTGATCAAGTCCTTGGTCTCCTTCACGAAATCGGCGGTCAGGAGATGGTTGGCGTTGCCAAGTAGGCTGTTGATCTCCTTGAACAACTCAGGAGTAACCATAGGAGCCACAGCCTTGATCAACCCCTTGGTCTCTTTGACAAACTCAGCAGTCAAGAGATCGCTGGCGTTGTCGAGCAGGCCAGTAATCTTCGTGATCAAGCTCTGGGTGAGGAGGCCGGATACAGTGCCCAGCAAGTCTTTGGTTTGCTGCGTGGTCTTGTCATCAAGGAGATAGGCAACGTGATGGAAGAAGGACTCGATATCCGACAACAGAGTCGGGGAAAGCAGGCCCTTCGCGCCATCAAGGAACTTCACAAAGTCCGAGAACGAGTCCAAGAAAGTACCATCCAGGGACAGAGGGTTCGATTCTGTGCTGCCGCCTCCGGTGAAGGAGTTCTGGGTGCTTTCGCCAGACTTTGCAGTCTGGGTGACGGTTGCTGTGCCCTGAGTACCAGAAGCTGAGCCGGTACGTTGGTCAGCCTTAGGAGCAGTGCTTCCTGAAGTATCACTTCCTGTCGGTAAGAGGCTGTTCACACCTAAGGGGTCTGAGTTGGCAGATGGCGCGGCACTCTGGGTGTCCTTCTGGGACGCGCTCATTGTGTCGACCGGGACATTATCCTTGTCATCGTTGCTGCTGCTCGGGTCGGCGGCCAAAGCAGTTGCAGTTGGAGCCGCGTGGGTTGCGGTCTGTGTATCCTGCTGGGCGGCGGTGTTTGCAATGTTCTCTGGGAGTTGAATAACAGAGTTCGCGGCGCCAGATGCATCCTCATTGTTGGCACTAGGTGGTGCAACATCCTGCTTATTTCCATCTGCCTGTGCAGACGGACTAGCTCCTACGGACGAGGACACTTGAGTGGCCGGGCTGGCCAGCGCGGTGCTGGAGAGCACGAGCGTCGAAATGAAAGCAGCAGTGAAACGCATTTTGGACCCGTTGCTGTGCACAGAGGCAGTATATGACAGAAGGGAGTTGTCCGCGGTTGACGTCTGAGAAACCAGATCCAATCCTGCGTGGAGATTTCGCGTCTCCTTTTATGTTCCCGGGCATCGTCTATTGCAGATCCTTTGACGGTGACCGAGGGCCACCAATTCCACATGTGAAGCTCTCTATGCCCACTACAAATGTAAGTCATCTGATGTCAGTGGGACGGGGAGCGTTTTGACCCGACATTTGCGGAGGACTTCCCTTTTTCGTACCGCCCCAAAGGTTATCAGCGGACTATGTACGGTTTTTAGAGTCGCCATAGAGTTGGTTCCTTGGCTGCGGGTAAGAAAACGGTGCCAGTGGGCTTAGGTTCCATATTTCGCCAACTGACCCATTCATTACTTGCAGTCAGTGGCTTAGACTTGCGGGGAGACGAGTAGGATACGCGATAGGTTTGACCTGCAAGTTTGGCGTCTTATTTGGTTCAAGCACTGAACCGAAGGGTTGCCTTGTCGCTTTCTGATCGGCATAGAGAACACCCTAAGACATACAAACGGTCATTTGAGAAGAGCAATACTCTCGCTTAGCTCAATACCTTGGATTGAGAACTCAACTGAACTGCTGATCTCGGTCAATGCGTCACACCTGATTGGATCGAGGCGGAAAGGAGCAGTGTTGGACAACGCTAAACAATTTCTATGGAAATATCTACATTTGGAACTCTTCGCGTAGCCGTATTCCGTCTCCACTGTCAGTACTACAGTACCGCTTCTAGTTCAATCTCTTGAAACTTTCGATACCACAGAGGCACCTTCAATTGCAAGTAACGTCCTCGTATCTGAACTACAGAAAGGATGCATTTGAATGTGGTGAAAGCTTGTATTCTCAAAAGTGACAATGGCATGATTTTGAATGCTTTTGCAGAAGGTATCCTGTCCCTGAATGGACCCTTAATAAGTGGACCCCTAAGGAGTAATCAAGCCGTCTATGTACATGTATAGATATAGTTGATTTATGCTATTGACTCCGTGTGCAGAACCAAAGAAATGGATTAGGAAACGGCATATGCTATATATAAGGCTGAATGGCTCGACGGTTTTGCTTCTTTGTGTAATAACAAGCGAACTGCCGCGTTGGCGAACAATGAATCCCACGTTTGGGTTAGCCATGGCAATGTTAGCGCAAGGATCGGCACGGGGTTCAGGCCCCTTGGGGTCTCTAGTCAGGGGAACTCCCTGTTCCTGGCGTTTTGCCAATCCAACCCCGGAAATTGGCAAACTCTATTCCTGGATCTTTTCTCCGTGGGGAAAAAGAAAGGAATTGTCTTTTATATATGCGATGATTGGGCATGACAGCTGACTTGCATAACCCTTACATGATACCTGGGCTCCATTCAATTGTACGTTTCTTTTCAACCACGCTCATTTCGCACTTCAAGATAAGAAATATGCATTTTCACTGAGACAGCCTACACATTATCTCGCTGTTGATGGGTTCCCGAGGTGGTCATTTCTCTCTCGCCGATCCTCATACCGGGAACGGTTGAGACCCATGGGCTGATTGGATTAGGGTACCATCCTTTCTGAAAGACCGGAATCAACTATATTCCGTCATTACCAAGTTTTTGTTTGCCAGTCCTACATCACTCTCTTGTGACGGCTTACCTTGTTCGTGTCAAGTAGTTGATCATAGACGATCGCTTCTGTGCTCGCTGCGCCATTCTTCATTTCTGTACTTCCGCCGTCCCTTAGGTTGGAACCTGAGACTAAGAAAAGGCATTCGATAGTTATTTGATCCACGCTGCGCCATTCTCTTGGGCAAGCTTGCCGGCTCTTCATTATTCTTCTACGTCATGACGACAGCCTGCACATGTAACCTAGTCTATCAGAATGGATACTCACGATGCTTCGCGAGGCTCGTAGGGATATGGATGTAAAGTGATCTGCACTGCTCGGGTGTTTGCATATTTCTGGGTTTTCAAAAACAACCTAGGTGAGGGTAGTGGCGGGAATAACTGCTGAGATTCAAACATAAGTCTTCAATCGACGTTCTTTTCTAATATTACCGCCTTGATTCAACTCTGTCTTTCATTATAGGACCCCATGATTTCAGTCTTGTGGAAACTAAGCCTGAGTAAAACCAACATCCCATCGAATACACGTCATATACGGGAAGTTGAAGTGCCTGCTGAATAGCTTCGGAGAAAGGGGGCATCTGTGTGCACTCCAGGCAGAGAACTGCAATATCAGGGTGCTCAGCTACTAGACCCTGAGCCGCAGTTACTAGTTCTTCGCATATTTCATGGTGGACATATTCAACACCTTGACGGATATGACTCTGCAGAAGACCGCCTTCCGGAGCACCACGTATGTGACATCTAGCAGCAGGTATATTTAGTTTGGCGAGATGAAGTGGACCGAGACGCGTATCATCGAACGTTAGGATGCCAACACTGCGTGCTGGAGGGAGGACAGCTAGTATTGACGGAATTTGAATTAATGCAGACGTAGCAATTGGTATAGGGAGTTGAGCGGCAAGACTAGGAAGTTAGTAAATGATGCAGGATTTATATTTAGTCGCCACAGGACAGACATACTCTGTTTGTGCCATAGCCAGGAAACCGCAACTCGTGATTATACCAACCGCACCACGCTTCGCAAGTCTCTGGCCAGCTTTAACGAATCTGTCAATGAAGGAATCGTCATATGGCCCGGAGCACACAACTTGCGCCTCTGATGAGCCAGCCACCTTCTCACGGATCAACGGAAACGGCCATGTTTTCTCGTTGAAAGGATCCCCCCGGGGGTCTGTGCAAGATGACTTCAATTGAAATAAATCCAAGTGGGGGGATTTCGTCCTTAAATTTCGTATCGCTAGAAATCGTTTCAACTGCATCGTATACCAGTCCGTGTGCGTCTGTTGTTTGGAGCTGATCTTGAGTTGAGCATTGCTCTCTCGATAGAGCAAATCCCTGCGTGGTAGCCATTGTTAATCAAGGATGTTGACCAGGTGTCTCTCTAAAACAAATATCAAAGCAATTTCGGAAACTCCCTGCGACTACAATGGTCAAGCTAGGCTTATCAGTTGAGGTGGGATTTCCCCTCACGGGCTTATCACTGGGCTCGGAAGAACCCGAGACCCCGATGTATGTGATTTCACCCATGAGCTGTGCGAGAGCGAGCTATAACTTGACTGCGGGGTTGAGTTTGAGCTTTGGAAATTGATGCCCTTTCGCTTCCATTTCTGAACGTTGTCTACAATAGCCTGTTTAACAACATAGCGACTCGCCTGTCAGTTGCACAATTGACCCTACCACCAACTATGACGATCGGAAGAAAGCCACGCGTTGTATCCCTCGGAACTCCTGCATTTGTGGGTGAGAAGTACATCGCTCGATTCCAAACCGAGTTTGACTACTCTGTCTTGCCTGCAACAAACCGTGAGGAGACGCAGACCTTGCTACCAAAAGACATCGAAGAGAATGGACCTATAGATGCATTTATCATTCGGATGGGTACACCACCTTATGAGCCATTCGACGAGGATCTGCTCAAGGCACTGGCACCAGGATGCAAGATTATCACTTCTGCCAGTGCGGGATACAATGAGTTCGATGTGGACTGGATGGCCAGTCAAGAGATTGTGTTCTGCAATACGGTCAATGCAGTCGCGGAGGCTACCGCAGATATGGCCATGTTCTTGACACTTGCTGTCTTGAGGAATACTACAAATGCCGAGAAGAGTGCCCGGAACGGTACGTGGAGGAAGGGGGCGAACCTCGTTCCTACTTGCGATCCGTCGGGACTCACTCTTGGTATTGTTGGTATGGGGGCCATTGGAAAGGTGCGCGGATAAACCACCGAGTTGGGTTTATCAACAGTTGCTAATATTCTTTCTCAGTACCTCGCTAAGAAAGCCGCTGTTTTTAACATGAAGATCAAATACTACAATCGCAACCAGCTCCCGGCTGCCGAGGAGGAGACATATGGGGCAACATACTGCAAGTCCTTGCATGATCTTCTCCACCAGGCAGATGTGGTCTCCCTCAATTGCCCCCTCAATGCTGCAACCACGAACCTTATCAGCACAGATGAGTTTGCTGCCATGAAAAATGGAGTATTCCTTGTCAATACAGCTAGAGGAGCAGTCATTGATGAGGAAGCTCTTATTGCGGCGCTAGAGTCAGGCAAGGTACAGCGTGCAGGGCTTGATGTATTTGTCAATGAGCCGAGTCCAAATCCCTATTTCTTACAAAGCGATAAAATTGTTGTGCAACCACATTTGGGTGGGTTGACAGAGAAGGCATTCCAGAAAGCTGAGACGGAATGCTTTGAGAACATCCGTGCTTTTTTCGCAACTGGGAAAGCAAATTCGCCTGTTAACGATATCAAGGCGAAGACCCAAAATGGGAGAGCTCATTAGTCGCTCATAGATTTAACGATGCTCATAGAAATTCAACGACGTTCAAAGTTAACCAAGTCCCCAGATATGCGGTTTGTTGGGCTAGAGATAAGCAAGGAGAGACGGAATGAAGAACCAGGAGTGTAAAGCAAATACTGTAACGTTAATGTATTCCATAGATTGATAGAATAGAGCTTGCAATACTATAAAAGTTATTTCAAATATAGGCAATTCTAGTCCAGCAGATAAGTTACTACGTGTGTTTGCACTGTTCTCTGTGAAGAGGCGAATTTATTCTGTCCTTTATATGATCTGTCTAGAGCTTAGTGTTCCTTTTGCTTCGCAGAGACACTTCCTGAAGAAGACCAATGTTCTGGAGGGCTCTCGGGCCACTGCAACCCTCCATGAGAGTGTTAACTGGTTGTTCCGGGCCAACAGATCTCCATCGCCATGCCTTGACTGCTGGTCGATCCATACCAGTCTGTTCCATTATATCCACCACCCAATTCCCGATATTTGGTAAGAATTTGAATGCATGGCCACTGCCACCTGTTGCGACCATCAATCCCTCTTTGTTGGGTACACGATCCACAACATAGTGATTGTCAAATGTATCTGTATACCAGCAGACTCTGGTCAGGGAGATATCAATGCCTTCTTCGGATAACTCCGGGAGGTATTCGTTCAGAAATTCAGACAGAACTTCGTGTGCCTGTTGTGGGAAAGAAGTAAAGTTGCTTCCCGCAGAGACACTACCGTCTTTCTCAGCAGTCGACCACCGTGTCACCGGGGTGCTTCGTTCCTTGCCATCGCTCTGGCGTAGCGGGTTGGTATACTTCGTTCCCCGGTACCCAACCTTAAACCAGCCGTTCTCATCTCTCGGAAATCCATACAGACCACCCTCGGCTCCATTTCGCATATTCCACATCCATGTTGGAAACTTGTCTGCGCCAAGTCGGTCCCATAGAGGTGAACCTTCGGGGATTTTGAACAGCATTACGCTCCCCGCGGTGGCTTCACATAACCCATCGAGCTCTGGTAATAGAACTGGAGTCCATCCGCCGCAGGCAAGAATGGTCATTGCAGCCATATGTATTTTCTCATCTCGAGTTTTGACCCCAACCACCTTCAAATCCTGGTAGCATAGCTCTTTCATACATCCAGCGTGTTCGCCGAAGATGAATTTCACACCCAGGCCTCGCGCTTTGTATAATGCAAATCTGCAGGCCTTGTCCGCAACGGCCATACCACCTGTGCTATCCAGCACGCCGGTGTTGTGCTTGCCACGTCTTTCTCTTTGAAACGGATCCATAAATGACTCCAGACCTCTTCGCACCGCAATGTCTCGATGGCTAGTAATTGTTGTTGCTAGCTGGGTAAATTTATGGCCAGAGTTCTCCATTCCTTCAATACAGGCGAGCTCCCATGGTGGCAAGTCATTGGATGTAGATAGTGATATGCTTCCGTTGGGCACGAAGACTGCATCTTTGGTGGACATTCCAGGGGGAACTAGAGTGCCTGCTCTGAGTTCGGCATTCCAGGCATGCCATTCGGGAATCGCTTCAGAAGATAAGTCCTGGTACTCTGTCTGTGATCCGTAGGCTGATCGAACGATTTTGTTGATATCGGCAGAAGCGGCGTCCGCGCCCTTGAGATATGAGTATAAAGACTCATCGTAAGGTTGTTTGTCGAGGACGGTCACATCAATGTAACCACGCCTGCAAAGGTGTACCGCAGTACTGAGGCCGAAGACTCCTGCTCCGACGATGACGATGGGGTCTTGCTTGTTGGGGGGTATAGGCTGGGCCATTTTTTTGGTGATTTCAATCAAGAAGTGTCGATCCAGTCCCTCACGAAGTCAGCTTATCACTCTGCTTTTGATGCACCTGTTCCTGGTATCAAATAGTGTCCCTCGTAGCTTATCGCGCTGGTCAACGCATCCACTATAGATTCACTCATTGGAACTCGGCTTTTCCCGATGTGTTATCAGGAATAATTTCCCCGCCAGATATGCTCGGTTTCTCCCGGTCTGCAAGGGATGTTGGAATCAGACTGTATATCTTTATATATCCTTCAATAAAGCCCAGCTCACGTCAAAAGTGGCGTGGAAGGCGACCCGTTTTTGAGGGGTAATGCGGGGACGACGTGTAAAGGTATAGACGTGGGATGAGGCACAGCAGAGCTGTCGATAGGTTGTAGATGATACTCAGTCTCGGTAGCCAGTAGAGAATGTAGTCTGTAAACTGTCAATGGTGAAAAAAGGGTTGAGGAAGAGCTGTTCAAACGCGATAGATAAAGATTAGCCGTCTTATCTCCATATCTCATTTGAAGCCATCCCACCTTGATCAACCCCTCAAAATGAGCCATGCACCAAAGCGACCAAGGATTGGCGAGCGAACGATGCTGGCTTGCATCGGATGCAAGCAGAAGAAGTTAAAGGTACCTAAACTTCGCCTGGGAGAATGCCATGCCACTTACCATGTGACTAGTGCGATGGGCAATTACCGAAATGCAATCATTGCGTACGGACTGGACGAGGTAAGAAAGTACTCGTTTAGATGGAGGTACTCGTTTAGATGGAGGCCTTGTCTGATTTGCCCAGAATGCCTTGTGGAAGACCCTGCAACAGGACTTCATCGCCCGCGTAACTATATGCAGTCCCTTGAATCAAGGGTAGTCTACTTGGAAGCTCTTCTTCGAGAAGTCCATCCCGATATAGCCCTGGGGCAGAACGATCAGAACGGGCCTGGCAATGTGGACTCAGGTGCTTCTTTTGTTCTATCAACCTCGCCTCAGACAACCGATGCCTCAAGCTTCAACCAGTTGGTAGGTGACTCATTCGGAGGAACCTACACAAGGCCTCCCCAAAAAGTCGTCAACCATCATCTCTTGAAAAGGCAAACGATGGTGACAATGGCCAGGTCGACCATCTCTCTTCTGAGGTTGCTCTCCTGTGTCTGAATGCCGCTGGTGGCGAACCACATTATTTCGGACCTTCGTCGGCCGTATCATTCTCGCGGATTGTAAGCGCAACAATGGGCCTCAAAGGTGAAGGCTCATCTTGTTCTCCGCGTGATTTCGAAGAAAGTCAGGAGGTTGCGCCTACTATACGTTCAACTCGAGTACCACGACTGCCATCACCAAGTGTCTCGGCTAATCTATCGCGGGCTTATTTCAACAATATCCATCCACAGTACCCTTTTTTGCACAGACCAACATTTCTCAAATGGGAACAGGATATTTGTGACGTGAACCAGTCAGGGGACACTTCCGCCGCTGGTGAGATTCCACTCTTCTTTGTCCTAATGGTATGCATATCCTGACCTAGCAGCGATGGAGTTCCCTCATGAGCTAACTATGCCCATCTACCATCCAGGTATATGCTACTGGCTCTCTTGCATTAAGTCAAAGTCAGCACGGTGCTGCGGCTGTACGTTTGTTGCAAATGTAAGGGTATTCCAAGGTTCTAACACTCTTAGATGTACTATTCCTTGGCTTTGGATTACCTGCCTTCCGTCCTTGCGCTGAATAACCTGGAATCAATCCAAGCCATACTATGTTGTGCAATGTACTCGATCCGATCACCCATTGGGGCCAGTCTTTGGTATCTTACAGTCCCGCTCTTTTCATCATTCGTGGAATAACGCCAATGATAGGAAAATATCTGGGATGGCAATCCGCCATTGTATCGAGCTAGGATACCACAGGAGTGCAGAGAGATATCGCAGGCATGTTGATCCTCTAACAAAAGAGATGTCCAAAAGGTGCTTTTGGGTTGCATATGATATCGATCGTGTCGCTGCCTTCATCCTGGGGCGGCCGGTGGGTATCCCAGATGAGTTGATCGACGCAGAGGTAGGATTTAGTAACGCATCTAACTCGTCGTTTTAATGCCTCTATCTTGCTAATGTTCATACTTTAGCTTCCAATGGATATTGAAGATGAGAGCATTACCCACCACGGTATACTGACAAATCCTCGTGCTGCTGACGACCAGGTGCCAACAATAATGACGGGTACCCTGCATAGCATCAAGCTGAGACAGCTATGGGCAAAATTCCATGCCAATCTCTACTCGCCTCTGCCGCAACACCACAATCCCGGTAGACAAGTCGCTACTGTTGACAGTCTCCGCCAAGAACTGGAAGATTGGCATGCATCAGCTCCTACTCACCTTGACTATTCGTCCTCTCATCCTCTATCGGTATTTGCTTCAGATGAATGGTTCCAAATTGCTTACGACCATTCAATCCTCATTCTCTATCGCTTATACATTACTGGGATTCTCGGTAAACGGCGACAAGGGGGCACTCAACACGAAATAAACAATATCGACTCCCTTGAAGAGGAAGAGGACCTCCAAAAAGCATTCGAGAACTGCTCCCGCTGCGCTCGTGATATATGCGTGCTATATCGTCGACTCTACCAGAAATCCACTGTTCAATTTACTTGGGGGAGTCTACATATCTTATTCCTTGGCGGCTTGACATATTTGTATTGTCTGTGGCGATCATGGCGAGTACGCCAGCAGACGAAACAGAGCGAAGTGATAAACACATGCATGGCCTGCACAACAGTGTTGGTTATTATAGCTGAGCGGTGGAATCTGGCGACATCATATCGCGACATTTTCGAAGCCCTTTCCGAAAGAACCATCAACATGATCTGTGGTATTGGAAATTCTGCTAGGCCGGTGCCCGCACAATCACAATGGACTTCCCCGGGTGACAACCTTCCCCCAGGGCTCTCCCCAAGGGATTGGAGTTTGGGATTCGACGATCTAGCTATGCCTCAAGGATCAGACTGGCTTATTCAGGAACTTTTACAAGAATTTCCTGAACTTCCGCCGGATGAGACCATAATTGGCCCAACAGAAAATACCTCTCGTGCTCCAACATTCTGAGTCCCATTCAGATATCATGATCAATTATAACGAGGACTCTGATGTGACGCTCTTTCTAATGCGCCTCTAAGTCATCCGAATCTTCCTTTATACACCTCGTGAAACCCACACCACACCACCACCCCCTCCTTTTCATACATATAGGTTTCTTTCCCTATCCTACCATCCTATCTGTATAGAACTGTCCGCAGGCATGTTTCAACCGCAGATTGAGCCAATTAATACAACGACCAGATTTTTCATGTAATTTCCTTGAATTTTCGACTATGAATATAGAATATCCCGTCGATGCTTCGAAAAGTCGTTGTATCAACACATTAACTTATCGCGCGATGGTCTCGGCTTCTTCCGAGCATTTGAGCCATTACGTGCTTCCGTAGTCCGGATAAGTTAATACAAAAGAAAGTGCAGTCAGTAATGATTTGCGGGGTCGACATAGATTTCCTCGGTTATTTTTCTCCTTGTCAACCTATCGAGATCTGACTTTCCCAGTCACTGTGCACATCATGTCGTCAGTCGTAACTACCATCAAACCAACTTCGAATACATCTGCTCTAAATACAGAGACGGGCTCAAATGGGGAAGTGAAAAGGCTACATCACATTCCGCGACCCGTCAACAAGGAGGCCGAGAGGAAATGGCTCCTCGAGCAGATGGCGGGTGCTTTTCGCATATTCGCTAAACTAGGGTTCTCGGATGGTAGCAGTGGACATATTAGTCTTCGAGGTACTTAATACTGTTTGGGCTTCATATACTCTATAAATCCGACTTTTATCCAACAAATGCTGACACCTTCAGACCCTATCGAACCCCGCACGTTCTGGATCAATCCTTATGGTGTACACTTTGCCCTCCTCAAGGTCTCTGATATGGTCAGAGTAGACGAGGAGGGAAACCGAGTCGCTGGTGCAGATAAACCTGTCAACGCGGCCGGTTTTATCATTCATTCGGCGATCCATCAGAGGCGACCGGATATTCACGCGGCTTGTCATATGCATAGTCCGTATGGAAGAGCGTGGAGCACATTTGGCCGGGGCATCGATATGTTTAATCAAGGTAATATTGGGTAACTAATTGGTAACATGTTTTTGCTGACGCTGTTTAGATTCCTGCATGTTTTATGATGACCTTTCAGTATATCCAGCATTTGGAGGCGTCGTTTTCGCAAAGGAAGAGGGTCAACGTCTTGCGGAATACCTTGGTCCCAAGAACAAGAATCTTATCATGCAGAATCATGGTCTACTTACAGCTGGAGGGACGGTTGCTGAAGCGGCGGCGTTCTTCATTGCGTTAGAAAGGGCGTGTCAGACACAGCTTCTTGTAGAAGCTTCTACGGCACCTGGATCTATTGGAGCGAGTGAGGGCATCCTAAAGAAGACACTAGTCGATGATGAAACGGCCACATATACCAAAAAAGGAACGGGTACTCCTGAGGTGATGTACATGCAATTTGAGCCTGAGTATCAATTGATTTTGAAGGAAACGGGTGGTGATTTTTTGAACTGAAGGGATATACTGGAAATTGATGCTCTTCCACGTATAAGAAGCTGCAAATACAATAGTAGCGGTTTATTCTAGACATATTTCCAGTCTTTCAGAGTAGAAAAACTGCGAGATTTGACCCCAGGAAGACTTGATTTGTCAGGACTTCGGCCACGCACCGGCGGACTTGATCCACGCATCGACTTTATTCTTAGCCGTCCCCTTCCATCTCCCGAACTACACTTGTGAAACGTTGCCTATTGTCAACTTGTATTTCTATGTCATGTTTGAATGCTCGCAATGCGACAAGAGCTACCAGCGGAAACCTCATCTGCTCCGCCATGAGGCAACTCGTAAGTCTCGGTGAAGTATCTCGACATCGGGACGAATGGTCTGACAACCTTCCAGATACTCAGCAGCCCTCTTCCAGTTGCCCTTTTTGCAAAAAGTCATTCCTAAAACTGTGTGAAATCTCACATCTACTATTAAACATGAACAGTCGCTGATCATTAGGAAGGGAGGTGACTCGAAGGCATAGCAAAGCGTGTGCAAAGAAATACAACCAACCGTTGCCACCCGCAGCCAAACCAGGCAGAAAAAGGCAATCTTGTGATTTGTGTTTCTTTGCCAAAGCGTCTTGCGATAAAAACTCGCCTTGCTCTCGTTGCAGTTCCCTCGGGCGGCAATGTACCTTTTCCGGACATCAGACACTATCTACAGGATCTAGCTCTTCATCAGCTGTTTCGCTTTCACCATTCACGAACCCACCTCGCAGTACTCCGAGAGGTGGTGGTCCGTTTACTTTCCTTCGGCATTTTGCCAATCCATCTGTCCATAAGGACAGACTTGCGATCGGCGAGACAGCAAAACGCTCCGTTCGAAGGAACCTTGAAACGCTCAATTCTCACATCGAAGATGCTCTTGTTCCTACTGATCCCCTGTCGGCTTTTGGTGGTGACTTTGAACTCTCAGATTTCTCCTATCAATTTCCATTGTCTACAGATGATTTCTTCTCTCAGTTCCCGCCTGATGCCCTCTTTCCGTCAAAGCTTTCCAACCAATTAACTGAGATCATGACCGAGTTGGTTGAAACATCAAAGTCAATGTGTCTCGGCAAACCAGAAGGTCAACCGCCGCTTGACTTTATGGAACTCTCTACGCTCTTGGGAGTATCCAATATCTCCGCCTCTGTCTCTGCATTCTTCCACTCTCTTCACTGGCATTTGCCCGTGGTTCATTTTCCAACGTTTGACCCAGGGGACGTTTCCAACCCTCTTCTACTCTCGATCTTCTTATCTGGTGCCACATATACTTTCCCATTAGATGGGAGTACTCTTCCATCAGGTCTTTTCGATGTGGCGGAAGAGTACATCTTTCGGAACATTGCAAATCTGGCAGCAGTTCCATCGCCAAAAGACTCTACACATCTTTTATCCACTGTTCAGCTAATACAGAGTGCCCTCATTATTGAAATGCTTCAGTTTGGGCGGGATGATATGCAAACAAGGCGTCGCATTCGGATTGTCCGTCATCCATGCCTTGTTTCTACGATAAGATCCTTGGGAATTTTCCAGCTCAAACGACGAACTGCCCCTAAAGTTTGCGATGAGATGACATGGAAGGCTCTGGTAGCAGAGGAAGTTTGTATACGGTAAGATTTCGTCCCAGTGTCTGTCCTATCATAAATCCTTTAGGATATTGTACTAACTCATCCACAGGATCGCCTGCTGGGTCTTCCTTGCTGATGGATTCCTTACGGTTTGCTTCAAGAACAACCCATCAATATCAGTTTTCGAAATGGACTGCCATTTGCCGTGGAGTGCTGGGCTATGGGAGGCCGAAAGTGCATCCTCGTTTAGCAAAATCGCTGAGGCACACTCGGCCGACCTCCCACTTCCACCGCTGAGAGACGTGGTCACCCAGCTCCTCGAAACACAAAACGAAGTCTCAATACCATGGAGTCTCTCAGTATCTGTGGAGCACCTTCTTATTCTGATTTACGGTACGTTGACGATTGAGCCTAGCAAAGCGACACCCTGCTGATAATATTATAGCTATCAACTCTCTTGCATTCCAGACAAGAGCAGGCTTGTTAAGATACCTATCAGTTGACAAAATCCGACGCGCCTCAGCGAATTGGAAGCGCATCTGGGATTCTGTCACTGGTCTCTTGGTCAAGGATCAATTCTTTCATATTGGGTATCCGAAACACGCTCAAGAGCTTTGGTGGTTATTGAATGCTACGCTGGAGGTCTCTAGCAAGTCCGATGCTAGGTTCAAGTATCTGGACAACACGGCGACTGACGACTTGGCCAATTTGAATGACTTTATTCAGTGGTGTTACCAAATTGCGCCATAAATGTATTAATTAATATATCTATTTATTTGAATTTTAATATACATATGAATCCATCCTTTATCCCCCTAATCAAATTTATCAGCGGTCTTCTCTGTGCCTTGCTGGTTCTCCATGAAAGCATCGCCTTTGGGCTTCCGATAAGTTCCTCCAAGACGATCCCAGGCTGTTGTAAACTGCCCATAATTATAATTGAAATAAAGGTGGTGCATCGTATGACATGAAGCGCCGTTGATAATCTCAGATGTTGGGAGATACTCGGCGTCATCTGCAAGTGAAGGAAAGAACAAGAGTCAGCTATTATCTTTGAATGAAATCATGAGCTTTGATGAAACTCACGGATCAAAACCGTCCACATCGTCACAAAAACAAACAATCCCAAATATGCACTTTTCTGCAAAGGAAACAACATCGGGAAAATATGATATGGTAGACTCTGCGACCATCCGTCCAGCGGGTGAAACGCGTAGCTAGCAAAAGGTGTCGGAACGGCCCATTTGTGGTGTGGTTTATGAAGCCAGCGGTAGACGAGAGGGTGGTGCAAGCCGCGATGGATCCAGTATATTCCGCTGTCAGTGAAGCAGATGAAGAACGGATATTGTAACAATGTGTATCCCCAGAATGGGGATTCGCTTGTGAAGTCATATAGCTTGGACCAACCGCGAATTTCTGCGATGAAGAACGGGACCGTAAGGACGGTTATTACTGGGATGGCGGAAAGGCCTTGTTTAATCTCGAGTTGCATCTGGTTTGTAAGAAATCGGGGGTGTCGGAGTAGTCTTTTGTCGAATAATGTGTGGTATAGTACAAGACTGCCGAGCAAATACATGATCATTGCGAACAACCTATTCAATCAAATAATCTCAATAAATTTGTTCTTCTTAGGTACCAAAGAGTAGCACTTACCAAGTAATCAAGTATAATGATAATGCTTGCCTGGCAAGATCATCTCGTTTCCAAAGACTGGCCTCGGCCCATTTAGAGGGTTGCATAGGATAGTAAATCTTAACATGTCGATTCAATTGGGAGTCTGTGAATTTGTGACTTTCAAGACTAGCATTCAGATCTGGCGAGAGAAATGCATAGCATCGGTCGAGGATCAATGTATCGAGAATATCCAAAAAGACATCCATTTTAGAGGACGTCTTGTACTTTTAGTGTAGAACTCTCGAGTTTAGATGTCAAACGACTAACAGCGTCTTATAAGTTATTAATACCTACATAATAATTACCTTCAAGGAGTTTACCTACATGAGGAATACCTACATGCCGCTGAGGGAATACCTACACGGCAAATACCCACTATCACGGGAAATACCTACAAAAGGGGTATACCGACACGAACAGTACCCACTTACAGACACGCGCGAAATTGAGTGGCTTAAATGGCACCATATAAGAAATATTGCATGTTAACATTCTTAGAAAGCTAGCTATTGTTACCAGAAACGTATCGAAAAACATGGAGCAAGGAATTGGACCATCTCCTCGCGTTCAGATCTCAACACCATCATCCGCGAAGTGATTATTCTTCTTTGTCAAGTCACTGCCAGACCTGGACATATGATCATGTGCATCTCTGTACTTATGTTAGTGGTCTGATCCAATATCAGCAAGCGAAACGGGTTAGGCCATCTTACGATACTTCAAAAGCCTCGATGCAGGTAGTATTATTCCGCTTTGTGCCGCGATAAGCCCTCCAAAGTGGCTGCTCAAAGATAGCGTCGAAGTCCTCGAGTCCTTCTCTTGCGGTCTCGGGTATCACAAAATAGGCATAGACAATTGAGACAAAGCACCAGGCTGCAAAGAATATAAAAGCGCCCCAATTGTTAGTATTGGCGAGGAGAGATGGCGTTGCTCTGTTGATGCCAAAGAAGAAGAGCCAGTGGAAGCACTGTGAAATTGCAGCACCGAAGGATCGAATATGATTCGGCCAGATTTCTGCACCGAACACGTATGGAAGAATCAAAAGGCCTGATGGATAGTTAGCAGTGAGAATGTATTGGCGTAGGTACTATCCCATCACTCACCAACAGCAAAGCCAAATCCATGGATAAATATAGCCCCCACAGCCGCCTCACTCGCACTGGTAGTGACTAGGCCGCTTTGCCTGTATTTGATATAAACTCCAATGTAGATGTCAGACACCATCTGCAGAGTCACACCAGTAAAGAAGCTTTTGCGACGCCCTAGCACATCAATAAAGCAGAAGCTCGCAATCAACGTGAAGAAGAACTTCGCCATCGAGTACATGCCAGATAAAAACAGTGAACGGTCCGTTCCACCACCTAGTCCCATCAGACTTAGGATTGGAACGAGATATGAGGTCACACTGTTGGCACCAGATAATTGTGCCAATGCATAGGATATGAAAGTTTGTTGGACTCGGCGAAGGTTGGACGGGACCAGGAAAGTCTCCTTGCACAGTTCAATAAATCCTGGCTGTAAACTGCTCTTTTGGAACTTCCACTGTCCGTCAATTTGTCTCTGGATATCTTCAATCTCGGAGGCGACGCGGGGATGAGTCGCAGGCAAGCCGCGTAATTTGACGAGAGTTTCGACGCCTTGCTCTTGTTTGTTGACGAGAAATAGCCATCGTGGACTTTCCGATAAGTAGAAGCTGCCCATGACGATGAGGGCTACCGCGATTGTTGGCACAAAGAAAACAATCTGGTATTGAAGATAGCTGCTGGCGACATGGAGGTAAACACCGAGAACGACGAAAATGGATACCGTCAATGATAGGAGCATAACAACGCTGAACCAGACTGAAAGCAGTCCTCGAATCTCGGTTGGGGCAACTTCAACGATGGCCACGGGACCTATCACGGTAAGGGGTCCTATACCGAGACCTGACACGATGCGAGCTGTGTATAGAACCCCGGTATGGCCATAGGAAAAGGTAGCGAGCATCTGACCGATAATCCAAATAGCCATGTAGAGGCGGAAGGACCACAGACGTCCAATCCGATCGTTGATAAAGAACGAAAAGCCAGCACCGACGCCGGCGCCAATGTAAACGAATGAGATGAAGTTAGTCACTTGGGTTGGATTTGCAGCAGACGTGATGCCAAAGGCGGCTTGAAATCCGGGGAGTGATGGGATCACTGAAGACGATCCTTGGTCCCATGCTGCCGAGCTGTTCGTTAGAGAGAGTCGCGGCTCTTGTAAGTAAATAGGCACTCACTGATCGGAAGCCCGGCTGTCGCATACATGGCAACTGTGAACAGTAACTGGCGATTGGCAATTATTTCGCGAGGGCATGATCTGATGGTCCTAACATAGCCAGCAATGGTTGATTCTGTAAACATTATCTTGAGAGACATGACTGTGAGACTTCGAGTCACGACACTAAGCCGTGATTTTTGCAAAAGGCGATTAATTGGAACCTCAAACTATGAGGGATAATGTCGTGATATGTTTATACCAGGACATCTTATCTTGTAGAACGTTGGGAGATATCCAAATGGGCCATGTTTCCATGTTGATATTCACTGGTCTGGAGAAATCTCAGTTTTGACAGATAAGTAAAAACCGGGACAACCCGAAGTTCTTGGTCCATTGAGGTAGAAGTGTTGACCAGGAGCCTGCGATAAGAGACATAAACTCCCTAGTCTATACCTGTTTGGGCTCGATTTGATAAGGCTTCACCCCTTCCCCGCAATTCACTCGGGAGATTCCGAGCTAGTTTGGACGCGATGAGCCACCGGGCAAACATTTTGGGATCTTGTCAAAAGATATGATAGCGATGATGTGTGCATGTACCTATCGACACTTGGTTCCATAATCTAATCTGCATTTGCAGGGCTTAGCCCCTCCCTGTGTCCTGGTGAGGGGAGGCAACGACGGAGCATATGTCTAAAATACTATACAAAGAGGTTTCATAATATATTAGTCGCTAGACTTCTTATGCATAAATTGCCATGTGGTTTAACATTGCAAATGAGTGAGACTTGAACCACAGGACCAAGGTAGTTGCATCACTGCGACAGTTTTCAATGGTAAAGTGAAGCATATGAAGTGGTTTCTAAAATGGAGATGTTCTATCATCCCTAGAACTGGGGTTTCTGTGATATTCTAAACATATTCATCGCATAACTGCATTTGTTAAGCATATCGAAATAGTAATGACTCGTTGAATGGCCGGTATATCAGATTAGCACTATTGAGACAGCGCCTAGCTTTGTTTCAAATGGAACATCGGCGGCACATCGATGACTCATAAACTATGCAGTCACTACGGACAATGACTTTAAGTTTACGTCTGTTCAAAGTGAGGCTACTTTGCTGTGTTAAGTTTCGCGGCAAGCACCCAACAACCTCGAAACCGATCCTCAGACCGGAGTTTCAGCGCAAGCCTGAATTTGCGTGGGTCTGGGAAACACCACCCGAGCATCCAGCTGCTATGGTCGCCAGCGCATATGAAATTTCTGATCGGTAAAAACCTGCCAAGTGAAGCAAAGAGTGAAGCAAACCGGGTCTACACTATCGAAAGTGGACCCGGAGATATCCGCCACATGTGGCGAGTGTCATGCACCGCCTCACTGGGGTCACGGGCTATTTTGGGAAAAGTGCACTTCGTAAGCTACGCACATTTGGCCACGAAAACTGGGAATCTTGGAATATTCTGCAGCCGATTTCAACCGCACTGTACAGTACATACCCCCTTGCGCAAGGAGACCATGTGACTGAACTCATATGCCGGCAGCCTTCAGGGATTCCGTTTTAGGGTATAGCCAGATGCGCCCGTGTCAGTTGATGGAGTAAGATGAGATCACACAGGAATCAGGTGGACAGAGAGACTCCTGTATACAGAAGGGAACTTGTACAGTATTGTATGTAATGTTGGTGGCGCCCTCTCAAAGTCTAGCAATCGAGGCTCTGCCCAATGGGCGATCGAAGCAGGGATCTCAGCTTGACTGCATCGGCCGCTCTCGGTTGTTGTCAGCGAATCCCAAGCCTGAAGCCCTCCAAGACCTGATGTGCCCCACGCTACTCGACCCTCCATCAGCTGAGGTGTGTATCCTACTCGACAGGTCCAAAAAACTCCTTAAAGGGTTGCGTATGACCGTGTTTCAGAGTATTCTTTTCCTCTAGAATCATAAGAAATGAAACTTGAATCTAAACGTGGGATCGAATAGATAGGGCTTGGCCTGCATGCAGTAAAATGTTATAATTTTATTTAGGTCTTCAGGATGGGAACCTTGGCGCACAAATATGCACATCGCCCAGCTGAGAAATGGCTTCGATTCCCCGCTAATTCTATCTAAGACTCTCGGGGCATTCTCTATTTATTTATTTTTTGCTGATCATCGGGGCTTAGCTTTTGCAGTTTGGGGCATCCTGCAGATGCCTCTGTCCAAATGGACGTGCAACGCGGGTGTATGACTGGAAATACTGTACGAACTGGAAATGAAACACTATACTCGGTTGGACCTTATTGATTCTTCTGCTGTTTCGAATCTCTCTCGCCACTGAAGAGTGAGTTGCAGTTGCGGATCGGGGAGTCCGAGGCCGCTATACATTGACTCCATCGGGCTGCATGTCGACCAGAATAACAATACGGAGTACGAGGACTTTATAGAAAAAATTACTATTATTGTGCATAGAATCCACTTGTGTTTGGTCCCACCCCTCTGATTCTCAACTTCTTCCTTCTTTTCTATATCTCTTGACTTCTACGTCTCCTTTCCTTTTTTTATATTCTAATTTTCTTTCCTTTTTGCGCGTTCGCCCACTTTAATATACACTGGATTATGCGATACCTTTAACCTTACAGTCTTACAGTCCAACCCCGACAATATTGCGTGGGCGAATGTCGCCTTTATGATTTATATTCTATCTACATTCTTTTATATCATAACAACGCAGGTCGTATCACCTTCACAGAGTCATAATGCCAACAGTCTTACTCCCGTCGTCCGCCGCCGCCTTTGCGCCGAGATCATCCCCAAATGTGGTGCTGAATAGAAAGGTTGCGCCGTGGTTGACGGCCACCTTGAAGCGAGTCAACCGAGTCAAGCGTCCGCTAAATAATGTCACCCAACACACCCGGTGTCTGACAGAGACGCTGTCATCGTCGAATGCCATCTGGACATTGTGTTCCATGACATTCCCCAAAGCCCCCGAGGCAAAACTTCGCAAGGACGACAACCCACTTATCGAAGGGCTGTTCAACTATCAGATGATCCACATCGAAGCTTACGTCGTCCATGTTGACATGGTCTCCCGTAACGAAGTGGCCTTCAAGTTGACCCCGGAGACGATCGAATCCCTGGTCGATTACTACAACGATATCTTCTCGGTCGATAACGCCTCCCGTCACCAATGGGACTGGTCGGGAAAGCACACCGAGCTGAAGAAGTTACAGGAGGAATTCGTCCAAGCCGCCAACAAATTCGTCTACCGAACCAACGCCGAGGCCCTCGAAGGACTGGAAGAAGACGGTGCCGGAGAGCTGCTGTGCAGCCGCAGCGCAGAAGTCAAGGCAGCCATCGAAAAGCTCTTCATCTGGCTCGAATCACCTCAACCTCGACAGATGGACATCATGCGCCCTGTGCCCCTTCTCCCCAGCTCCACCGGCCCAGAAACCTGGTGGCAGACCCCGATGCCCCAGCCGCCTCTCGAGTCGTGGAAAGTACTGTCGCCCAGCCCAACCCCGGCCACGGCTGATTCTAATCCGAATCTTTGGGCTAGTATCAGTTTCAGTGACGCTCAGCTTCCATCCCCGACCCCGTCTTACTGCCAACCCTACACCACGTCGCCGTACCAGTCCTACGACTGCATGCCGACCACCTCGGCCGCTATCAACGCACTGCCGTTGCCGAGCACGCTCGTGCAACCCTGCAGCACGGCTGTGAGCATGGGATTTGGCGGATTTGGCTGGGGAGACTTTACCGCGCTGCCATACGGCATGATCGCCTAGCTCGCGTCTACTGAGTAGACTTGGGGCTGGTCGACCCGCCTCTGCAGCCCTCCACGACCCGTGCAACAATGGTTCAAGGAATGTAGATCGTTTCAGAACCAGAGGCGCGCGCAACTTCCGGTGTCATCAAGCCTCCTCCTTGGCTATCTCCTCTCTTCACTCATCGTCTCTTCTCTTCTCTTCTCTCCCGGGAACCCGACTTAAGCAACGACAACTCGCATTCCTCGACGGCGTTCTCTTTTCGATTTGACTCTGTGCATCTGTGATACTCCCTCCTGCAATTTGCATGATAACCAGAATAATCCTTTTCATGCGCTTGTTTTGATATTTTCTGTTCGATTCCAGCGTCAGCGTTTGTGTTATTTTTTTTTTCTCTCTTACCTCTGTTTTGCATCAAGAAGCGGCGGGTCGGCTCTTTGTTATGTTTCTTTTCGTTTGTCATTTCCCGCATATATGTCATGAAGACCTGGTTTGCCTCGCGGCATGGGATATGAATTTGGATGTGGAATGTCCACCGTTACGCTTTCAGTTCTGATGTCGTGGTTCGATGGAAGGATCGTGACTTATCTTTGGTTACGTGGCTGACTGGATTCGCCGTTTCCTTTTGTTCTCTCATCCTTCCTTCGAGGTCTATTCTTCTGGTACTGTGTACCAGACTGGCCAATACTCTCCGAAAGTAGAGTATTGGAGGATATGTCCACGCGACGGTGTGACCCTCCTTACATCTGTGATGTTTGGTTGGTGTCCGCCTTTTGGTTCATCTATGGTTCTTGGATGTGGCGATCAAGCAATATGAGTGAGAGATGACTGTCTTTGGACCTCGCCAGCCTTGAGTCCATCCGCCTGTGGCGGATGCCGAGCGCAAAGGGCGATGAAACCGGATCCCCCTTGGGTCTGTGACCTAGGGATCCTGGCATCCCGCCCCGAGCAACGAGTCTTAAGGTTGCCATCTCTATCCTCTGCGCTGCGGTCTCACCTCCAAGATCCATATTTGACTATTCATAGGTTCGTCCCCTATCGTCCAGGCTGGGTTTTAGAAATTCCTGGACATGCTTGGTCAGTCGGTGGGCTCTGTCACTGGATGAGAGAGCCCGTTCTTCATTCTTTTTCCCGGCACCGAGAATCAGACGCTCGATTTGGCTGATTCACTCCTTTTGGTCTGTCAGATCGAGGGGCTGGTCCCTTGCACTGGTTGCTTCTCTTCTTCTGATTTCTTTGTTGATCTGTCAGCAGCTTAGTCCAAATCTTGTATGTACCTTGAGCTTAGTTGGAAAAGTTGCATACACAACCTGTTTTCTCGCTTTGTATGTGTAAATCCTATACCCCGTATATGCTCAAATTACGGGCCCACCGGTACTTCCAGCCATGTTTCATACCGAAGAACTATGGGGCTTGATGATCAACGTTAGGGGCACACTGTAACGTGTCTGCCTACCATGTCAGATACTATACCAGGAATCACTAACTGTTTTCCATCGGAGTCCAATACTTGAGAATACAATAATCCCTTACGTAGATGATTAAGAAAAGAATAGGCAGTTCGTCAATCTAGGACTATTTCAAAAATTATATACTTACCCCACGATCTCGTATGACGTCAATCACGGAGGTGCCAAGAAAAACAGCACTGCATCATAAGCCGAGTAGATCTTCAACTCCTTATAAGTGATTAGGTACCTGCATTCTAGGCTCTGTTAACATTCAATTGTTGTTGTTATTTTGTCCACCTCTTGTGTACCTCTCATTCACATTCTGTTATCGCACGTGCTGCGAGGTCATTGATTCGTGTCAATAGCTTAACAGATCACCATCCTGCGGACGCAAACCAAGCGCATCGCCAATTTGCGTTCTTGAAACCTCAAATCTTCTGGATTATCGCGCTTGCCGCTTACCCCACTTCCGTCGCCTTATCCGAGCGCAATCGCACTGCTGACAGTTGGAGGCTTCTGGAACCGACATCACTACGACCCCTCACCCTCACACGCCGACATAGTGATAGAAGCACCAGATACCTTCGACCACTTCTATGGCCACTCTCCATGAGGCATTGGAGTGCCTCAAACCAACATCCTGGGATGACATCCCCCAGTCTCCCGACGAACTGCGAGACTACATACGTGACCTCTTCAAACACAGCCGGCTGATAGCAGAGTCACTCCCGGACCCTCCACTCTCCGAAGCCAAAGATTATCCCCACTTAGAATACGAAGCGACAGGCCCCTCCGCTTCCCGGATCTTCCCCTCGTCTACCCGAGTCGGAGAGACCGACCCCGAAATCACCGACCTACAAAAGCAATGGGGGAAGCCAATAAAGTTAGGCGGACCAAAGGACAACCCGCTAGACGTGACATTGTGGAAGTTATCCGCAAATGACGGCGGCGGCTCATGGTTCGGCCGGCGGAGTGTACACGCGGGGCTACCGTTCGCGCGGTGGCGGGAGAAGCTGTCCAGCGAGTATGACGAGACGCTCAAGGTCAACCGGAAGAAGATTGAGAAAGGACAAACGCCTGACAAGAGTATCCGTGGTATCGGTGCTGAAGAGAAGGTTGAAACCATCGAAGTCAAGAACGAGGATGGTTCCGAGCTGGGCCATTTGATGGTGTATCATGTCTCGGCGCAGTTCCCCAAGCCTACTGCGCCGCGTGACTTCGTGGCTATGATTGTCAATTCCGATTCTGGGTTGCAGGTTGGTGGGAGCAAGCAGCCTGGGCGCAGTTGGATCATGATCTCGAAGCCTTGTGACCATCCTGGTGTGCCGCCTAAGCAGGGCTATACTCGTGGCATTTATGAGTCTATTGAGCTTATTCGGGAAATTCCGAGGAAGAATGATAGGAGTGCGAGTAGCTCTTCAAGTCAGAAGAGTAAGAAGAAGAGTGATTCCTCATCTCTTGATTCGCAACGGCCTGAGCTGGACGGTGTCTCTAGGGATCGTGACGATGAGGAAATGAATCCAGTTGAGTGGATTATGGTCACTAGAAGTGACCCTGGTGGCAGCATTCCGCGCTGGATGGTGGACAAAGGGACACCCAAAAGTGTAGGAACCGATGCTGCCAAGTTTATCCACTGGGCTATTCAAGAGGATAAACCACAGGAGGAGGAGAAGAACTCGAGTTCGGGATCTACAACTGCCTTAGCTGGTACTGAGGCTAAATCCCGAGAGTCTGTCAACGAACTCAGGTCTGATGAGGCAAATGAGTCGGATTCGGACTCGGAGTACAATTCGCTGGATAGTGACGGCGAGCATTCACACCATGGCCTGATCGCCAGTGTAACTGGCTTGCTCAGCACTGGCTACCAGCGATTCGCACCTCAACTCCAAGGCTACATGCACTATCATGAGGCAGCGGGTCAAACCGACGGAACGCAAGCTTCCCAGGGTGATACAGATACTGCAGCGCTTTCAAAATCGAACAGCGCCGGGCAGAACAAATCCTTCGATGTCGAGTCCACACAAGATCAAGTCTCATTCTCCTCCGCCCACTCCGACCTAGCAACACCCGTCATCGACGATATCACACACACCAACATGCCCCCGGATGAACTGATGAAAATGACCAAAACCGGCAAACTCACCCACCACGAGAAAGAACTCGCAAAGCTAGCCCTACGCAAACGCGAAGTCCAAGCCAAACTAGACTCAATCCGCACTGAGCTCGAGAAACTCCAACTCCCATCTCAGCCTCCCACCGCACCAGGAACACCGCTCCGGGGGTATCAACGAGGTAGACAGCGATGCCAGCGCAATGCGCAAACGCGCAGCAACAAACCGGTCCTCCACGCCCGCCAGCTCCACCACAAAAAAGAGCCACAAACATAAGCATAGCCAGGCCTCAACCCAAGGAACAGAAAACAGCAGTGATGGCCAGTCATCGCAGACACAGACGCCCGAACCACCAGCGCATTTCCACAAAGCCGCTTCGGCGCTCTTCAATGAGGAATCGAAGCTGTTGAAAAGCTTGCGCAAGATCGAGGCTAGTCTGTTGAAGACCGCGTCGAAGATTGAAGCGAGACAGCGAAAGGATGTGGAGCGGTCTGAGAAATCGAAGTCGAAGTCCGAGGTTGAGATACTTAAGCAGGAGATTTCAGATCTCAAGAAGGAGGAGAAGACGAAGTCTAAAACTGAGGTTGAGGGACTTAAGCAGGAGATCTCGGATCTTAAGAAGGAGGTCCAGTCGCTGCGGAGTGAGCGTCAGAAATGGGTTGATCTTGTTACTTTGTTGCAGGCGGAGAATACTAAGCTGGCTACGAAGGGGGAGAAGGAGTAGGATTATTTCTTTGTGGTTCTTGTACATACGTGACCAGACGTTTTTATGATCTTGTTTCTGGGCCTGTTATAGGGGCCTGACCGGCTGGGTCGTGTTTCAATTTGTACTGTAGGCACTTTCTAGCCGTGGCCTATTGCTTGTTAGGTCTACATGATGCGTTCATCAATTCCGAGTTTGAGCTTTTCTTAGACTTCTTTTAAGGTGATTACTGTAGGGTTTCGGCTCGCCGCGAGATGGATTGGACTGCAATGCTGCAGCTACCTGCTTGATTCTTCCAATGGGGGTTGGCTAGTCTGAACTATCTGCGAGGGTTGGACACAGGATTTGAAATCGAAATCAGCCTAGAAAGCCCTGCTAGACTGTCCAGGCGCCTGCAGTCACGATGGATGGTCGCTTGCAATACTTTGTGTAGGACGAATCTCGATGGGCCCGACATGGTTTAACTCGACCCGAAAATTAAGCTAGTGTAACCAGCTTGTTTACTTTCTGGCTTGAAACTGAAGAGACTTTGTTCAGGGCCCTAGTAATCAAGATTCCAAGTACCTCTTCAAATCTGGGACGAAATGTCCAAGATTATTTCACTGGAGTCGTTTGCATCTTTACAGATGTTGAAACAGGTATATTCACTTCAATCGGCAGGTATTCCATGATTGGTCGAAACGGAGTTCGAAAAATCGTATGTCTTGATAATCTCCAAACTGATGTAACGATGCAACAATCTCACTGCACGTGTTGCTACATTGAGAAGTAGGGTTGTCATGGATCTGCCTTCGAAGGCCAAGGACGCGCGCACGAGGTGGGGTATAAAGAGGACAAAAAATCAAAAGAAGCCACAAGTGAGTGGTACTACTCTTGGGTCTGTACAGTAAATTGTCAATCGTCGATCATGCCGGTAGTCGCGAGCGACACTACAAGGATATCACATACCTCTGGCGGGTTCCCAGCGCCTCTAACCATCTTCTCCAGCATCATAGCGCGCACTTTCTCCTTTGGCTCGCCCATGCCAACGGCCATGTAGGACAGCAGGGGAGGGTGGCCGACGTAGGAGGAGTAGCTGTCACGAAGGATGTTGGAGGTCCATTCGTACTTGGTGGTATCGGCGTGACCGGTACCGATGTAACGGGCTTGAAGAGCTTCGAGATTCTGGATGGTGCGGAGCTTGTCGGCCATTATGAAATGTGGGTGGGTTGATTGTGTTGGAGAGTGTTCGGAAGCTATGAAGAATCAAGGGAAATATCGTCGACGCCTCAGGCACTCATGATATCGATCACGTGATGTCAAGAACATTTTGTGGTTGGTTCTTTCTATCGCGAATCTTTCTTTGTTTTATATAGTTATCTGCATTATAAATTAATCCAATGGCTGATCAGGCATGTGGTTCCACATTGCCATCCCGGATAGCATCGCTGGTTCATGCACATTTCGATGCTCTGCCCACGCGCAGTAAACCAACCATCTTTCCAGATGGATCGAGAGAATGGGTTCCAATGACCGGTATTGTGGTTGTGAAAGGTATGTTGAAATTACTTGCATATTCACTGAACACAAATAACTGAACTGTGGATAGGACAGGACACAGCATCAGAAACACTGACCTGCATAGCTGTCACGTAAGTTTTGAACTCTCCCAAGTGTAACGAAGGCACATATACAGGCCGCCGATATAGATGCAGACTGACAGTTGCGTAGTACTGGCGCCAAATGTCTTTCGGCGTCTCAAATTCCACGCTGTAGGGGTCTTGTGCTACATGATTGCCATGCCGAGATATTAGCCATCCGGGCATTCAATTACTGGCTTCTGACGGAATGCCACGGCCTGCTGTCTCAGGAGAGACAACTATCCAAGGGCCATGACCATGTCAGTACCGAGAATAAAGAAACTCCTAATTCGCCCTTCATACGAAAGAGGATGTTTGAAGAACATGGGGATGCATCAAGGTCACCCACAGAATGGCCGCCTTTCGAATTTCACTCCGATATAAAAATCTACATGTACTGTACATGTGCTCCATGTGGCGATGCAAGCATGGAGCTCTGCATGGCGTCCCAAGAAGACGCAACACCGTGGGAAGTCCTCCGTCAACCAGAATCTGCATCAGGAAGCCAAGAATTAGAGGTTTCGGATGCAGAGAAACTCCTCGATGGTCGCGCTCATTTCTCTCGCCTCGGAGTCGTGCGACGAAAGCCAGCACGGACGGATGCCGAGTCAACACGAAGCAAGTCCTGCTCTGATAAACTTGCCTTGCGACAAATCTCCTCCTTGCTCTCATGTGAAACCAGTCGATTGGTTGCTCCCACTGAGAATGCATATATTGCTGGCCTTGTTCTTCCTGAAGACGAGATTACTCAGGTTGGCTTCGATCGATGCTTCGGTGCAGAGGGTCGGATGCAAGCTCTTGTAGGACGGTCATGGCCTGCTACAATAGAGACAGATAACACGCCAAGGTATCAGTTCCGACCATTTCAGGTTCTTTCGGTGCCTAGTGACGAAGTTGCAGCGCTATGGCCTTTCTTCAAGCCAAAACTTATCATACCCCCCGCGATTTCATCGGAACAAGAAAACGGCAGTTCAACTTCTGCGGCCAGCCCTAAAAGGTGTAAGCCAGGAAATGTGAGTGCCGTGTGGACCGTGGCGCCTTCACATCAACACCCATGTTCTGCGATCATGGACACTGGGCGCAAGAATCTGCCACATTTAGCTCGTTCAAAAACTGGTTTATATGAAACTGTCATCAATGGCGTGAAGCAAGGCAATCGTGCATCTTCACCTGGAAAACGGGGAGCCTCAGCCTTGTCCAGAGCAAAGCTTTGGGCTCTGTTCCGCCATATCAGTCCTACTGTATCTTCCCATACTGACCGAAATGGCACTTCGGTGACTGAGCCACGACTTGATACTGTTGAAACTGGAGAGGTGCATGACGGTACCAGTCAGCGAATTGAGTCGGGAATTGCCATTTATCAGGGATTGAAAGACCCGATTGACTCGAAGGACCCGTTGCATATCCGTATGCAGGCCATAAAGGATGCTAAACAGGTTCTCAAGGGCTGGATGCCCAATTCGGGGGATGAGAATTGGGGATTGGATGTCCTGGTCGACCAGAAGAAACGGAAGCGTGATATACCCAAAGCTGTGACTTAACAGTCTGCATGATGCGTAATCTCAATGCAGGCATTGAGAGCAATGTAGAAGACATGCGTGTATCAAAATGGCTACATAACATCAATGCCGGGATTGATTAATTGAGCACGTCTCATCACGATCGTAACTGCTGATGGTGGGCATATATTGTGCAAAACACTCGTTTGCTCCGCGCGCATCGTTTGCAGCGTTTGTTAAACACCTTTGTTCTGAATATAAACGCCTCTATCCAGACCGAAAAAGCATCTTCCTTCGTCGACTTCCGACCTACGGTATCATGGGCTACAAACATCCTAAATCCAAGCCTGAGGTGGCTCCCAAGCCAAAAAAATGCGCAGGCTGTGGGAAAAAAGCATCAACTAAATGCTCTGGCTGCGAGAACTCGCCCGAGCACCAACCTGGCGATTCGCGCGATGTTTTCTACTGCAGCAAAGTCTGCCAGAAAAAGCACTGGCCGACTCACAAAGACCGTTGCAAGGCCATGCAACAGAGAAAGAAACTCCTTCGGTGTGCCCAACTCTTGAAGGAAGCCTTCTTGGCTTTCAGGGAGGTTCTTTTCGACCTCCATCTGACAGGCATAACCCTTCACAAGGGAACCCTCTACCTGAATCAGAACGCATTATTGAGCTTTGATCGTTCCAAACGCTTTCCTTTCCCAGACGACCTCACTTCCAATGTCGAGCACAAGGAAGCGGCTTTGACCAACAATCAAAGCACAACAGCTATGGCGCTGTTGGGCCCGCTAACCAGAAAGTTGCTCAAAGGTAAGAACACCGTCGAAAAATCCTCAGTATAAGTAGCATGTGGTTAATATTCAACAGAAGTGTGCTCAAAGGTCCAAGTCGCGGACGTCGACATCAAAGACCAACCATTCCAAACCCAGCTCGTTCCAGGAGCCAACCTTGACAACTGTCCACACGGGTTGTTGGTCGTAAGACTACCCAAGGGCGAAGAGAAATGGGTTATCGACACAGCAGGCAGCCAGTTCGGGTTTCGGGAGGTGATGGTGCCATACAAGAAGTACCTCACGGAGAAGGCAAGCCGGCTGGCGACTCCTCTCACGGTTTATGACGATGGCATCACGAAAGATCTGGACGAGTTCGCCCTTAATCCTGGATTGACCTATCACCAGCAGCAACGGGTGAACTTGGCGACGGACAGACGGGCTCGTGAGCATTTCGCTCTTTTCATAGATACGTGTGTGGTCGATGACTTTTTGAATGGCTCCGACGATGATATGAAGACGAAGTCGGAGGTCTTCATCCGTGATCTCAAGGTTCATCTCCGCAAGTTTCCAGGATAAGGAATGAAAGTGACGGGCAGAAAATGGCCTGAGGCCATAGACCCAGAAAGGTTGGGTCGGGTCACAGGACTCGGGCTATCTCCTTCCCAATTTTGTATTCTTAGTTTTTCCTCCGGTGTGCATCTCACGGAGTCTAATTTCATCATCTTATGGCCCCAATTCATATCTTCTGATCATTGCAGCGTCAGTAAACCTTCCAGGAAGACAGCGTGAGAGAGAGAGTGGGTGCGGTCACGTGATAACCACTACTCAGGCTCGCAGGGCGTCGGATTTCTCACGTCAGAAAGAACTGGTGCTGATATAAAGAGAAAGTCAAATGTCTTCATCCTTGACTTTAAGTCTTATCTTAGCAACTTGAAGGGATCAAAGGACTGAAAGAACTGAATGCAGAATTGAGTTTATTTTCATCTTATTTTGGTTTACTTGAAAATAAGAATGGTCCCATAATGTGCCTGGTTTAGACATCAAGTAACAATAGAAGTGGCCTAGGCCAAGGTCGGAAGCTCCGTATAACCAGAGACGTCCAGCATAAAGCTGATGAGCTCTTGAGGGAGGAATTAGGGGCTATACTTGTACAAAGATTAGGAATAAAAATAGGTAGAATCCTGACAATCCCATAAAAAGAAACGGTAGAAGACTACCTTAGTAGACTCCAGGGATGATACGGCTGCGAACAATTGAGGTGTAGCGCTTCCAGTCAGCACCATACTTCTTCTCGCACTTCTCCTCATCACGCATCTCGCGGTGGATTAACAAGACACCGAAGTACAGCATGTAGAAGTAGGTGAAGATCATACCCCAGCCACGGATCTCGGGGGTCTGCACGGCCTGCTTCTGAAGGTCACCACTGGCAGGGTTGATACTCTCAATGAGAACGTAGCCTGCAACGCCAGTGGGCAAGCAGTAAGCCCACGACATGATCCAGTCACCCAGGTAGTTGATGTGACGTGCCAAACCCCACCAGCCAGAAATCATCAACTTGGATCCAGCGGCAGTCTCAATGTACTTGATGTCCTTGACGCGCGGGTCGTTGGGGTTGGTGCGGAAACGGTTCTTCTGGTTGTTGGCACCGCGGAAGATCGAGTATCCGACAGCAGTAACACCCAGAACAACGGCTATACCAGTCAAGCCCAACTCGTAAGGGAAGATGGAGAGATAGCGAGTCTGGATGCTGTACACGTGGGGAACCCAGACCACGTCACCGAAGGACAACATGAAGCCGAATCCATCCATGATAACGTCCATGGTAGTCATGATAGCCGGCTCCATGTACAGAGCATCCAAGATGTAGAAGGCCTGGAAGATGGTGACCAGGACAATGGAGTCGGTGACGTAGCCGTAGGTTCGGTACTGGTGGGCGACATTGGACAAGTTCAGGATAGTCCATCCAAGCAGGCCGGGTCTCATCTCCATAAACACCTTAATATCAATGGTGCGCGATGCCTCGCTGACGAAGGGAATGGGCAGGCTAATGCGAGGGTTGAGCTCGCGGCCAATGAAGAAGTCGTAGAGCGCATTGCCAGTGTGGCCACCAGGTGCCAGCTCTCGCAGGCTGGGGTTGAGCTTGCCAGCCTCTGGAACCGTGAAGCTCTTAAGGTAAACAAACATTGCGATCGACGAGGAGATCAACAGGTTGGCGGTGATCACCTGGATATAGTTGTCCCACAGGAAAGTCCACACCACAAAGTCGGCTCCATAGAGATAGGTGCCTCCAGCAAGGCCCGAGAGAATAATAATGGCGGAGGGAAAGGCTATATTATAACCAAGTTAGCAAAAGTGCTTTGCGTGTAAGGCATTGTATCGCATACCATTGAATTTGTACTTCAGCTTGCCTCCGCAGGCCAGCATAGACCCCTCGGCCTCCTGACCGGGGAGGAAGACCTGCAAGAACAGGCTGAAGGCATAGTAGCTCAATGTCCACAGGGTGACCTGTGTATCATAAAGCGCAGTGATTCCTTCCTCTGGCCAGCCCACTTCACGCTTCAATTGGTCGAGCGACAAGGTCGAGGGGCTCAGGAGGCCAGGTGCGGGACAGCCAGAGACATCGTTGCAGACGAAGGTAAAAAGGTAGATCAGGACTGGAAGACCGAAGACAATGCCAAATGCACCTAGGCTGTTATAATTGTCAGTCAAAGTCACTCAAGTAAAGCTCCAAAAAACATACGGGCCACCGAATTCATAACCGCGCTTCTCCGGCACTGATTGCACGGGATTTTTTTGGAACCCTTGGCAGGCATGTTGAGAGAAAGATAGCGTAGTAAATTTGCGCCAATGACGAGCGAGGGAAATAATCCAGAGGAGGGGAAGACAGGCAATTAAATATTGCGCTGAGCTCCGCGTATGATGTCGGAACGTCCAGAGCCGCAGTTTTCCCTTCTCCGCATGAATGCTACGTAAGCGTCTTGTCTCTTGGCCCCTTCATCACTGAGCAGGCATCAACCATTTCTGCATTGGCTGCACCACATTCTCTTCTATTCCCCTCTATTCATTCTCTTCTCTGATTTCCGTGCCCTGCGTCCGGCCTAGAACGCCCCTCCTAGCCAGCCATGAAGCTGTCCAGCTCCGCTCATTACGCCCTATTCGTCCTATCCTCATTCCTCGGTCTATCCAGCGCCGAGTCTTCCCATCTCAATGATGATTCTCCATGTGTCGCTCGCTCCCCAACTACCGGGCTGTACTTTGATCTCAGCGCGATCTCGTTATCTCCGCCGGAACTGAAGAATGGCAAGAAAGTCGTGAAGGATGCGCGGGATGACAGTTGGCATGCCAAGGGACACGACTACCCAGCCAACTTCACAATCAACTTCTGCGCGCCGGTCATCGAGAACGTGACGGATGTGGTCGGGATAGATTCGTCGCGGTGGAAGAACGTCAGTGCATATTACAAGCGGGACGATAAAGTATATTCTATAGGGTATGGCAGTTCATTACCCAATCGTTCTAGTCGCTGAATCTATACATGTGTCCCAATATGCTAATGGTTATATATCGCATTCAGAGAACAAGCTTCTGAACCTTTCTTCCGTGGCCGCAAACTCGTCCTCAATTACACCAATGGCTCGCCGTGCCCAGAGGACGGTAGCATGGGCAGTTCCAATAGCTCGAAGCGACACAAGTCGACTATAATGTCTTTCCTTTGCGACCGCGATGCACCCGCAACCGTGGCCACTCCTTCCTTTGTCGGCACTCTGGACTCATGCACATACTTCTTTGAAGTCCGCAGCTCGGCTGCATGTGGTGGAATTGCCGTAGACCCTAATGCTGGAGGTCTGGGACCCGGCGGTGTCTTCGGTGTGATGTGAGCAGCCCCATTAACTCAATTCTACACCCGGGGTATACAAGCCATACTGACCTCGTATCTAGCATGTTGATCGCCGTGGCGGTGTATCTGATTGGTGGTTGCGCCTACCAGCGAACAGTCATGCATCAACGTGGCTGGCGCCAATGCCCCAACTTCAGCCTCTGGGCTGGAGTCTTCGATTTTGTCAAAGTAAGTGTCTTGACAGTGATCCCTTGTTGGTCTCGTCGCAGATTCAGATATGGCAATTTGGCGTCACGCAAGTTTCGAGATTCAAATGGGGCAGTACTACCTGTTTCAAGGATAGATTGAACACTCTTAGCTGGTCTGGAGTCCAATCGCTTCGGAAAGACGGGTTGGGGTTGGCTTGTTGCATTTGTTTCCTTGTTTCTTTACGGTCATAGATCATTCTTTTTGAGTGCTTTTCCTTCCGTTCTTTCTCTCTCGTCCTGCTCGCCATATCATCTTTCGCCTGCGTTGATCGCAGTTTATACATTTCTCGTGTCTTGAAGCAATGTCTCATGATGTTTATGCAAGTGAACTGTCCCTCGGTCCGTTTAATGGACTAGTCATTTCATACCCTGAGCTTTTGATTGAGGGACAGCCTCGCATAGACTCATTTGCGTGTATCATTTCATTATACCAGCAACATCTTTCATTGCTGGTTTTTGGTGCGACAATCGATTGCGACTACAAGAGGCTGACCAATATCTCTACGAACAGGACATGTTCATCATCCTCTTTTCATCATTAGGCAATATCTGCCGTATCAACCGCTCCCGCTCAAACAGTGGGTATATGCGCGCAGACACCGACGGCGGTCGTGGCGGTGTCATCGGCGCTATCGGGGGACGGGGAGGACGAGGCCAGGGGCGCGACGTGGATGCTGAGAACCGGCTAATAGACCAACTGGATGAGGAGTGGGATGATTAGTCCATGGCTTTTCTTTTATTCGTCTTTGTTCTATCCGGTCTTCTCGTGTACCTTATATTATGAGCGATTCTTAAGCCCTTTTTGTTGATGCTGTTCTGCGGGCATGTAGTACATATAACCGCTTGTTTGTCATAGATGTATTCATGTGGCTGGCTGTAGTGGAGATTTGTTATAAGATAGTACATTTTCCAGTCGAAAACCTCTCATCATGCTGGTTGTCTCGGGCTTCGGTGTTCATTCAGGCATGTTGTTGAGGTCGACGACCCAATCCGAGAAAACGGTAGACCAGTCGGAAGGATCCATGCTTATCTGACCAATATCATTTCCTTGTAAGTCGGCAAGGCCGTCTCCCAAACTCTCGTCAGAGATAGGGGTGCTTTGTTCAAGAGCTCGCCAGAAATCAGTGTCCTTAATAGTACCATTCAGTATCGGGCAGCGACTGGCACTAGGACTTGTTCCCTGGGCATCCATCTCTTGATGGTAAGGTTCCATTTGATCCTGATGCGTCACAGGACAAGTACCAGTTCCAATATCGGCGGGTTGGTAACTGCTTGGTGGTGGTGCATATGTTGGCGTGATGATCTCAAGCACTGATTTGAACAAGCAGAAAAAGTCCGGGTATTTGGTCGATAGAATAGGTGTTACTGAAAGATTTCCCATGCGGTGTGCAAGGCTCTCAAGGTATATCAGCATTTTCGCTCGTGTCTTGATTTGGAAAGCTCGGGTTTCAGTCACATCTGCATAGGCCAGGTGAGAGAAGCATAATTTGGAAGCAGTGCTAATTGTCATGATTATCTGGCACCACTCCCTCGTCGAGAAATAAATATATTGGTCCAAAGGTATCGAGAGTAACGCTTCCAGGAATTCTTGGACTTCGGAGAAGCAGGTGGTTGCGAGAGATTGAATCTCTGGATCTGGGAGCTGTGTATTATGTCGCTGAGCTCGGTCGGATTGGAGCGGTTTGAGGGGCAGAAATGCAATTCTGACTTTCAAGCAGAGTCTTGAGAGACGAAATGGGACTTTTACATAAATGAGTTAGCAGATGGCTTTAACCATTCTCAACATCTTTTAACTTACTATTGTCCTGGATAGTGGGTGGTAGCACCGAATCAAGAGCATCTATCTTTTTATAAAATGCTCTGACTGCCTCGCGGGTCTCTAGACTGCACCGAGAAGCAATGTCTTGGTGGTTCATGTCAGGTTTATAGCTGGAGACTTCCTCATGAAGCATCAGAAGCCTTGTGTGTTGTATTCCGACGTCTTCATCAGACCCAGGCATTATATGAGCAGCCAAATCAAAACAGTCCGCTGTAGGACCGTTCCTTGGTCTTTCGTGTATACAATTGAGCCTAGACAAAGTCAGATTTTCCTTGTCAAGGTGGATTTCAACGTAGTCGAGAATGAAAGAAACATCGGCCTTACAAGCATGATAAATTATAGCAAGCAATTGATGCATTCAGCGCCTCTTTATCATGAACCTGTTGCGCTAACCTCAGGTCTGATACCATGGTCATCGCTATCTGCATGAACTGGAACAGCTGATTTCGTAGTGGTCGTTGGTGCATTGGGTACCTAAACGACGGGTCAGGACCGTTCAATCAAGCGGATATAGCGCTCCTAGAAGAGGTGCCTTTTACCATGCAATATAAACCAATAAACCCTGGGCGTAATCCAAACTTTGCTCGCCATGAAAGATGATCCTTTCGCTTAGTACGCGGCGAAAACGCCCATCTGCTCTTTGTTGTAGTCGCGGCATTCTTGAAGAGGTCACAGCTAATATTGCCAGTAACAGAAAAGGCCGTTCTTTTGCTAGCAAGATTACTGAGGCATCTTCAGGGACTCCTATGAAGGGGAAGTATGCTCTTCGGTGTCTGAATTGCGATATCAGCTTTTCTGCTTCGTCCATGGTAATATTTCCATCTGGGACTGTATGATGAGTGTCAGGTGTGGAAAATCGGCCAAGTGGCTCCAGGTCCTCTGCTGGAGCTTCCGATGAACAACTCTCGCTCAGTTGGTCCTGGAATACCCGTCGGTGCAGGTCAAGTATCTGACTTGTCTCATCTGTCTGTTTTGGTTCATTTCGAAACAGGGAAGAGATAATATCATCACTGCGTGGTTGATCCCCGTCCATAGTTTGCTCTTTGGCAGATTGTGTCTTTCTCTCGGTGGGGCGTCCATACGAGCATGTGTAGCCAAATTTTGCGCATCTGTATTGACTTTAGCATAAAGGATCCTACTTTTCTGGCTGCGAAAGCTTTTGTGAGTGTCTCATACCTTTGACATGTATTAGCTTCCGAGGGTTTCTTTCCTGGCAAGCATCTGATCTTGCGTGCGCGGCACTTATTACATGCCCTTATGTTTCGGGGGCGCGGACAAACGGCCTCGATGGCACTATTCCTTTCCATTATATGTCCTCTGTGAGATAAAATTTAATTTCCTTAGGATACGAGTTTCAGGGATGCATGGTAAATTATAAGGAAAAGAAGAGAGAAGGCCGAGCGGGCCGGATGAACTAAGACGAGTTAGGCCGAACTAGGAATAGCCCTATTTCTAAATACCAACCAAAATCACATCTGCCAAAACAAAGTACGACAATGTGACTGATTTAAAGCAGAGAGAGATTCAGAAATCCCACGTCTGGATATCCTTATAATCCACGTCTCTGTCTGGCCACCCTCCCTCCTGTGTCAGGACATCGATAAAAGTCCCCTCACCACCCCAATTCTCCCTTCCAAACGCCGCAACCATATCAAACCCATTCAACAGCGATCCTGTTGTCCAGATCTTGCCATCACGCACATAACGCTTCTGTATCCAGTTGACTCCAGGGGCCGACTGCTTCATCGTGGCCAAAAAAGGACGCGGCGCCGTGGCAGTTTTTCCCTCCAACAGCCCAGCGACAAGAGCGGGTTGAAATCCAGCACATACAAGCAGGAGTGCGGTACAGTCATCGTGAGTCTTTCGCAAAAACGCTATCTCGGCCTCGGTGGCTTGGTAGTTGAATGACATCGCTCCAACAATCGCGATGTCGAGGGGCGGGCAGCTGGCGAAAGAGTCCTTTAAGCCATGCTTTAGTTGATTTCCTTTTAAATAATCTGATCAACTGGATGTAGGTCTGGTAACGTACCGTTGGGGCAATCTTCACGTTTCCGGTCAGCTTATTAGGCGTCTTGCCGTCCTCATTCACCCAGTGAAAGGTGAAATCCAGAGCGCCCTTTTTCAACTCATCGGAGAGAGGCACAGTCTCGAGAAATTCGCGGCTAATGCTCGAGAAATAACCCACAGGTGCAACGTCGAGGTGCTCAGTCAATCTAAGATAGTCAGATAGAACCAATAAGCTTGATATAGATTGGGAAACTATACGTGTTGAATAGAATCACGCCGACACGGATCGGGCGTCCGGGGTTGCGAAGGTCGATAGGAGACATCTTACTGTTGAATTGAATGCTGTTAACTGTTCAATATGTTGGTATTCACATAGTTTGCGGATTGAGTATGCTCTTATACTCCTACTTCATCGAATGGCCCTTGCCATAATTGGTTAGCGTGCGGCCATCCGCTGTGTGCATCTCCCACTCGCCTAAACTTTCCAGCCGCACTTCCGCCCTCGTGTCCACTTACTATCCGCTGAAGGCATGTATATGTATTGATGAAGTCCTCTGTTATGGATATGGCAACAAGATGACAATAATCATTACCAAAATACTCAACTACAGTCCTGATAGATAGGTCATCTGCCCATATGTTAGCAGTTCTCGTCCAAGAATCAGCGTTCAGTCTCTTCATTAAACATCACATATTATCATCACTTATTATTCTGTATGTGTTATATTAGAATTCTACACCCCTTACCCACCTCGCTTCAGTAATTACTCGCGGGGTAAGTCTATCATAATTGCTAAGCCCTAGCACGACTTGGTGGCCGTCCCTTGGGTCTAGACAGTAGCTAGAAATAAAAGCATCTTGTATATTTCCAGTCATCACTGCTACATTGTTGATTGCTTAAGTGGTTAAAAAATATGTTAATTCTATATATCATGTGCGTAGTTATTTCTACTGATATTTATGTGCAGAGAGGCGGTTTGGGCTTTGGCGTCGTCCGCAGGCGCACATCGTAACAGAATATATATTTTACCTATATCCACCAACTCAACTATTTGCTAAATTAAAGTACTTCTAGTTGGTATTTTTTACAGCTCAGCAGTAATATACAACTTACATGTCCCTACAACCCATAGATCTCAACGAAATGTAATAAAAATACTTGACCTCAACTGTAATCCAACTGTCTACTTTTCCATGTGGAGCCTAGGTCCCACATAACGGGCTAAGCGAACGTGGGAACATATTTCTTATTGCACGGGAAAAACATATAACTAGCATCATTGGTCTAGTGGTAGAATTCGTCGTTGCCATCGACGAGGCCCGTGTTCGATTCACGGATGATGCACAACATTCTTTTTTTTTCTTGCAATTTTCCAATTTAATGAATGACCTTTCCTTTCCATCCTTCCGTATGGGCCGGGTCCATTCTAAATTTTTACGATTTTGCTTTTCATTTAATATTCTCCTCGCACTAAAATAGTCTCCAACGAAACACTATATTCTGGAGATGAATAGGAATAGGAATAGGAATAGGAACACCCAGGCCAGCAATCGAGTCAACACGAGTGCTACCTCTACCATAATGAACGTTGTAGTCATGAAAAACATTCCATCCAACATCGAAAAGAGAATATACATGTCCGATGTAAGGATAACTTATGTACACAAAGCAACTTAGCCGTGGAAAGCCCTGAAACAATACAAGTAGTGATAAGAGAAGAGCAAATCGTAAGAGAGCAAAAATAAAAATAAAAAAATAAAAAACCAAAAAATAAAACACCAGTCCTGCAAGCCCGACTCCAAACACACTTGGAATCATTATAAGAACCAAAAATGACATAGCGGTCATTGAAAAGCAGTAACAGTAACCAATACCTGACCAGGTCACTGCCGCGGACCCTGGTTTACATCTGGCCCTGACAAACCCAGGTCATATGCACTCATGGGTAACCCCCTCCACCGGCAAATCCAGGTACTTCTGGTACACCGGGCAGGCCAGAGGGTTGGGCATCATTTCCACGGCCGTTATTTGGAGGACCCGGCGCCGGGCCTGGAGGCGGAGCAGGTGGGGTTGCAACACCGACAGGATCAAGATTGAAGGGCAAGAACCAAGCACTGGGTTGGTAGAACTCGCCCGTTCCAGCAGGGGCGCCTGGGTCTAGTTGGCCAGTGAAAAGCGATTGGTCTGGGTTCTGCGTTTCGACACCGTTGACTGGCGGGACGGGCGGGTTGTTTTGGACGAAGGAGTTGGGGTCGAAGTCGGAGAAAGAGCCGTAGACAAATTGCCGATCCAGTTGAGGGAGTTGGTCCTGAGGGATGTTGAAATCGAATGGTGGTTGGCCGAATGACATGTGCCGTGGTTGGGAGAACATGGAGGGTTGTGGGAATGCACTGCCTGGGACGCCTGGCGTGTTTCCCATTGTTACTTCCATCATGGATTGTGGGGAGGTCTGTTCCATGCCTGCAACACTATCTGATAGTCTGCTGTTTTTGCGAGAGCGCGACTTGCGAGGGAGGGTTGGTTGTTGTGGTGTGGGAGACAGGCTTGCGAAGAAATCTTCTACGCTTTGGAGGTCGGGCTTTTGGCCCATCACTGCATCCTCGCCTCTTTCTCTGTGCCGTGTATCAGGATCCTCCCAGTGTATTCTTGATACACCATGTGGATACTTGTCGAACCAGTCACCATATTGGAACATTGGTGCTAGTGATGTGCCGTTTTGAGTTGCAACAGAGCCCTGGATAGCTGCATCGGCAAACTGACGATATCGATCTTTGGCACTTTCAACCATGTAGTGGAACATGCCCCAGTACTTTTTCATTTTATTAAGGTAGCGGTATGTATGTCGAAGGTTTTCTTTTGACCGCGCCTCCAGCTGGACGTTCTTCGAGAAAATGCCCCAGATATGAACCGTACTGGCCGAATAGGCGCAGTATCCAGCAAAGGGAACGGTGAGAGGGTAGGCCGAAGCTCGGTCGAAAAGGACCGAAATGTGATGCGCCGCCTCTACCGCAGCACGACCTGCATTGCTAAGGAAGGGTTTAGGCATATCTCGTGGTGGCCGCCCTCCCGGTGACAAGGGGATTGCGAACTGGTTGAGGAATAGCATGTTTTGATGTATGATGATATGGAGGAAGAGAAACTGGTTCGCAACCTTCTCCGCCGCATGGATCTGAAGATTCTCGTAGGTGAAAGTCAAAGGAGCCGGGAGGGAGGCGGAGAATTCTTCAATCTGTCGCTTGAGTCGCATGTACCCTGATTCTGGATGCCAAAGTGGATGTGCGTCCTTTCTCTTACCGCCTAGATTCAGGTAGTCAACAAGCCGACCCCAAATGACGATGGAGCGGATGATGTATGCCGACACACCCATGTTTTCTCTGGCGTTTGACAACTGGCCTGTATCTTCTGGCGTTGGATTGAGAACATCACCGTCGAGATCTTCCGTTGGACCGGGGATTTCCATCTGAAAATGGGTTTCTTTGATAGGCAGCTGGATTTGTAGGAACTTTTCGTTTCCAATTGGCGGCCGTTGACTGCCGGAGGAGTTATACCGATCCATCAAGTAGCATGCCCACATAGTCCGACGTCTGATCTCTTGATCGGTGAAGCTCAACTGCGAAGAGTTGCTGGGGCCTTTGTTAATCATTGGTTCCTGCTCAAGTTCTTGATGCAGCTGCAAGGCATATGCCATCCTCAGCGCCTGACCTCCAAAAGACCAACTTCGTCCACCATGACAAGTTCCGAATTCATGGAGACCAAGAAGGAGGAAAACGGTAAGGATTGTGATATTAGGTTCGTCATGTCTGCTCAGAGCAATGGCGGCGGCAGGATTAGCCCAGTTCTCCCCGCGCAAAAATTGCGGTTCCGAGTTGAGCTGAGGATGTGTTGAGAATCGCGCGGAGACAGCGCAGACAGCAAGAATTAACACCGGGGGAACAGTGCCAGCCTTGAGCCGTCGCATAAAACTGGGCTTGTGTAACAGAAGGTATGATTGCCCGTAGACACAATCGAAGAACACCTCTGCAAGGTGCTCCTGGATCTCCAAGGATGGCAAGAACTCAGCTCCCTCGGTCAAAAGGCCGCTCCCGTCGCTGGACTTGATCTCGCGATTCATTGGGAAGGTCTCATGCGGCGGGCGGCGGTCCCCACGGGTCCATTCATCCATCTCCACCTCAAACGCCTCATCTGCGCTTCTTTTCTTTTGGGCCTTGGTCGGCTGATTCGAAGCAGAAGGCTTGACAACAGACCGACCGATAGAGGCCATGTCCCTCGTCTCTTCCTTCGGTATCGTTTTGATCACGCGATCTTCCATCCTCTTCAACCGCTTATCCAGCATAGCCATATAATCCGTGCGCGGCGCAGCCTTCCGCGTAGTAACTTTATAGACGCAAGGAATCCTCGAGCGAGTACAGTGCTTGCAAGCGGGCTTTTCGCCCGAGCAGCGGATTTTCTTGCGGCGACATGCGATACATGCCAGCGGCAGTCGCTTCCTCTCTTTCCCAGCCTTGGTCTTCATTTCACTCCAAGCGGGCTTGTCGCCGTCGTTAAAATTCCCCGGGTTCGACGGTCCGTCACCGCCGTCGTCTCGTTGGTTGTCTAGCGCGCCGTTGTCCAGGCCTACCGCGGGGTCGGCGGTTTGTGTGCTACCGGGGTCGCGGGAACTTGCATGGCTCTGCGTGTCGAAGTCTTCGAGAGCTGCTGCTGCCTCCTCCTGGCCTAAGCTGAAGCTTGTGCCAGAGGGGTTCAATGGTGATTCGTCACCGGGTGGGATCATGACGGGTGCAAATACCCCAGGACCCAGGCCCGAAGCATCCTTCGGTACGGTCGGGGCAGTTTCGAAAGGTGATCCGCGGAGGGTTCCACGAGATGTTGAAAGGGAAGTCTGGCGGGAGGAGTCGGAGAGTCAGAGAGTCGGAGAGTCGGGGTTGAGAAAATGAGGAGGAAGTTAATATGGGGAAAGGTTCACCGGCTTGGCAAGAGCGTCCACTGGTAGTGCTCTTATTACGGAGACTCCCTTTTTTGAGCACGTCACAAAGAATACTATTATCTTATAGCTCGGCGTCTTAGAGAGGAAAAGGAATTACCGACGCAATCGACTTTCAAGGTTACATGTGGAATCTGGGGGATTTGCACCAATCAGTTTATCGTGAGCTCCGTTGCTACGTACGGTAGTATACCCCGGCATATCACTTCAATCTGCACTACAAGTCAGGGACTTATTCTGGAGTTCTCGAGACTCTATGTAGCATGTAAGCTCGGATCTGAAAGCACAATCATATCTACATCTACGTAGGGCAACCGGATATTATCAGCTGGACCGGAAGCTTGACAAAATCCTATGGAGCTATAGGGGTTCCAGAAGAGTTACTAATTGCATCGCATTACAGACACCATATCATATATCAACCCTTCTAAATATAATGGGTCCATGAGACGCCCTTCATTCAATCTTTTCTCAATTGTACTCGGATCACCCACATCTCATCTCCTCGTATTAAATCAATCCCGCCCATCTGCGCGGCCAAATCTAGGTAGATTTGGGGCGTCCGACCTTCTGGCGCGGAGTCGCGAGCTCAAGAGCATTCAGAATCTCAGCGCCGAGGGTGTAGATGTTGTAGCTTGGGAAGACAATCCACGCGCCACTAAAAGAACCAGGTTAGTCGTCTTCATTCTAGAAAGTGGCGGGTAGCAGGTAGACCTACTTAGGAATGATCCAATAGAGGAAGAGATCGAGCGGCGCATTGTGCCCAATGTTGTCGAAGCCCGAGAAGACCTCATTGAGCCCTATTAGTTCAAGGCGTCAGCATCCCAACCTATAAAAGAAGTGCATCCATTCGCAAGGACCTACAATAGAGAATGGTCTTGCTCAAAGTCATGACAGACATGGAGTAAGCGACCATGAGCGCGATAGCCCCAATCCGCCCAGCTACAACCTTTTCCCCCTTCAAAAACCACAACAGACCCTTCTTGACCCTCTGTCCACGGCTAGCGACAACAGTTGCGCCATAGCTGTAAACAACCCAGAGGTAGAAGACGTAGCCGATGGTCTCGATGACATTCAGAACCGTCTGCGCAGCAGTAAATCCATTGCGCGCATTGAAGGCAGGCCAGCCATAGATATAGTCGATCTTGCCGTAGAGCGCGTAAGGCGCCCAGATGGGGGAATGGAGTCGCCCGCCGGGCATGCTATGCGGTCGCAACAACACATAGCCCGCGTCCCATGCGACCAGGGGCACGGAGACGACAAGCCAGATTGTCAGCGCAGCTGAGGGGGTATGGACCCATTTGCGCGAGTTGGGGTTCGTTGTCGCTGGCGATTTGGCGAGCTCATTTGCGGCGCGCTCAGGCGATGGGAATTCGCGAGGGTGGTGTCGCGTGGAGACCATTTTTGTCGCACTGTAGTTGCGGGTGTAAAATGGCAGATGCGAGGTTAGGCTATTTACGGGAAGTGGAAAACGCGTTAGAGTGAAGAATGCTGGGAGGCATACCTGGGGGCATACCTGGGGTCCCGAGGTTGTGACGGCCAGTGACGTATCATCCAATGCTGACCCGCATTGGGCAATCGCCTCTTACCGCATTTGAACCTGGTCTACTGACTTATAGTCTCTATATTGGGTATAGTGCACACAGTGCATGTAGTCTATGCTTGTTATAGTCGGATCCAATAGGCTTGTTTGCCTCATTTTCGAATGATTCTCACGTACACGGACCATGAGTTTCCCGGCGACTCACGTCGGCAGTTGTCTATAGATCAACCCTTTCTTCTTTCTTTCTCTCAGCCCACTTATATGTCCGTTTCTCAAAGTGGAGAGATGTAGTTCAGCATGTGCTCCGTATGAATGTATTATATCAATTTCTCATACTTTATGCTGGCCCAAGAAATCCCTGATTTCACTCTTCAATCGCAGTACTCCATTTCTTCAAGAACCAAGGCATACCCTCCCAACTCCTCTGGTCCCAAGACTGACAATCCCCATCAGCACGGTGCCGATGACAAATAAGAGCATGTCGTGTATAAATATCCAACTTAAAGTCCCAGAGACTGAAAGCATGAGGCATCGCATAACACATCATGATAGCTCTCTCCCGAAGAAGCGGCATGGGTATAAGGTCCAAGCTGGCATGATGTGGAACAAGTATCTGAGCCATGGTAGGCTGAAGATGGATTGGAATTGATGAGTTGAATGTTGAGACAACTAGATCCTGTGCGCTGTCTTGGGCGGTGATTGATTTGAAGAACGGTGACATGTAGGTGGTGCTACAGGCTGCCAATCGGTCGACATCGAATCCTAGACGGAGGGCGTTGTTCAGGATTGCTATCCACATTGTATCATGGGGCGTTTGTAGGGCGTTCATTAATGGTTCAGCGAGGGAGGTTGGTGAGGTGCCAGCCCTATTGGTAGATGGAAGCCATGTTAATGATTGTGAGGGACTGGGTAATGTAGGCTCAGAACTGGTATCAGGTGAACTGCTTGATAATAGTTCTGATACGTCGGATGATGGTTGAGGCGCCAGCTTTCTCTTTCGCCCGCTCTGGGCATTTGAACAATTTCGGCGCTCTTTTTGTCTCTCGCCTTTAAGGAATATGTTAGCTCGGTTTATTAGTTGAGAAAACGAAGGACATACGATACGCTCGCTGCGCAGTTCTATTTTGTTCCTGGCGCGCTGGTGTGATAAGTCGCCTCTTGGATCGATTGGAAAGAGCAACAGCATGCTGTTCGACCCCTGCTGTGGAGGCCATGTCTTGACAAGCTCCTGTGGACAATGACCTGCAAAATCCCGAATTATAAAGAACAAGCTGGATTCGAGCTCAAAGAGAAGGAAATACATGCATACATGCACAACGGAAAAGACGGAGGTAAGTGATAAGAGCTCTTAACCCCGAATACTCCAAAATCCGTTCAATCATAAGCCACATCTAGGAGCCACACTGGCTTACGCTTTTAAGCCAATCGGATTGCTTGAACTATATGCCTGGAATCGGAATGATCGCATCGTTGAAATGAGCTCAAACATATAAATTGGCGCGTGTATCTCACTCAAATTGAACAAATAATCCAGCTCATCTAAATCAGCACATCTTTATACAGCCTCAGATCAAAATGTCCTTTACCTCCAAGAAAATCATTGCAATTGTTGGCGCAACCGGCACCCAAGGATCATCAGTTGCCCGCACATTTCTCGCTCTACCCAACTGGCACGTCCGATGCCTCACGCGCAATCCATCTTCCGAGAAAGCACAAGAGTTAGCCCAGCTAGGTGGTGACCTAGTCGAAGCAGACCTCAACAACGAAGATTCCCTCCGCCGAGCATTCGCCGGCGCACACGCCATCTTCCTCAACACTGATTTCTGGCAACCTTACCGGAAAGCCCTGGCCTCAGGCGCTGATGCTGTGACCAGCGCCAAGCAGGGTTACGAGGCGGAAGTCACCCACGGAGAAAACGCAGTCAATGTTGCTGCGACAATTCCAACATTGGAAAGACTCGTGTACTCCGCGTTGGGTCCTATGAAAGCTGCGTCCGGCGGAAAATACTCCGATTCAAACCATTGGGAGACGAAAGCTCACATCGTCAACTATATCGAGAATCAGAAGGTGGAGTTGGCGAAGAAGACATCATTCATTTATATTGGTGCTTATATCACCAATCCGTTCCTGTACCCGAAGTCCCAAGCGGATAGTGGGGAATTTGTTGCTGCACTGCCGGGGAGAAAGGAAATGCGCATGCCTATCATTGACACTGCCCAGTCGACTGGTCATTTTGTCCGGGCTTTAATTGAAGACGAGGAGTCCGGGATGAAGCTTTTGGCCTATGATGACTATCTTTCGGTTGAGGAAATTATGGCTGTATGGTCTCGTGCTCTCGGAAAACAGGTCAATTTGATTCAAATGACTGTTCAGGAGATGCATGAGAAGACGGGTATCCCGCTTGAGGTTCTTGGTGGTCCGGCGTTCATTGATGAATATGGCTACTGTGCTGGGATTGAGAATGTTGTTGAGCCTGCTCAGCTGAAGTCTTATGGGCAGCGGACCGGATTTGAAGATTGGCTGAAAAAGCAGGATGTTAGGGAGTTGCTTGGGTTGAAGGATTCGAACCGTTGGGATGGTTTAGTTCAGTAAATATATAGTTGGAGATGGCAATGTAGTTGTATTCACTATCCTAATCGCATTTCAACGTTTTTTTCTCCAAACTGTCAGTATGGATTATCATCGTGCAGATGTAGCTATTCCCATGTTGGAATAGCCCACTTAGGAAGGAACGCTAATCACGATCACGTGACACAACCCAAAAAACGTCAAACCAGAAGGCGAGAGCCGTCATCCCTCCCAACTTGCAGGCTACTGAGAAATGATCTTCAAATGCTTGCCATGATGACCGAACTGGCCTGATGGAATTTACGTATGGCGAGTTTGACAACCCAGCTGTGCTCCACACCCCTCGAGAGGCCACTGCACTACAGTAACTGATAAAAGCTTAAGACGATGGAAGAAGCGCACGATCGAAGGGTTAGTATCTCCCAGAATAGATATCTGCAACCTACCGACAAACTAATTATGAGAAAGGATGTCGACCGCCTCGCGCGCGTAAGGGACAACCAGCGCAAGAGCCGAGCTCGAAAACAGCAGTATGTGAAGGAGCTAGAGCAGCGTCTATCTGTCAACGAGACTCAAGCCCAACAAAGGGACATCGAGTATCGACTGGCCGTGCAAAAGGTAGAAGCCGAGAACAGACATTTAAAAACGCTCCTTGCATCACTGGGTGTTTCGAATGCTTCTGTGCAGCAATATTTGCAGGTGGTCGAGCAAAGAGAGAACACCACTCAAAAGATTGCCATTCCTGCTGCTCAGCGACGAGAGGGGTTGAATTCCCCGGCACCTTGTGGCTCTGGCCCCAGGCTGCCTGTGGCGATACCTCGTGTCTATGATAACCAGGTGAAGACGGAACCAACTGAGCAACAGTCATCTTCCTGCGGTAGTGTCTGTGGGCCGGCAGCCAGCAATGGCTCGTGCGGGACGACAGCTAGCAACAGTGTTTGTGGGCCACAGGCTAGAAATAATGCCTGTGGACGAACTTCCAGCAACTCCAATGTTCCAACCAGCAGCAACAGCGCTTATGGCTCAACAACCCCCAGCAATGCGTGTGGCCCAACCGCTAGCAACAGTGCCTATGGACCGACAGCCAGCAATAGCGCCTGTGCGCCAAAAGCAACAGAAAAACCAAAGTCAAACGAACTGTCCAGTCATGAGCCAAGAGTTGGAGATCCCGATTTATGCGGATGCAGCCCTAATGGACAAGAAATGGTGGCAGCATCAGAAGATGACCTTCTCAATTCGACACTCTGTGGCATCGCGGATGAAATGATCAACCGGTACAACACCAAAGGATTAGACGTGGAAGAGATCCGGCGCAGAACCTGGTCTGGATTCCGGGCCGGCGCAAATGGCACTGGCTGCAGAGTTCAGAATTCCGTTCTGTTCCAAGTGCTAGATGAAATTAGCCACGACGTATGATCTCGGCTTTTATGTTACGCAAATTGCTACCATCGGCATCTGAGATGGACATTCAAGATATCATCTGATCAGTCCATTCTGGAATACCGGTGAAAGATGTGCCACAGTGGCTGCCAAGGTGCGATGACTGCACTGAATACTACTCCTACCCCGAGAGCGTCATTCCCAACTTGAAGCATTGCCGAGCCTGGACCAACGCCACACCGCAAGGGCCCGGATTGAGACCACGGTCCGATGCACGGCTTGTCAGTGCAGAGATCCACATTGTCCTACAAATGCGGGATCAATTCACACTAAAACTTGCGTGTCATTACATCCTTCTCGGCATGACCCCGCGCCAAGATTGCAGGTCTAAACCAGAGACCGAAGCCGATGCTTTACGAGAGATCGACTATAGCCACGGCATCAATGATGCAAGAGAACTACACATTCCCTTGTTTAAACAGTCTCAGATTATAGAATTTGAATAATAGCAAATAGCAAATCATAAGAGCCTCAGTAAAAAGAACCCAAGCATCCTACAAACCCGCACGAGCCCCCCCGGATTGCCGAGTCCAACTCCCCGGAAAAGATCTTTCAACACCCGCGACAACATCACACCGTTTCACCGACGATTAGCCGGAATACAGGCAAGTCTGACTGCTTCGCCGGTGCATTCAGGCAGGGATCAGCATATTACCCGTAATTTTCTCCCTATTTCCGGCAGTAAAGTTCCAGGGGAATACCTCGGACCAATTTTCATCTCCAGTTTTCATTCCCCAGACCAATCCCGGCCCTGCTGCACTCCGCGAAATTTAGTGCGCTAGTGTGTGTAGGAACATTCGGTCTGGAGACGCCCCCCACCCGCTCTCAAGGCACACCCGAAAGACCTTCCGATTACAGTAACTTGCCGGGCCGACGATTTCATGAGTGGTTTATAGCGTTTAGCCGCGGGGTTTGAAGTACGTGTATACTATTAATGGGTAGTGGAGGCTGGCATCGATCGCTTGGGCCTGGTTACATTGTAGTGGCATGGTACTGTAGTCGAAGAAGCCGGGGATCCGGAATTAGATGACTGCATAATGTAGCGTGGGGGAGGAATCTCGGTGAAGGGAAGACCGACTTCAAACAAGAAAAGTGATCCAGGGTCCAGGGACTTGCAGAAAAAGGCCTTGATACTGTATACTTACTGGCCCGATGAGCGTGCCGAGTCAGCCAAGACTTGGATCAGCCCGAGTTGAGCGGGCGACTCCGTATGGGGATGTGCCAGCTCAGCCAAGTAGTACAGTGTGGGATGTAGTAGTAGAGTGAATGAGGGCAAATTAATCGCGCAAGACATCTGGAGTGCAGCGACTGGGGATGGCCCCGCACTTCCCCAGGCTCTCCACGGTAGCGAAGGTGCTTGGCTGACGGCATCCGTGGTTTGACAATCTTGGAAACAACAAACAATCCGTATACTTCGTATTTATAGTTAACGAAACACCACCGTAGGCTGGTATATAGTATAGAATAGACATAAACCACAGCAACAAGTGTATATAGCCAGAAAATGAGATCGTGTTTCTCCGCAATGACATAGGAGTTCCCCAATCGGGAAGTATAAGCGGAGATCGCAGCCATGCTCAAGCCTCCCGGATAGTCTTTGCCGTAAGATCGGGATCTGGCTTGGCTGTGTGCTGGTAAGGGGTGCTAGTGTAATGATTGCTAGGAGTCAAAATACGAAATATCGATGCCGATGTTCCGGAAGGGAAGATAGGGGAACCAATGATGGCCAGGTTCCTGAGCTGTCAGACCTCGAAGAATGGACGGAGAATTAACGGAGAAGATCGAGACGAGGTGGTATGAGCCGAACTTTAGGCGGCCATTCCCTCGCAGTATGGTACTAGACATGCATGCCTATAACGGAAGGCTGGTGCGTGGTTGTGCTAGGGATGTACCATGTAGGTATCCAAAGGGGTGGTTGTTGACTCCTTTCCTTCCTCCCTTCAATACCAGCCACTTTTGCCTTTGTCCCTGCTCCCCTTTCAAGGACGGCTGAACAGTTCAGAGCGCAGAGCCAATAAGTGGCGTAAGTGACCGGTATAGTGCATACTATAGTGCATGCCTCGCGCAGTCTCAGTGTCGATCCCTTGATTACTCCACACTTTTTTGGAGCTATGATTGACCCTGCCCCTAGTAAATTGTTACATTTAAATCGGAGATTCCCCCACCATTATGCTGCACATCGGTCCTTTCTTCAAAATATCACCCTCCACTTACCCCAACAACAATGAAGTTCGGGTGGTTAGAGGTGGCCGCTTTGGCTTCTGCCTCAGTGGCCAGTGCCAATGTAAGTGACGCGTCCAAGTCCAATTTGATAGTCGATGCTAATTCATTGGCGTTAGCCCCTGGCCTATTCTCCCCCATACTACCCTTCACCATGGATGACCGGCGAGGGCGACTGGTCTGAGGCCTACAAGCGCGCCGTTGAATTTGTTTCCAACCTCACACTTGCCGAGAAAGTCAACTTGACAACCGGTGCTGGTTGGGAGCAAGAGCGATGTGTCGGTGAGACTGGTGGCATCCCCCGACTGGGAATGTGGGGAATGTGTATGCAGGATTCACCTCTGGGTGTGCGCAGCAGTATGACCTCCTTTCTCTCCGCTTGGTAGTGCACCGGCTAATCAAACAACAGGTGATTACAACTCTGGGTTCCCCTCCGGTGTCAATGTCGCCGCCACCTGGGACAAGCGCCTTGCCTACCAACGCGGTATGGCCATGGGTGAAGAGCACCGCGACAAGGGTGTGGATGTGCAATTGGGCCCTGTTGCCGGTCCAATTGGCAAGTACCCCGACGGAGGTCGTAACTGGGAGGGTTTCGCTCCCGACCCCGTCCTCACTGGTGTGATGATGGCCGAGACCATCAAGGGTATGCAGGATGCTGGTGTCATTGCTTGCGCCAAGCATTACATTGGAAACGAGCAGGAGCACTTCCGTCAGTCTGGCGAGGCCCAGGGCTACGGATACAACATCAGCCAGAGTATTAGCTCCAACATCGACGACAAGACTATGCACGAGCTCTACCTGTGGCCCTTTGTTGATGCCATCCGTGCTGGTGTTGGCTCTATCATGTGTTCTTATAACCAGGTCAACAACAGCTACGGCTGTGCCAACAGTTACACGCTGAACAAGCTCCTCAAGGGTGAGCTCGGCTTCCAGGGCTTTGTCATGAGTGACTGGGGTGCGCACCACAGCGGTGTTGAGTCAGCTCTGGCCGGTCTGGATATGTCCATGCCCGGTGATGTTTACCTCGGTAGCCCTTACTCCTACTGGGGTACCAACCTGACTATCTCCGTTCTGAACGGCACCGTTCCTGAATGGCGTGTTGATGACATGGCCGTCCGTATCATGGCTGCCTACTACAAGGTTGGCCGTGACCGCTTCCGTACTCCTCCCAACTTCAGCTCCTGGACTCGCGATGAGTATGGCTTCGAACACTTCATGGTCAGCGAGAACTACGTCAAGCTCAACGAGCGTGTCAACGTTCAGCGTGATCACGCCCAGGTCATTCGCAAGATTGGTTCCGACAGCACTGTTCTTCTCAAGAACAAGCGTGGTGCTTTGCCTCTGACACACGATGAGAAGTTCATCGCCATTCTGGGAGAGGATGCTGGCTCCAACGCTTACGGTGCCAATGGCTGCAGCGACCGTGGCTGTGATAACGGAACTCTGGCCATGGGCTGGGGTAGTGGAACTGCCAACTTCCCTTACCTGATCACTCCCGAGCAGGCTATCCAGAACGAAGTGCTTGACTACAGTAACGGCCAGACTAATGTATTTGCCGTCACTGATAACTGGGCTCTCACTGAGATGGCTGCACTTGCTTCCCAGGCTTCAGTTGCTCTCGTTTTCGTCAACGCTGACTCCGGCGAGGGCTACATCAACGTCGATGGCAATGAGGGTGACCGCAAGAACCTTACCTTGTGGAAGAACGGCGAGGAGGTTATCAAGACCGCTACTCAGAATTGCAACAACACCATTGTTGTCATTCACAGCACTGCCGCTGTCCTGATCAGCGACTGGTATGACAATGATAACGTCACTGCCATCCTCTGGGCTGGTTTGCCCGGTCAGGAGTCTGGCCGCAGTCTGGTTGATGTTCTTTACGGCCGCATCAACCCCGGTGGTAAGACTCCCTTCACCTGGGGTAAGACTCGCAAGGACTACGGCCCTGCTATCCTCACCGTTCCCAACAACGGTGACGGCGCTCCCCAGGACAACTTCGACGATGGTGTCTTCATCGATTACCGTCGTTTCGACAAGGACAACACTGAGCCCATCTATGAGTTCGGCTATGGTCTGAGCTACACCAGCTTCGAGTTCTCCGACCTGAAGGTCACCCCATTGACTCCCACCCCATACAACCCCACTACCGGCAAGAGCGACAAGGCCCCTGTCCTCGGCGAGGCTGAAAAGGCCTCTGACAACCTCTACCCCGAGGGCCTCCACCGTGTCACCCAGTACCTCTACCCCTGGTTGAACTCCACCGATCTCCGTGCCTCATCCGGCGACCCCGACTACGGCATGGACTCCAAGGACTACCTTCCCGAGGGTGCCACTGATGGCTCTCCCCAAGATCTCCTTCCCGCCAGCGGCCAGGACGGTGGTAACCCAGGTCTCTTCGAGGATCTCTTCCAGGTGACCGCCACAATCACCAACACCGGTTCCGTCACCGGTGACGAGGTTCCTCAGCTCTACGTCTCCCTCGGCGGCGAGGGCGACCCCGCCAAGGTCCTGCGCCAGTTTGACCGAGTCACCATTGCCCCTGGCCAGCTTGTGCAGTGGACCACGACTTTGACTCGCCGCGATCTGTCCAACTGGGACGTCACCTCCCAGAACTGGGTCATCTCCGACGCCCAGAAGAAGGTGCATGTCGGTAACTCGTCCCGTAAGCTGCCTCTCTCGGCCGCGCTGCCCTCCGTGCAGTAATTTCTTTCCTTTCTCTTATTTTTTTCAATTCCTATCTTGGGACGCAAAAAGGAGGATATGCCACATTATTCCCTTTTTTCAGGTTGTATAGCCATTGCTTTTTGCACATAGTTTTAGATCCATGCCTTCTGTGACTATTCCGGTCATTAATGAACCCACGTTTTATCCAAGTTCTTCAAAGCTCCTCAGACCGTAAACTCCCACAGATCCAGATGTCGTGATGAATGATGCGACTCGCGGCTCCTAGCATATCCATATATATCATATCACGGTGTGAGCGCTTGAAAATAAGGACTAAAATCAATGCATTATTTAATGGGATGAGGGCCTACATGCAAACACTTCAAATAACGTTAACGTTATTTATTTGACCCTTGCCCATGGCTGCTAACAGTAACAACGTGGGGAACACCAGGTTGCCGGGGCTGTGATTGGCAGTGTAGAGAGAGTACCTGGATAGGTACCCGTGGATGTGTCAATAAACATTGGACTAAAATGGGGCCCTGGGTACTGCTGCGACAGACATTACAAAGGGTGCAGCAAACACGAATATTTGGCGTAGTCTTTGTCTGCTGTATGTCTTTTCTAATTTTCTCTTAATGTTCTTTTTCCCATTCCAATTATTGGTTGCGTGGGATACGAGGGTGCTTTTCATCCCGTGACACTGACATCATCAAGCGTATCTTACTATCGAGGGGTGATTTCGGGGCTGCTTATCAAGTCTCAACCTTGCGAGACATCTTTCACCCAAACCTCTTTACATCAGGATTTATTGGAATCTCACAACGTGATGGCGAGCGAAGGAAATGCAGTTCCTGCCCTAGAACCTACAGCAGCCTCAAATGATAATACCAGTGGTAATGTCAATCGACTTTCGGCGGCCGACCGAGTGAATTCCGCCAACGACGAGCTGCCATCGATGGATATTCAACGTAAGGTTGAGAACCATACGGTGCTCGATCGTAATGGCGAGACGCATCCATTCAAGAGCCTCTACAGTGGACCCGATTCGGCTCGCCGTGTGCTAGTTATCTTCGTTCGGCATTTCTTCTGTGGGGTAAGATTTTTTAATATCTAATTGTTATTTACTCGGCTAGCTGGTCATTCTGTCCTGCCGAAGATTTCCCGAAGAAGACCGCAAAGCGATTGCTGAGGTACAATTTCATTAACATCGTTCATCACAAAAGAGCTGCCAAGAATTCATCCGCGCCCTTTCGGAGACCATAAAGCCTGATTTCCTGTCGCATCTGTCGGTGGACACGTCCATCGTAATTGTCGGCTGCGGCGACCCAGGCCTGATTGATGCCTATGTTGCCGAAACGGGGTGTCCATTCCCTATTTTCTCCGATCCGACATGCAGATTGTATGAGGATCTTGGATTGGTCACTTCTTTAGCCCTAGGACCGCGTCCAGAGTACATCCGCAAGAGCATGATGCATATCGTCGCTGGGTCAATTATGCAGGCTATGAAAAAGATTCCCAGTGGACTGGCGACCAAGGGAGGTGATCACAGGCAGATCGGTGGGGAGTTTCTCTTCGAACTGAAAGGAGAAGAAAAACAGATAACATGGTGTCACCGGATGAAGACCACGCGTGACCACACTGAAATATCAGAACTGGCGCGGATCCTCGATCCAGATGGACACGGTCAACCCCAGAAGGCTTAGCAGGCCTTCACTGTTGAGATTTTGGACACTATCCTGTAGGAAAAGCTGAGGTTACAACGAATCTCTGAATTCCCAAGAAACAGGTTCTCGATAGTGCACTACGCCAGTTCCATCTCGATCTTTGTTTGCTTCTTTGCACGTAGGTTATTAGTTGTTATCCGGTGAAAGTCAAAAATTGTGTAAAAAGATGGAGGCATAAGTTACCTTCGTTATTACCAGCTTTCCATTTCATGGACTGGTAGATAACGTCCTATCACTGGTGCAGGCTTGATGCTCAACAATATCTTCCCTTCGCGGGTTCTTATAGATCCCGATGTCGTGATCAATGATGCGATTCGCGGCTATACCCGCCAGACCCCGAGTCTCCACCAGATAGCCTATCAACCAAACCCAACCTCACCCCCAACTATAAAGTCCACTCCCCATCCCATATCCACCACCCAGTCCAGACAAAAGCAAACCTCCAAAATGCAAGCCATCCGCATAAAACCAGCACCAGAAACCGAAACCCCCTACTCCCCAACAAACCCAGCCCCATCAAAATGCTTAACAAACGACAAAATCCCAATCCCAAGACCTAAATCCCCAACCGACCTCCTAATCAAAATAAAAGCAACAACAATAATAAGAGACATGCTCACCTGGCCCGAATATTACCACCAACAATATACAATCCCGGGCCACGATTTCTCAGGTACAGTGGCAGCCGTTTTCGAAAGTGACAGCAGTACGTCCTCATCTCCCTCCCCACCCCACAATTTCATAATCGGAGACGAAGTCTTCGGCATGGCAAATACAAACCGTGCCTCGACATGGGCTGAATACGCCATCGTCTCTGTTGACGAGGTTGCGCGCAAACCGCGTACGTTGGGATGGGAGGAGGCGGCTGCTTTGCCGCTTAGTGCGTTGACAGCTTATGAGGCACTTTTCCGGCATGCGGGTATTCCCGTGCCGATTGTTGGATCTGGGAAGGAAAGGAATGTGTCTTCTAAGCGTGTGTTGATTACCGGGGCTTCTGGTGGGGTGGGGATTTATCTGGTACAGCTTGCTGCCAGTGCTGGTGTGCATGTCGTTGCGGCTAGTAGTTCGAATGTGCGGAATGGCGAGTTTTTGCGTGGGTTGGGGGCTGGTGAGGTTGTTGAATATGGGGATCTTGAGGGTGTGAATGGGGCGTTTGATGTTATTGTTGACTGTGTGGGTGGTGAGGTGCTTTCTAAGTGCTGGGGGTTCGTTAAGGGAGATGGGGTGTTGATATCGGTTGATTCTGCGAGTTTTGATTTCGTTGCTGAGCATCAGAAGCGTGGATTGTGTGACGGGAAGGAGGGTGTTAAGGCGCTTTTCTTTATTGTTGAGGGGGATGGGGAGGTTTTGAGTGCGTTGGCTGCTTTGGCTGAGTCTGGTGCCTTGCGCTCTTTCGTTGCTGCTACCTTTCCTATTGAGTCTGTTAGGGAGGCTTATGATTTTGCTAATGGGAGATTTGAGGGTCGCGGGAAGGTTGTGCTTACTGTTTGAACTTGAATAAATCTTCATGTTTCTACATAAAAGGGCTGCCCAGATAAAATGAGAGGATGAGCAATATGATCAATATCAATTGTATCTAAGCATTAGAGTTGCTCAAAAGCACGCCATTTCTGCCAGAGAGCGAGTAAGAGTGACCTGAAAGTCTGTACATACTATGTACGCCCCTGTCTATTCTTTGGAGCCCTTATGAAAGCTATTATACAAAGTCTTGAACGCCGAACCTTCCCTTGATAGAAGAGTCTGTGGTGTATCAAATTCCACAACCTGACCCTTTTCTATGAGAGCAACCTTGTCAAAATCCAAAATTGTATGCAGCTTGTGCGCAATGGCAATGAGAGTCTGGTCTTTGAAGTGAGTCCGAATGACCGTCTGCATTAGTGTGTCTGTCTCAGAATCCACACTAGTAGATGAATTAGTAAATAGATACAGCAGCCTTATTCGCTTCTTGAACGTACCTGCTAGTTGCCTCATCCATAATGACAATACTGCTTGACTTGCACAGTGCGCGCGCAAGACAGAATAGTTGTTGCTGTCCGTGGGAAAGAAGATCATCGGACATGTCGATATCCAAGCCGCCTTTTGCCTCAATGTAGGACCATAAATTGACAGCTTGAAGAGCATTAATGATCTGTTTGTCATCCGCATTGGACTCAGGATTGGCGTTTAGCCGAACGCTGCCATGGAGGAAGAATGGCTGCTGGGGGATGATGTTGATTCTGGATCGCACGTGGGATCTTGAAACTTTTGAAATATCTATACCATCTATGCGAATGGTGCCTTTGCTGAGCTCAAGTATCCGCAGAAGTGCTGAAACAAGGGATGATTTGCCACTAATCAAACGTCAGTATTGTTATTCAATCGTCCAGAATTGTCTGTGACAAGGTATACAAACCTTCCAGTCCTACCACACAGAGCTACCTTTTCACCAGGAAGGATGTTGAGACTGATGTCTTTCAGTACTGGATCCGAGAAAGCACTAAGAGGGTATTAGTATGAGACAAAAACGCCGGCAGATATATCGAGGTACTTACTCATAAGAGGCTGAAAGGCCAGAAAGTTCAACACGACCTTGTCGAGGCCAGTCCTCAGGAAGCACCTCTGATTCAGCATCCAAATCCTCAGTTGTGGCATATTGCACATAGGAGCGAATTCTAGAAACAGCACCAATGGAGGTTTCCAGTCCAATCCAGTGTGTCACAAATGACTGCAGAGTACTACTGAAATTGACAATGTTAAAGAGTGCAATGCCCAACAGGTTCATGGACGGGCTTCCTCTCATAGAAATTGCAATAGAAATGACAGCGACGGCGATGAATGCCACTATCAGGTCCAAAACAAGACCTATCCAGCGCTGGATGCAATATAGCATGTAAGAAGGGCGCTGCGAGGCATCCAAAGCAATCAGATTGCGGCGCTGGTACTCCTTGCTCCAGCCATAGGCTCGAATGCTTGAGAGTCCGCCTAGGACCTCCAGGAACTGGGAGAAAAGAGGGGCCTTGGATTCGATTCCTAAGAGCCGCAGCTGACGAGAGGTCTTGATGTAGAACTTTGCCACGTAGTAAACTACGAGGACGCAAAATGGGATCAGCGCTGCTGTGACATAAGATGATCCAACAAAGACAAGGAATCCTTCGGTAATGCAGCTGAGAGCGGCATTGACTGTGAGCTCCAGAGTTTCAGGCAACTCTTCGTCGATCAATTCAAGGTCTTGGCTGAATCTGCATTGAATCTACATTAGTAGGGTAATAACAGTCTTCAGAAAACCATTCTGACCTGTTTGTGGTATTTCCAATATCCGTCGAGGTCAAGAATGAAGTTGTTGCTCTGGATGAACTGTCAATAACGGAGACCCGACAGAGTCGATGCACTCTTACCCCATTGTTGTACGAAGAAGAATCTCATGGAACCGGCGAGCTGTCTTGGGCTGAATAAACATGGCGAGAATCCTATACAACGTTAAACATGCCAACACAATGAGAAATTTAATCAACATACCATGTGCCAAGGAAAGTAGTCAAAAGCGAGAAAAAGCCAAGTGCAGCATACACAGTTAGCCAATACCAAACATGTGCATTTGGGTGTTGCTCATTTGCACGAGTCCACCACTGCAGCCATATCTCTATAATCAAAGTTAGCGGCAAACGAATATCACCGAGCTAGATAATTTGCAGAACTGACGTGGAAAGCTGAGACCCAGGACGAATAGGGCACAGCATATAAGTAATAGTGACAGAAGTGGCCAGCCTATGTTTTCGAAATAATATCGATATACAGTCAAATCGCCTGTTCTTCGACTTGAATCCTCTTTGCTCTCATCTAAGTTTAACCCTTGGAGGGTTTCGTCATTGAGCACGATATCCGGGGCTCGGGTGGTGCTGGCTGTGTGAGAAGTACCGGACAGGGTACTGACATAGCCGTCGGTGCTGACTAGCTCGCTATAAGACCCATGCTCGAGAAGTCTTCCATTCTCATCGAGCGCGATGATATTGTCCGCATAGGCGAGATGATGAGCTGCGAAAGGATTAGATTAACCTCCTTGACGCATAAACCAAAAGAAGACCCTACCCGAATTGGTCGCCATAATCACTGTTTGGCGGGACTGCTTGATAGAACCATGTCGAGAAAAGACTATCTCCAGAATAATCTTCTCCGTTTCACGATCCAAACCCGTCAAAACATCATCCAAAATGAGAACCGGCGCGTTCGAATAGAGCGCCCGTGCAAGTGCCTAGACAAGCTGTGTTATTCGATGCTCATAGAAAGATATGAATGGAAAACTTACGACACGCATTTGTTGGCCACCACTCAGTCGAGACCCACGAACACCAACTTTGGTCTGATCACCCATAGGAAGCTGTTGAAGGTCGACCTGCAAAGCGCAGGACTGAATAACCCGGTCGTACCGAGTTCGGTCCCATGGCGATGCCCCAACAATATTTTCCTGGAGAGTTCCGAATGTAATCCATGGTGATTGGTTACAATATGCAGCATTGGTGAAGTTGGTCGAGATTGAGCCGGAGCATTCTGGTATCTCTCCCATGAGGGTTTTCAAAAAAGTGGATTTTCCGCATCCGACTGGCCCAACAATCATTGTAATCTTTGAGACTTGGATGTCAATGTTCAAGTCTTTTAACACGGGCTCATCGTCAATTGACCAGGCTGCAGACAAGTTTCGGATGACAACACAAGGTTCATTGTTCTGGCTCTGGGTTAAGGAATCAACCTCGATCAGAGGGGGGACGCTGTGTTGATCTGATCCATGCTTTACTCGGTAGTCTTTTCTTTCTGTCTCTAGCAAATGCTTTTGAATTCGCTGGAAACAATTAACAACTGCCATAAAGTCCTCCGAGCCATCCACGATAGAGACCATTGGTTGATCCAATAAAGCAAAAAGAGTCAGTGCAGAAAATGCCACGCCGTTGGTTAGAGTAGCTGTGTCATTGACCTGGGCAAGTAGTATGTAGGCACCAAATCCAAACACGGGTGCCAGGGTAGTAGAGGCATAGCCTGAAGGGTTAGCACGTAGATACTTGTAGTAGGAGCCGGCGCATACCAAGTGTGAGCCTTATAACTCCGAGAAGTCGGAACATATATGAAGCCTCAATTTCCGCAGTTCGAAGATCTCGAAGATTTCTGGAGATGATCTCTGTAAGGCCTGTCATCTTGATATTCTTCATTACCCCGAGGACATTTGAGGTAACCGCCACGCGCTCTTCGACAGCTTCAAGCCATGTTCCCTGCGCATTACCTGAAACCACGGCCAAAGGGATACCAGCAATGAGACATACTGTTAGAATTTGAGTTAGTCATATTACCCTAGAAAAGAGTGGTATATGTATTTTCACTTACTGACAACTATTACCGTAGATGCGATTGTCGCAATGTTCAAGAGCCTTGCCAGCAACCACAAAGCCAATGCAACCTCGGTGATGTTTGAGTATATCTCATGCATATCTATTAGGCCAAATCCAATGCGCTCAATGTCAGTGCTCATCAAGGTAATAGCCGCCGCATCTGAAACAGCAGATGTGCTCAGCCGCAGTGTTTTGTTGAAGATCATTGTTACCAAGCTTCCCCGGACCATAGTGATAACACGGAAGGTTTTGTGTTCATAGGCAGCATAGGATACCTAGATAATATTATCAGCGTGGGCCCGCGTATTTTCAGGAAACTGCGTACTGCGATGCCGATGTACACAATAGCATAGGCGCCGATGAGCCCATATGCGTAGTTGGTTGAGTTGACATGCTCCGGTTCAGTCATAAAATCAAGGACGCGCTCCACGAGGAAAGGCTGCGCGAAGCAAAATCCTGTATACGCAAGCCGGGGAAGAACACCTTCCAGGAACGCCCATTTGTAGTGAGCCACAAAGGTCCACAGAAGTGCGTTTGAACGGTATTTGTCGGCTAGAAGATCATGTCAATACTTAGCTTTTTGGGTTACCTGATGCAATCCGAATCTCACCTTTATCCCATCTTTCAAAGAGGGATTGAGAATTCGAGGCATTCTTGAGGTCATCGTCTAGAGAGGGTAAGCTATCCACTGTTAAAGTGGTCTTTGACCCTCGCCAAAGGAGGTCTCTCAGCCACCAGAATAGCGCTCGATTAATAACGCCACTGGTTGATTCGATCGGGCTGTTTTCATATACCTTCTTAAGCAACTTTCTTTTTTCTGTCGCTTCGAAAACCAGAATGATTGCTTTGATCACCCAGCTGACAGCAAACAAACTAGTCACGGTTTGGTTAGACATGAAATACAAAGTCCGGAGGCGCGCAAGGTCAAATAGCAATGCAAAACCGAGGAAGACATTTAGGATTGTTGATGGCCGTATTGAGCGAAGGTGCTCAAGATGAGAGAAGAAAAGCAAAAAGACAGAAGTGAGCACGGTCACAAGTGTTGTGCCTATGGTCGCTCTCGTTTTGGGAGTATCCAGTTGAAATAAAATGATCAGCAACGCAACATGGCACGCGGTGTAGAACAGCCAAGACAGCTACGCAGGGGTTGTTAGCATACAGAATGTGGGGTGAGGCCACATCGGTTACTCACCTCCTTCGCAGCGTACAACCATGACCGGTTGACCTTCTCAGGCGCACGACGGAGCTTCCAAGCGCGAAAAGACGCGGTCAAACAAACAAGGCCAATTGGGACAAGAGTGAGGATGCTTTCCTCGAACAGGAGGGTGAAATCGAAGCCATGAAGACAAGACGGAGCTACCGTTGGGCCGAAGACATCCTCTACGGCCGCTGAGCAGGGATGATCCAACATAATGAAATGAGAGAGATAAAACTTGAAAGCCACGCAGGAGCTAACATGAGGCTTAAGTGAACGGGAAAGGGTCAAGGTGGAGGCGGGAGATCGCTGGTGCCTAAACAAGACAGGCCGAGACCCTTGACTCACCGTGACTCGACCCGACTCATCCCCAATGTTACATATTTGTGATTTATTTAACTTGACGGAATTCATATCCCTGAGCGCTTAGCGGTCGCGAAATGAAGTTTATGCAGCAATTGAGTCATCCGGCCCGTTTTCTCAGGGTAAAATGGGAGGCCTTAGAACGCCTTAAAATTTATTTCTTTATACTGGGAGAACATTGTTTAATTGGAAACTATGAGATGAACTACCCGATTAGTGATGAAATGAACTTGCTTGACATAAAATTCTATATTCTTGGATTACTATTGCGCTGAAAAGACAAGTCTATATACGAATCAACTTGCGCTGTGAGCAAGGGAAATTTCATGATACAAGCACATTGGTCATAGGTATTGACACCTCCTCGCCATATGTCGTCCCTGTAGATATGACGCGTAGAGGCCAAATCATCATGCACTTCCACTCAACAGGGATGATACTACTAATACCTTGTACCTCTCGCTCGGGAATCCCACGAAGCCACCATACATCTTCAAATTCCTTGACCAGGGCAAAAAGATAAGCCAAGATAAACAGGACACGCGGTCTCCTCTCAGCAACAACACCAATGAAGGTCTGAGGAACGACCGGAGGGAAGCCACTGAACATGCGCCGGAGTACATGATCGGGCTTCCCTTTTTGCACATCAATGTAGAATCTTCCCAAATATGCGATGCCCTCTTCATAAACAGCGAATGCTGCACTGTCCATGCAGTCATCTTCTTGGCGGTAGTGAAGCAGGAACTGTAATGGCTTCATGGGTCCATTGTAGACTCGCTGGGTGCGATCGGCACTTTTCCAGATTGCGGGCTGGGCTTGAAGCAAGGGGCATAGGGGCGAATTATTTGTGATCAACTGATCATAGACGGTCTTTAGTACTGTTCGGATGCCATGGGCCAAAGATAGCCACATAACTGGAGGATCATATGGTGCCGCCGAGGGCTCCGACCGGAGGAAGAGGGCGTATAATGAAAGGAGCACAGTATTCATGCAGACTGCTTCAGTGACGTTTTTAATCCAGATTTGCTGTCACAGGGCGGTGTTGGCGGATAGCAGAATCAATGTATCCATGATAGACTGGGCGAATCGAGCTGGCTTCCTGCGGTAATAGGGTAGCTCGATGAGCTGCGCCCAACGCTAATAAAGTGTGCAGAAGTGGTTCATATTCGAATGCCAGCTGTGGCACTGGCATACCCCACATTTTGCGGACTGATTCCACCTGAGCGGAACTCATCGTGTTGCATGTTTCTGTGACCCATTGATGGATCAGGCGCATCTCAAGGATGCGCATCGCCCCAAGCTCTGGGGATGGCAGGCTGGGGGTGGGGTTGGCCTGAGCGTCACGTCTTGAAATTGCCTTTGACATAGGCTTATTTGGATTATATATGCGAGGTGTCAATGATGGCCATTCGCATGCCACCGAATGACGTCCACAATGGCCGCAAGTTGGGCGTTGTTCATCGCACTAGAGACTGTGAGTATGTATGTGATGATACCAAGGGGAACTAAAGCTTGCCTTGACCTTCCGCGCTTTGCACCGAAGACACCCAGTTGTTGATTTTCGGTGGGTCAGACGAGGCGGCATTTTGATCCCGTCTGAACATGCGACCTAAGTCTAAGCAAGAGTTTCGGTATCGGCAAAGAAGCAAAGTGAAGTAACAATCAGGAGTGGTTTCGCCCCCACAAGGGTCAGTTTCGGGCTCGGATTGTTGTATTATTTTGGGTAAAGCGTGAAATTGAAGAGTTTATCGTGTTGTTATTGGACGTTTGGATGTTCCCCACTATTCAGTTCTCTCTCTAAGCTTACGCTTAGAATGAAATAAGCTTGCTGACTGCTGATCTGGAATATTTCTTACATTATCTTGAAGTACCAACAAGATTTGTTTTAGTGCCTACAAAACGATAACGTAGTGTCTCTATTAATACTAATAAGATATGTCCCTATCTTCCTTATATATAAAAGTGGCACTTAAATCCAACGTCATTCGTCAGGACAACCTGGACTTATTTCCACAGGCCTGGCGTTCAGGAAGGCATTAGTGGTCCAGGGAAAAGGGGTATAGGTCAAATGACCAATTCATCAAGCGAGTTATTGACTTCTGTTCAACTGCATTTGGCTCCTATCAAAGGTACGGAGAGAGTGGGTTTGGGGAGTACTATATATTTTCTAGGGCTTAACATCGTTGCGCTCCCAATCGCTAAGCATACAACACAGTGCCATAATAATTCGTAATGCAAAGCTGACACTCGCGGATCCCTGTAGAGTTTATCCTACAAAGTTTGGAACGAACCATATTGTAGATTGCGAATGCGGACGAACCAAAACCTACGTTTCGTCATGATGACATCCTAGCCGTACATATGCTACGCATCACGGGACTCAATCTCATTATATAGAATATAGCTAACTTCACCCTGGGGGTCCATAACTTCGCAAAGGCGAATGGATATTGAAAGATTCCCCTTCAGTCGATAACATGGCAGCAACAACCGCCACAAGCGTGCGGAGGCTATCCTCCGCCGAGGCTAGGCGATGCGATCTATACAGCGGTCCAATCGTGATCGCTCCTCCCGAAAATATGAATGCACCGTACGACGCAGACGGAACTGCTATGCGGCTGGAAAGAGCCAGGAAAAGCATTGATGAAACGGCCTCCGGTGGGGGCACCCCCGAGGTTGCACAGCCAGACCGAAGCAGTACAGATAAATTCGCGATCGCCTTCGATATTGATGGCGTTCTCCTGAAAGGAGGGAAGCCGATTCCAGCATCGATCGGTGCGATGAAATACATCAATGGGGGCAATCCATATGGAGTAAAGATGTAAACACTTCGCCTCTCTCTTTCCCGAGATGCACACACTAACTTCATCCTAAGCCCGTATATCTTCGTCACCAATGGCGGCGGGAAGACAGAAGAAGAACGCTGTATTGACCTCAGTCGCCAGCTACAGATCGAGGTCTCACCTGGACAATTCATCTGTGGACACACACCGATGCGCGAAATGGCCGAGGCGTATCAAACCGTCCTCGTGGTAGGCGGCGAGGGTGAAAAGTGCCGCGTCGTCGCAGAGGACTATGGTTTCAAAGACGTGGTTACCCCCGGCGATATCATCAAGTCCAAGCATGACACAACGCCGTTCCGGAAGTTGACAGAGGAAGAGTATCGCAATTCCCGTGATAGAAATTTCGACGAGACTACCATCGATGCCATATTCGTATTCGCTGACAGCAGAGATTGGGCCGGTGACCAGCAGATCATCCTCGATCTTCTGATGTCGAAGAATGGACGCCTAGGGACTCGCTCCGAGACCTTTGACGAGGGTCCGCCTATTTACTTTTCCCACAACGACATCGTGTGGTCCACCTCTCACGAGCACTCGCGCATTGGAATGGGCGCACTGCGGACGTCGGTAGAAGCTCTTTATAAGGAACTAACTGGTAAGGAGCTGACTACCGTCGCCTTTGGGAAACCACAACTCGGGACATTCGGTTTCGCGACAAAACTGCTTCGCGAATGGCGCAAGGAGGCGTACGGTATTGATCAACCGCCAGCCACCGTTTATTTCGTGGGCGATACGCCCGAGTCCGATATCCGGGGCACGAATGAGTACAACCAGATCAGTGATACTGACTGGTTCTCCATCTTGGTTAAGACGGGTGTCTACCAAGATAATAAGGCGCCGCAATTTCCTCCTAGGAAAGTTTGTGAGGATGTCCTAGAAGCTGTCAAGTTTGCTGTTCAGCGTGAGTTAGGCGAGGACTCGTGAGTGACTGATTTGAAGTAAAGCGAGCGACGAAGAACGAGGCAATCAGCCTGATTGAATTTAAGCAACTTAGTGACTATTGGTGGATGCGTAGGGCAGCTACAGGCTCTGAGATTGAACCAACGACGAAATGCAAACGACAGAATTATGGACATGTGCTTGTGCTCAGTTTGTACGGAAAAGTCTTAACTCACGTAGCATTCTCACTCGTATCATTGAAAGTCGGGTATTAATCCTGACAGATACAAAACACAGATAATGTACGCCCAACCTAAGTTTGGTATAGTGGATCATATGATTAGGGTTTAAAAGAGAATCTCCATGTTTCTAACATAGAAGGCGATGTCGGGCGCTACTATACGCCCGGGGTAGGAACGTAAGGAATCATCTCCACACTGCAGCCTTTGGTTCCATGACCGGAAATCCCTATGTACTTAGCAGGACTTACCCATCCTGCTAGGACAACCGTCGTGCTTCCCTTAGAATGCTGCGGACTATTCGGTTGGTGATTATCTCTTCATTACGTCGAACTGCTCTAGAGACACGGAACGCTTTTACTAAAGAAGATCACCTCTCGCATTCTTGTTGAAACAAGTTTACGTAGGAAAATAATATCACATGGTGCGAAAGCATTATGATCTTTATAGCATACTCTTGCATAGATATTCCGTAGTGAAATCATGACTGTAAGGGTAGAATACCCTAGGAATGCAAAATGGTTGATGAGATCTAATCCCGTTAAGTTTTAGCCTTGCCAGGCTGCCATTACCATGTATGGACTTTCTTTTGCATCCAGCATGTCAGCGTATGTTAGACACCTAAGACCCCGAGCTTATATAAAGCTCTGCGGAGCATATCGAACGCAAAGATATTTTCAATCTTCCTCTTAGTAATCCAGTAATAGCTCCTATAGACAAAGCTCCTCTCTCGCGCTATTTTCCAGCGCTAGATTTGTACACGATTCCTCTATTGAGACGCTTTATCAGCCCGGATTTACTCCATATCTAATGCCCTCCATTATTTGGCCTCGCGATATAGAATCTGGTTGTTGATTCAGGCTATCTGGTACCGAACTTTCTTGTTAGTCTACTAAGTCACTCAGTGGGGCAACATAGACAAAGGTAAACGCAATTCGCTATAGACAGTTGAATATAACTGTAGGACAATGACCTCATCAGCGATAGTACCTTCGACAAACGAGGTTGTGCAGCACATACTTAAAATCCGAGTCCTCTCACTGATATAAACCATCGCACCGGTCGTTTATACGCATCAGTCTCGCTACGACGTGTGGTTTCCATCCATCCAAATCGAGGTGGCGTGGTAAAGATCCTCGGCTGCTATACTATTTAATTGCAGGGACCAGAGAGCGGCAGCCAAAATTCGAGGTTATAGTCAGCGCCACCAGTACTAGTTAAGTCCCAAGTGCACTATGTGTGATTGTCTGTCTCATTGATGCTGCAGATACCGTATAATTCAGAATGCAGTGTGAAGTACGGATTATATGATGCCTTAGCGCAGGTTTCCTAACAATCTACCCTTTACGATCAAGACACACATGTTTAGCAATTTTTGCTGTCCACTGGTTCATGTGCTCTTGATGTATCGCCGAGACTAATTATTTGGAACCCGCACTACTCTCACGGCCATGAGCCGCAATGCAATTATGCTTCGAACATGAGCGGTCCCCGCCTCCTTATAACCAGGGAAACCCTTGCGACATGCAGAGAAATGCAGCTCCAAGACCGGCTCAGCATTCTCAACAGTACTATCTATCTGACTCGAAGCGATAGTGGAAAAATTTGACTGCGGTATATGGGTTATGGCGTTGAACTTTTGAGCATTTTACTCGACATTGGGCTTGGTTGAGGTTAGAAGGCTGGGACACTTTGTTTTACGTTTAGGTTATATACCAAGGGTACACATAATTCGAGTCCATTATATTATGCTTCTCATCACAGACCCACGAAATCTATCAAGGATTTGCGTAGCGCATAAGTTTACACCAAATTCTTGCTGCTTGGATTATTTCCCTCGTAGCCACAACATACAGAAACGCCTTTTTGACAGCTTCAGTGCTCATAAATCGCGAGCCTTTGGGGGAAATCTATAAGACCTTCTTTAGATCGATAATGCTCTCCGAGACCCGGTTAGCAGTGCCAGATAACACGCCTGCCGAATGCACCATCAGGTAGCGACCGCCATCCTCTTCAAGGACACGCAACGCCCTCGTATAACTATGTTCCTGAGGCGACGCAATTTCAGTCCATTCGCCCTCACCCAGAGCCTTGTTAATAAATAGAGTACTCTGAGTACCGGAGCTGGCAATGAGGGTGCCGTTCTTGCCGCCATATTTGGTCCACACGATGTATGGCGAAGAGGTTGGCTTAGTGCCACTGGAGACAACAAGACGCTGGCCCTCGACTGAGAGGAAGTCTTCAGGGTTGGATGAGATCTTGTAGTAAAGAGGGAAGGAGTAGCTTGAAGTGCCGAAGAAGGAGCCGTATTCGTAGATGTAGAAGTATTTGCCGTTCGGGAGCTGCAGTGGTCAGTTTTATTGAATATAGAATTGGTTGTGTTGTTGAATGCGATAGAAATGAATATACCTTGGTCACGACTGGCATTCCTGGTCGATCAGTGTAAGTCGATTCCGCACTACATATCCGTCAGCGATAGCTTTATAACAATGGGAAAATGTGCCCTTACACATCATCTACAACAGGTCCCCATTTCTTCAAATCAGTAGAGACCTGGTGAACCATCTTTTGTCCGTATGTTGCGTTGTCTCGCTGATCGGAGTAATAGCAGATCAACTTGCCCTGACTATAAAACAGTTAGCTAGACATCCACAGTCCAATCATAGCATTGTGAATCTCACTGAGCAAGGAGGAAAGGCTCCCACACAGGAGTCAATCCATTCACCGGCTGTGCCTCTCCTCCGGCCGCAATATGGCTGACAAACTTCCATGTGACGCCATCATCATTCGATGCGTACAGATCAATGTTGGTAGACGAGAGATCTGTGGGGATACTACTACCTGCTAGCAGCAGGGTGCCTTTCTTGAATGAACCGACTCGCTCCGGAAGGTAATAGAGGAACGGTTGGTAACGCAGTCCAAATCCATTCGCAGTATCCTGGGCCTTGGAAATCTCCTTCCAAGTCTTTCCGTGATCCTTAGAGCGGTAGATAGGGAAGTAGACCAGTGGCGGCTCTGGGGAATAGTTCTCCCATGTTGCAAGGATATCACCATTGGGAAGTTGCTCATTGCGGGGGTAGAGCGTGCGTGGGATGTTGTAGTCGGAGGGTGGTGTAAAGATAGTTACGTTTGTGACTGGGGAAGGTGAGCTCTCAGAGCGTGGAATACTGACTGCTGTGGCAGCAGCAGCAAACGCAAGGATCTGTGGAATCTTCATTGTTGGCCAATTGTACTTGCGAGTTAATTCGTATGCCGTGTCGTAGCAGCACCATAATGCTGCTTTTATAGTCTGGTACAGTGGAATATTGCATGTTAATTCGATTCTATGCCGAAAATCATACTATGGGGCTATCCCGCCGGAATTGTCCTCATTTTGGACTAAGTTGAGGCTATTTCCACAAGCCAAGTTCCGTGAGGAATTTCCATCAATCGCGCCCGCCGTAGTATATCCGAGGAAAGGACGAAACTGTCTAGGAACAAACTTTCCGAGAGTCACGTGTGAATTCAATACCCCTCTCGCAGATTAAAACGGCGAGTCAGTTCTCTTGGCAAGTTGTGAGTTGTAATATATGCTCTATAGGGTTGGAGTGGGCTGTGAACAAGGCGCAAGGTTGAGGTATAGTCCCCATCCTGGAGCATCTGCACACTGACATGCCCACAGACAAATTTTTTGAAGCTTTAATAAGAAAGTTTGGCTCCAAGTGTCTGACAAGAGAAGAAAGAAGCGAAATATGTAGTCATCTTCCATATTCGTGGTTGGGGCCAGGCGGGTGAGGGTTATCCACAAACACGACATTCAAAATTATAACCTCACACAACCAAGTTCGTCAAGTTGCTTCAAAAGTTTTGAGTTGGACAAAGTGCAATTTTTTTTGGCGCAAAGCCTCGTGGGCAGTTTGGCCCCCAACCCCACAGCCAAATTTAGCGCGGCGCCCGAGGGATATACGAAAGGGCCAATCATATGCAACCAACAATGCTGCGGCCTGTCAGCACACAGCCTTCCAACCTTCCAATGCCGCCATGATCAGCCTGTTAGCAACGTGGTTAGGGTAAATGGCCACAAAGAAGCAGCAAGCTTCGTGGCTAAGCCCTGTTGAATATCAAATTCAAAAATTGGGGCCTAAAATATTGCGAATCCAAACTTATATAGTTGTGCCTTACTTCTCGAATTTCTATCTCATTCTTACTCACTGTTACCTTCGGGATTTTTATTTGCTCCCATCCAGCACATTTTCGAGACACTGAGATTGAGACAATTTGCCTCAAAAATCAGGCGCCCTTCTATCTCAAGATGGGTTCGACAGATTTTGCAAACCGACCAGTTGAGCCAAGGCAGCAGCAGTCCATCATGAAATGGCAACAATCGAAAACAAATCTCATCAACCGCTCGTCAGGCGTGTGGTATAACTCAAAAGACCGGTGTCATCAATCAACAATGGAAATATGGCATAAATCAGCGGATAAGTGGTACTGTTCAAAGGATCGGTGTCAGCAATCGGTCAAAGGGATCCTATACCGGTCGGCGACGCGATGGAATGAATCTGCAGACAGACTCCACATGGCTGCTCGTATCCAAAACTCAACGAAAAAGGATACAGTACGACAAGGCCAAATAGAGAAACAAGATTCATCACCATCACCACGATCTCAATCGAACTCGCCGCGGTCTTCCCAAGCCCTAACATCAAGATACTACACGCAATCAGTCAACTCCTCGTCGTCAGAGAGCTCTTCTTCAAGGCCCGACCTCGAGTCGCCCTCAGCAGTTGTCAAGTCCTCGAATCAAACCACCATCGCAGAACCAACCTTATCACCAGAAGAGCATATCGCGGGACTACAGGAGGCATCCGGCCGTATCAAATGTGTTGTGAAACAGACAGCAGAGCTGCGAAATGAAAAGCTGCATGCATTGGGCGAAATTGAAGGCGAATGGATTAATTCTACCATCGCCGACGCCGAATCTGCCGCCAACGAGCTCTCCTCATTTGTAGATCCACTATGGCATCAGAGCAGCAAAATTGGCGGTCTTACACTAAAAGAGCGCAAAAACTGGAAGCGTCGCGACTGTCAAAATGCCCTTAAGAAAGAGACTCGCATGACTCTCTGCTACGAAAGGCTCGAAACCGTCTTTCGCCATCTCGAAACGATATCACCAAGATCCGAGCTCTCAGCCACCGAGAAGAAAGAGGAGGCAGCTGTTATAGCACTTGAAACTCCACCCGTTGTTGCCGTGGCCGCCGAATTGTCTTGTCAGACAACGGTGGTCTCCACCATCGAGCTTCCATGCCCGGCCACCATTTGGCAGCTTCAAACAGAGAGAGCTATACCCAAGATTATTGTGACGCAGTATGATGGCGATGATGGCACAAGTCCAGATCATGAAGATACCCCCAATTTCCCTCCTCCAAGCTACGAAGCTGGTGAAGTGAACAAGGATGATGAATTGTTCTTCTCCTGAGATATGAATCTACGGACTTGATGCTTATGATATTATGTAGCGTTGTGAACCTGATACCAATTTGGTATTAGTTAGGCCATCATCTAGCGAACTACTTCACTCCAATGCATCTGCTGTATCTCTTGATTATCTTTATTTCATAAGCTCCTTTCTTGATCCGTTAGGGTGTTAAATCAGGCCAAATATTCCGATGAAGCTAGCATGTTCACTAGGGAGTGACCTAAAGAGTGCTATATGGCCAACAGCCCACCTGAGCGCAAACGGGAAATTCGTTGGGGCCGAGGACATCCTTCGATCGGCACATCCTGCCGTTGTTTTTGCTTTTTCCGATAATGTTAGTTTTCACTCCGACTAAAATCGGTACTTTATATGAGCATGGAGAACCCGCCAAAAATGAGAGGTCTCTCTGTACATACCACTGAGCCCTATGAAAAATGTACTTGTATAAAATTACGAAAGTCCTAAACATTTAGCGCGTGATAGATCAAACCGGCCAAGACTGGACCCAAACTGGCGGGTCCGTTCTAGAACTTTTGTTCAGCCCATCCGCCCATCACAACACCTTATCTCAGTCAAATAACCAGGGTTTCGTGGCTTCAAGGATCAAAATCCCACTAATAAAGGAGTTGAAGTACAATACGGTGAGCGGAATTTGATTGTTCATCTTGGTGGCGAGGGACCAGACTGTCGGGACTGACGGTCTCAACCGATCCCCACCAAATTAGACGATTTTTCCCGAGATACATGCACCAAGTGGATGGATCTCCCTGGGTCTCTGACCCCTTACTGACCTGCTTATGGTGCTTACAGGCATCTTGCGCCCAGAGAATCTCATATCTCATACAGGAAACATATATGTACGGATGCGACTCTGCAGAGGTAATTCAACCCCCGCACGTACAAATGCGCTTTACCACAGCTTCCGCGTCACCAGCAATTGGCTGAGGAAGGGCCCCCTTTTGGCCTTGCGGATCCCGAGGTCATCACACAGCTGTCGACTAATCATTTCTCAGCGATCAACGCGCTAAGAGTGCTCTAACCCCCTAAATTTGCCTACCCGAGAGCATTGTTAAAAAAAACCAAGGAAGCGGTACCCCATCACCATCCCAGAGCCCGAAGCACTTACATGTATGGGCTGACGGTGCAATGATCCAGTGCTGGACCCGGCATTCCGGTACGCTAACAGCTGTCTCGAAGCCGGAGGGGTCGTAAAACTCCAGTCGGTGTGGTGGTTGAGTCGTCTTCTGTTCTCACACTCTCCGTCTCTCTTATCGCTCCCACGCGCCCCCTTTCTTCGTGTGTGGTGCTGTTCATAGATCGCAAGTGTGCTACCGATGTATCGAGACACACACCAAGGGTTGACTCCCATCGAGCCGGATGTTAGTCGCACAATATCAATCCTTTTGAGAATTTTTTTTTTTTTTTTGCTTCCTGCTTTCCCTTAAATAACTAACATGCCTAGTCCAACTCCGATGGAGATTCATTATATCCAGGGTCGTAAGTAAAGTAACATTACCTAGCGATTATGCTGAGGATAACTGACTTGGACAGGCTTGGCGATGCCAGTTATACCACAAGCATCACATCAAGTGCGTTGAACTACCAGTAGGTGTTTCTAGCCCATTATTATGCCGAACGGCTGCTAATAAATGTAGATATGAGGTATGTCCTGTCACAGCCTGACCATAACCCACGCTGAGTGTATACAGAATGGTCGCAGGTATCACTCTTTCCACGAAGGAGAATATATCCTGGCATGTGAGCCCACTACCTTTCTAGACCAGTCTTGATTCTAATTCCCATGCTAGCCAAATGACGAACAAGAACAAGATCGCCTCGATCTAGTGAGTTGTCCCCAGACTTAATAACGTTAGGCCAAATGTTAACAAGAAACAGAGCCATCATATTTATTTAATGCTTCTAAAAGGAGAACTACTTCGTGCACCAGTCAAAAATCCCAAAAGAGTATTAGATCTTGGGACAGGGACAGGGATATGGGCTATTGACTACGCGGAGTGAGTCGCGGGTCTTCGTCCTGCTTAAGTCATGCCACTGACAATCAGTATAGCGCAAACCCGGAGTCAGAAGTGATCGGTATGACCATAAAAATGATTCCTAGTCGAACTATGACTAATTGGGACAGGAATTGATTTGAGCCCTATCCAACCATCGTGGTATGTACCACAACTATTACATCTATCTATTGTGTGATATTGACTTACTTCTAGGGTACCTCCAAATTGTCGTTTCGAGATTGATGACTTCGAACAACCATGGTCATACAGCCAGCCATTCGACTACATTCATGGGCGCGAATTAGAAGGCTCAGTTCGTGACCACGACAAACTCTTCGAACAAGCATTCGAAAACCTCACACCCAATGGATGGCTTGAAATGGCAAGCTTTGAACCAACAACTTATTCAGACGACGGCAGCCACTTGAAAGCGACAAATTTTTTGATAGGCATCGAAAACATGCACGAATCATCAAAGCTATTTGGCAAAGATATGACATCTTCATCAACATGGAAAGATAAGATAGCCAAGGCAGGATTCGTCAATGTTAAAGAGGATGTCTACAAGGTATGTTTTCCGTCCCACGGAACCAGTACGCTACCTTTGCTAACTGAGATAAAGCTGCCACAAGGTCCGTGGCCGAAAGACCCCAAGCTAAAAGAGCTTGGGAGATACCATCAAGTCAACATGCTTGAAGCCATGCCTCCATACACGTACGCTTTATTCACAAGAATGCTTGGGTGGTCACGTGTTGAGATCGAGGCATTGTTGGCAGGGATACGCAAGGAATTGTGTGATACATCGCACCATTTGTATACGAAGGTGCGGATTGTATATGGCCAGAAACCGTCATGATCTGGGTTTTGCGAGTATGTGAATAAGTTTTATACCCCAGCTTCTTTAGTCTCATGCATACTACTATACCGCGATGCAATTTATAGTTTAGCCTACTTGAACTTTGTACATTCTAGATCATCCCAAAGAGAATTTTCTACAGTTGCTTAGGACATATCAACTCATGATAGTATTAGCTCATTTATCTTAATACTCCCTTAATCCATCGAGGTAGGTTGCATTCAATAAAGGTCAGTATTAGGTCACGTTGCCGTGACTGTATTTACATGGCGCATATTATCAGATAAGGAAATCTTCGAATACTAGATTCTAATAATCAAGTGATGCCATTGAGTATGGTCTAATTATTTGTTGTTCGCATGTGAAACGAATTTCCACACGGCGCGGAGATTTTGACACAGATGCCGCGGGGTTTTCCGCGGAATTAGCCGAAGCCAAAGATTCTCGATATCATTCAAATAGCTCGCTCGCTTGTCGACGCGTTACTACTACAATTGAACAACAAGCGAGGAAATAATTTGATCAAAATGAAGAGCGAATCTATTGTGGTTGTCGGGTGAGTAAGAGCTCAGCGAGTGATAACTTCAGGTTGTTGATATCCAAATTTACAAGTGCCGGCGTAATTGGGCTCGATGTAGCACTGGTCCTCGCAAAACGGGGCTACGGCAGACATACTACCATCATTGCAGAGCATCTTCCGGGCGATACATCAATAAATTATACCTCGCCATGGTCTGTGAATTCCTGTTGCTAGTGCGAAATTTCGCGACGCTGACTCAAACAACTAGGGCGGGTGCCAACTTCTCTGCTATTTCCGCAAGTGATGCAAATGCCTTGCGGTGGGATAAGATGGGATATGCATATCTTCTTAGTCTTGCAGCAAAAGATGGCAAAGACGCATTCGTGAAGGAAACCACTTCAACCGAATATTGGGATGAGATGCCATCTTCTGCAAAGATCGACTCGATGGCCAAGTACCTCAAAAATGTAAGAGATTGATGAATGCCTCACACTCCATCTACTTGCATTTGTTTATACTGACCTTGGAAAAGTTCAAAGCAATACCCGCAGGAGATCTTCCAAGCGGTGTTGCGTATGGTATAGAATTTACGACAATAACGCTCAACGCGCCTATGCACATTCGCTACTTACTTCGGAAGCTCACTGAGGAATATGGAGTTCGAGTTGTACGCAAAAGAGTTCCGGACATTACTTCGGGCTTTCTGAGCAAGGATACAAAGGTGGTGTTTAACTGCACTGGTAATGCATCGCGAGACTTGAACGGAGTCCAGGATTCCAAATGCTATCCCACCAGAGGTCAAATCCTCCTTGCGAAGACCCCGCATGTCCAGCAAAATGTGATGAGACACGGCAAGGATTACGAAACTTACGTGATCCCACGGCCGTATTCGAATGGTAATGTGATTCTCGGTGGTTTCATGCAAAAAGGAGTCAGGTAAGCAAAGCTGATAATGCCTATGCCGATGAATGTCAAGTTTGTCTTCGCGGTATGTTTTCTTCCGCTGACTGAACATGTCAACAGCACTGCAGACACATTCAGCTACGAGACAGAGTCAATATTGTCTCGAACGACGGCTATGCTTCCTAGCCTAGCCTCAAGCGAGACTCAGATATTAGGTGCATTTTCTGGCTTACGCCCATCTCGTGAGGGAGGAGCGCGTGTTTCCAAGGAGATGATACAAGTCGATGGGACGGGTCGACAGGGGGTTCTAGTTCACAATTATGGTGCTGGTGGAACAGGGTTCCAAGCAGGATATGGCATGGCCATTGAAGCAGCTAACTCTGTGGCGGAAGAGCTTCAAGCACTTGATGAGCGGGCTAGTCTTTAGTTAAAGTTGTTTCAAGTTCCCCTAGAAACCGACAGATCAGGTATAACAGACAGCATAATACGAAATTACAGTCCTAGGAAGCTGGAGAAGCTTGGCTTGTTATATGCACGGCTTGCGATATCTGCTTATATGTTTGTGACATTAATCATATGGATTTAATTTACGCCCAGGCGAGGCAAGAATCATGTCGCGTTTGATGAATGAGTTGATGTCGGAAATACAGGCTGACCAGATATAGGCGATCTTGATTTTGTTCATTCGGCTGGAAATAAAATCAGCTAAGTTCGGGGATGACAGCTGCGTGGTTTCGGACTAGGATGTAATCTCGTTAATGGCATGAAATGATATTCTCCGATTGTTCTAGGCTCACTTAGGAGTCACATTACAAAAGAATCTTCTAGACAAGGCCTACTGATCTAACAAATGAGACAAGGTCACGAATATATGTTGTTATCTTGATTTTCTGCTATATTAAATGAACTCAGCCGGCCGAAGCCCCCAAATGTTCAATCACTATGTGGAGCCCACCTTCCTGACTTCGATAAAAACCTTTTCCCCAAACGCTGTTTTCGCTTGCTCCTGCTCAATCACTCTCAGATACCACTTCACTGTCAAAGGGTATTTCTCCCTCATTTCCTCGTCAATAATCTGACCAAAACCCCAGTACATGGCAGCAGCAACAGAGAGGTCCGCCAAGTCTAGGTGGTCCGTAGCGACATACTGACGACCCTCAAGACGCCTCTCCAAAACAAGGAGAGATCTCTCCAAAGTGGAAAGAGCAGTGACCTCAAGCTCTTCGTCGTAGGCCGCCATGCCATAGCGCCAAAGAATCATGTTCTGTAGCGGAATAAACAGGTCATGGTCCGCAAAGCAAATCCACTGACGAATAATTGCGCTCTCCTCCGCATTAGACCCGACTAACTGCTTCCGTGCTGGGCCACTCTCAGCCGCGTACTGGGCAATGGCATCTGATTCGAATAGGATGAGCCCACTTCGGCTCCTGAATGTTGGTACTTGGCCGAGAGGGAAATCGGCCAGAAAGTCTAATGACTTGTTGGTCTTGCCCATGACAAAGTCGGCGGCGAAATCGACTGTTCGATTGTTAAATGCAGCAGCGGCTTGAATCTGTTCCTTTGTCAGTCGACGTACTTTCATGCAGGGAACCATTAGAACGCACCTTCATGACCCGGGGGTTGGGCATGTAACTGTAGATCGTTCCAATTGAATCCATGGTATTTAAAGAGTTTGATAGCTTGATTTTCTTGCAACAGGTAGGTGTGAATCTCCAAAATCTTAGTGGAATGCCAGCTCTTTATAACAAGCGTTCTTCTGATGAAGCCTCGTGGCAACTAAAAGCCTTTGCTGACAAACTACAGCGTTTCTGTCCTAAGCTTGTACCCGTTTAGTCACGATAAAATGAAGTAAAGCCCCGTTATTACATCTTCCATTGCAGAATGTGGAGTCGATTCCATGGTCTTCGACCGCTTGAAAATCCCTCAAGCGGCCTTATGCAAACTCCGGGCAGTTTAGCCGACTTGATAGCATACCACAGTAGTCATCGATGACTTCAAAGATCGTCTGTGGATGACTGTATTTTGCTAAGGTTTTTTTCTGTTGTGGGAATTAAAGGCCAAGAAATTGTGAAGTTTGTGGTTTTGCTAAATGGTTGGCCGAGAAATTTAAGCTCAGTGGAGCATGTCAGTTGGCTGCGTTAGCGTTCCATTTCCTCATTTTGGCCCGTGTAATTTTCAAACCGGTCCTGTAATATATATGTAGAAAAAAGTAACTATTCTAATATTATCAAGAAAGCCGTTTATTGATGGTATGGTAGTCCTGCCATATACCTGCCGGTAGTTCCGAAAGCAGATTTTGATTTATCAGCTTTTAGGGCAAATCGGATAGAAAAAGAAACAGAAAGATATCCTTGCAAGCTGACACGAGCCAACTACTTCTTAAACTCGAATTCCCTCTGGATCATGTTGGTTCTGATTTGAACATTCTCGAACACTCGCCAGTTTCTTTCAAAACTTTTCATTTTTGAGGTGAAATGGCGCCAACAGTGGGTATCGCGGGTGTAACTGGGAAGTTTGCCCAGTGCATCATAAAGGCACTGCAAGTGTATCCTACAGTCTCCATTCGAGGATACTGTCGGAGTCCTCACAAGCTACCTAAAGATATCCTCGCGTCCGACAAAATCGAGATTGTTGCAGGCGAGTTTGACGACTATGGCAGTATCAGGAGCTTCGTTCGAGGCTCAGATGTGGTGATCTGTTGCTATTTTGGCGGACCCGAGGTAATGATTCAAGGACAGAAGCTCCTGATCGATGCATGTGAGGAAGAAGGTGTTCCCAGGTACATCGCCAGTGACTTCGCAGTTGACTATACCAAGATCCCCCCTGGAGCTCTTTTCCCCAAGGAATCAGCGAAGATCATTATGGAGTATCTGAAGTCGAAGAAGGTGGCTGGTGTGCATATTCTCACCGGTGGCCTCATGGAGACATTTTGGAGTGAATTCTTTGGTATCTGGAGGTCCGAAACATGTTCCCTCTCGATATGGGGAAATGGAGAGGACTCATGGGAACTGACGACGTTCCCTACTGCTGCCGCCTATACCACAGAAGTGGCCCTTGACAGAAGCGCAGTTGGGGTCTTGCGATGTGAGATTAAAGTCACCTCTCTTGCCATATCTAAGCAATGAACAAAATAAGCTAACACAAACAGTCCGTGGCGATCGAAAGAGCCCCAAGGAAATAAAGGAAACCTTCGAACGCGTCTATGGCTCCCAAATGCACCTTGACCGACAGGGATCCATTAACGAGCTATATGAGGCTGTAGAAGAGGCCTTCCGTAGAGATCCCAATGATATAGCGAGTTGGGCACCAAGGTACGTCTTGAATAATCCACTGCCGTTTTTCCCCAGGCAAAACTAATGGCCCGGACTAGATGCTTCGCGTTTTGGTGCACCAACGGGATGGCATACTTAGGGGACAACCTTGACAACGAAAGATATCCAAACGTGCAAGTGGTAAATCTTGAATCTTTCCTGCTGCGCCATAAAATGGAAGAACTTGACAAGGCGGATCAAATGATTGGCTTCTGATGACTACACTTATTCGCAACCCACCTGTTCTCAATGCCTTGGATGTTTTTCACAAAGGCTTTTCAAAAAATGATTCTTCAAGCTGGGTTAGCATCAATCTAGATTTTTGTGTGACAAGCTAAGAATATTTAGATATAAATCTTTTACTGGCGGTTTAGATACGTTTATCGGGGATATCTGACTAGCTAGGGGAATGGAGAGGATATGTAGTACTTGGTACATTACATATTAATCGTTGGCAAGCTTTTGGAAGTCAAGGTCATGTCCCGTAACTTTCTTGTGCGCCCTGGCTTAGCTTCCTTCCCGTGCCTTTCTCCCCGCATAACGAATTTCAGAGGTGAATCAGATGCGTTCTGACAGTTTCTTAGGCGGGATTCATCAATCTCATGAAGGCTGTAACAGAACGGATATTATAAAGGCCAAACTGATTGCAATTCTTTCCCATTGACAACGACTGGCTTAGCGAGAAGCATCACTGAAACAAGACGTGCCCATTTGTCGGACTCGTTACTCCAGCTGTGCATTGTTCCCTGCTGTACCATTGCATCCCCCTCACGAAGAGATACACAGGAGCCCTTTTCTGTAGTCAAAGCTACGGTACCTCGAACAACGATGATGTAGTCTATAGTGTGCGAACGATGTAGCGGGCCGCTGTACCCGGGAGGGAGGTCGTATGCACTGAAAAATGATCCAGTTGATGCAGCTGCAAGATCTGCAAGCTCAATTTCATTTTTCTCAACGGGTTTGATATCGGCCGGACTTTCGTGCGTGGACCAGAGAGGATTCAGGTAAGTTCCATCACTGACAGCATTTGCTTCAAGTTTCTGGTCCCTGATAAAGATTGCAGCACCTGACTCGGTGTGGCCTGTGACGACAATGCGAGTATCCGGGATTCGAGGTTGGGTTGATGTCATGGCTTTGATAGAGCAATTCTCCTGCTGGGCGAAGAGGGGGCAAAAAGAAAGTACAGTAAACATATAGCTTTACTCATGTCCGTCCAAATTATTAAGCTGCATGGCCGAATCCTCGCTTGAAAATCCTTCGAGCGGCCTTGTGCAAACTCCGGGCATTTCAGCCGATTCGATGACATGACACCGTACACTCTAAGCTTGGCTCCAAAGTCAGCCCCATTCTTCGCCCAATGATTGGCTGAATGATACATTAAGCTTGGTGGATCGTGTCAGTCGGCTGCCTTAGCGTCCTGTTTCTTTCCACAATCTGGCCCGCGTAATTTTCAAACCCCCACCTGTAACAAGCTAGTTTATTTTTCGTTGAACTCAAAACTGTACACTCAAATTTCAGTGATTGTGGATATCTTGGAAGGTCCAAAACGCAGACAATCAACGCAGATTCAGATACTCGATTGTGGGGCAATAGTGCAGCAACAAGCCTACGAAGCTACCTTCCTCATCAATTCAAACGTCCATAGCGACGGCGAAGATGCTAGAAGTTGATTCCTATGTTTTACAAATCCACTAATGCTAAATGTGCGTGCTTTTCAAGGGACCAGTTTCATTTGCTGAATATCAATTTCCGAAGCGATCCCAAAGATTCAATTCATGTCTTATAGTCAAAGGGTGACGATCACCTTCCTAGCGGATACACCCTTCTTTTGAACATCAAGGCCATGTTGTATATCTTTGACCCCATTGCCGACAACGAAAGGGTCTGGCTTGGCTTTGAGACTTGCGTTTGCCAGAGCCTGCGGCACGTACTTGCCCCAAATCCACTCGCCAATACTCTTGTGCGGGTCTTGGATAATGGAATAGGCAAGCACTGGAGAGCAAATCGCGTTAGTACCTCTGAGATAGAACTTTGAATATGCACGATTCTAAAACTTACCATACTTGGGGGCAAAGCGTTCGGTCGGCTTGTCATATGGTAGCACACTAGCAACTTTCACTGTTGTGTTCAACTCATCCAAAATCATCGAAATGGCTTTGAAGCTGGAGTCTTCGGAAATCGCATCATAGACCCCCACGAATTCGGTGTTGCCGAGTGCGTTTGCAATATCTTTCACAACAGCAGAGGACCTATAATCAAAGACTGTGTGTGCACCTAGAGACTTAACCAGCTCGTGGTTTGCGGCAGAAGCAGTTGTTAGAACAGTTAAGCCTGAGGCCACTGCGAGCTGAATCGCAGTCGCGCCCACCGAAGATGCACCACCCCATACCAAGATCGTCTGGCCAGTCGGCTTAGAGTCTTCAACTGCAGGCAGTGGTAAATCAAGGTAATCCTTTCGGTAAAGTCCCGCACAAGCGGTCGAAATCGCCAAGGGTAGTACAGCACCCTCCTCGAAAGTAAGAGAACTCGGTAGCTCGGCCACAAGGTCCTCGATGACAACGGGGTATAGCTGGAAGCCTCCATTGACAGGGTTCTGCGTCATGAGACCATTGCAATGACTGCGACAAATACATTAGCAAGTGAGCCTCTACGCAACAAAAATTGGGGCAAACGGGAACCTACGCGATCACTCGCTGCCCCTTCTTGAAACGAGACACGCCAGGACCAACATCTTCGATGGTTCCTGCAACATCCTCACCCAATATAAAGGGATATTTGTTCAGGTAGCGGCCTAAGCTTCTATAAATCCGTTAGAAGGACATTTAATAATGAGAGAGCAGAGGCATTATTACTGAATCTTCCAGTCAACGGGGTTCTGAAAAAGCTGTTAGCCACGATATCAGTTAGGTAGGTGATAGCAGATGAGGCTCACAATAGCAACGGCCGCGTTTCTGATTACGACCTCCCCAACACCTGGCTTAGGCTTTGGGGCACTCTCCACCGTGAAAGGATGTGCTGCAGGTGCAGTAATCCAGGCTGCTTCGTTCTCAGTCATATTGCGGAGCTCAGTGACCAGTGAATATGAGAATCGATTGGGGAAAGCGTCGTGAAAAGCGACGCGGTGTTGAATTTGTTTGGGATCAAGAGAGAATCTGACAATTGCCAGTCTTTATATGTTTTGTATGGTATGAAATGTCGATGACACATGCCCCGCTTTGTAATTGATAATTAGGTGCTAGAGTAGTAGCACGATCCATAACAGCTAGAATGCACCGGTGTCCGTAATTTTCATACGGGTCCCTCGGAGCTGCTGCTCGAAAAATTTGCCATCCTTACGAATTGCCGCCCTCGGACTTTACTCCCAATAATTCCGATCGTTAAGTGGGTCTGAAACCTCACCCCACCCAGGAAAATAACAAGAGGTAACTTATATCCACATCGACAAGTGTATGTACTGAATATCTATTTCCTGTTTCTTAACTCCGACTGGTTATAAATCATGCTATTTGATTGCTAAAGGAGCATCCGTGCTTCCATTTCAACTCTCTCTGCAGCCTTGGGTTATAAAATCGACATTCACTATCGACTCTCTACATTGGTCAGGTTATACCGAGAAACTTTGATTGCGAGATGCCTTCTATCGAAAATTCAACCATTCTCATTATCGGTGGCTCCTCAGGAATCGGCTATGGGGTTGCGGAAAAAGCCCTCGCCGAACGTGCGAAAGTTTATATTGCATCTTCGAACGCTTCCCGCGTCCAAGAAAGTATCAAATCTTTACAAAAACGTTTTCCCGATGCGCAAATTTTTGGACATGTCTGTGATCTTGCTGGGCCAGATGTTGAGAAAAGCCTCGAATGCCTTCTTACCTCTGTTGGGCCACTTGACCACATCGTCTTCACAGCCGGCGACAGTCTTGCTGTTCAACCTTTAGACGCTATCGACCTCGATGCAATTCACCGCGCTGGCCACGTTCGCTTTGCGGTTCCTCTTCTGCTTGCCAAGCTTGCTCCTCGTTTCGTCAATCCGGGCTATAAATCATCGATCACACTGACCTCGGGTGCGGGCTCTCAAAAGCCATTCCCGAATTGGTCATTGATCGCCGGTTACCTAACAGGTCTCCATGGATTGACTCGTAACCTTGCGCTTGACCTGAAGCCAATGCGGGTCAATCTGGTTAGCCCTGGTGTGGTTGCTACCCCTCTCTGGGGGTCAACTGGAATGTCCGAGGAACTGAAGAATTACACAACCTTGGGCAAAGTCGGAACGGCTGAGGAAGTTGCAGAAGCCTATGTTTATTTGATGAAAGACACAAACGCCACTGGCAGCTGTGTCAGCACTAACGCTGGATCTCTTCTGCTGTAGAGGCTGCACTTTTGCTTGTCCCTTGCCATTTTTGCCTACTTTAGATGTTCCAGGAAAGAAAATAGTTCTCAACCTACTCTCAGACTAGTTTTGCAAACACTATAGAGCTTCGCAAAACATGTTATGTAAAATGATGTTTCGAAGACCGGATGTTGGGGCACTGAGTCCCAAGGATCCCATTAGAGGCCTTGGATAGGCCCGCAGTTCCCGCGGCCATAGTCCAAAGACCAGAACCGTATCGTAAGATAATGTATCAAAGATATGTCACAAAATAACAGGACTTACCCATTCCAATTTAATACACCTCTTCCGTTCTCGTCCTATTTCTTTGCCTCCGAAATCTTCTCCCTTCCTCCGCCTCTTTATATTCTTTCCACACTTTCTACCTGAACACAACATGGCCCAGAATCGAGCTTCCTGGATCATGGCCCCCAGATCTAGGCCTTTCGCTTTAGGCAATGCCCCGACATATAAGCCTGGACGAGGAGAAATCCTTATCAAATCCCACGCTGTTGCTGTGGTAGGTCGTGAACTCTTTTAAGGAGATTCGGCATGGATTAACTTATCATATTTGTGAACAGAATCCGGTGGACTGGAAGATTCAGTAAGTGTTCGAATAGCCAAGGCTTCATTCTAGGAGGATGCATCGCCTTAACGTGACTGTAGGGATTCTGGCCGCTATCTGACAAAGTATCCATTTATCCTTGGCAGAGATGCGGCAGGGACCGTCGAAGAAGTAGGTGAAGGGGTCACCCGATTTCACAAAGGGCAGCGCGTGATTGCGTGAGTATAGCCACAATTCCTATGTGACAAATGTTAATGACTCTGCGTTTTAGACATCTGCATAGTGCTAAATCGGGCAATTTTGCCAATGCAGCCTATCAACTCTTTCCTGTGGCATTGGAGCGACTTGCAGCTCCTCTTCCGTCACAATTGAGCTTTGAACAAGGTGCTGCCATGCCACTAGCTATTTCCACCGCAGCTGCTGGCCTCTATCTACCAGAGTACCTGGGTCTCCCATTACCATCGACCGCGCCGAAATTTACAGGCAAGACGGTATTGATTTGGGGGGTTCCTCTTCTGTGGGCGCAACGGCTATTCAGCTGGCAATTGCCTCTGGTTTAGAAGCCATAACCACCGCTTCTACGTTGAATCATGCCTTTGTCAGATCCATTGGGGCTACTGAGGTCTTCGACTACAAGTCCCCCTCTGTGATTGATGATATTGCTGCTAGGTTGCAGCACTCGGAACTCGTCGGTGTGTACGATGCTATAGGTGAGGAGAACAGTTTCACGCCCCTCGCTGCTATAGTAAAGCTCCTTGCCCGGCCTATTGCATCGGTCACTGTACATCCATGCGAGAACCCGACTGATGATTTTCACCCTACATACAGTATGTGACAAATTCGTAATTGTTTGGTGTCCTGTCTGAACTAACCTAACTACTAGTCTCTTCATATGGCATTGCATTTCCCCCAAACGAGAGAATTGGTGAGGCTATTTGGGAAGGATTTGTGCCCGAGGCATTAGCTAGTGGTCAGTTACAGGCCAAACCTGATCCGATGGTTCTTGGACACGGGCTGGAGAACATCCAAAAAGGTCTCGACAGGCAGAAGGCTGGCGTCTCCGCTCAGAAAATTATTATTACAATTTAGAACAGCGACAAATGCGGTCAATGCAAGAACCGTTCTTGGTATTAACATCGGCATCTAATCCTCAAAAGTACAAACTGTAATTACAAATATGTCCCAAAACTGAAGGAGGGAATGGGTGGGAATGTGGTAGTTGGCCGTGTCCAGGTGGTTGGTTCGGCTTAGTAATACCAGTAGCCAGCCGGTTCCGAGTACCCCGAGTCGGCATCAATCTGCAGTTGCCACAAGAATTGTATTTTATTCAATATTCGCAGAAGAAAGAGCAGCATTATGACCCAGACAAGAGCCGGAAACCCGGAGACAGGAGGCCAGAACTGCAGTCTTTCTGATGTCTGCACAACGCAACACCAACATTGGACCAACACGCGCGCCTACAATGGAAGCCTCAGCAACTCCTTGGTAGAGGATTGGACTGGCAAGACTGATCCGAAGGAGAGGAAGAAACTCCAAGATCGAATTAACCAACGAATTAGTAGTCAGTTATCTCAATATACTCGCTGTCCAACATTATTAACTGACCATTTACGTTACGTTCTGCGGCTTAAAGGGCACCGGAGAAAGGCTGGACATTGGCAACGTGAGATTGATTTACAAGCTCTAAGGGCCGCAGAACATTCAGTAGTGAATGGACCACTAGCGGGAGAATACAGGCCATGGCCTTACTCTGCCTATCAGCTTGCTCTCTCCACTCATCAACCTAAGTCCATGGATATAAACTCCTTCACGGCTTGCGAGCCCGACTCTGAGCGAACTGAGCAGTTTATTCTTCATTTTTCCGCATGGTTGCATGAAGAATACCTCAGAGGTTCTCCCCGCACTGAGACACTTCTGAGCCTGGTCCAGTTCAACATGACACGTGCGCTAGTGGCGAATGCAAAAATCCTCGGCATCACGAAGCGACTCATGTCCCGGCAAGCTCGATCCCGCTTTGCATCTACAGGCGTCGAAACGGCATTTATCGACTCTTTGCCTCCTAGTCTACAGCCAACCATATTTCAGCTCACTATTCCCCACCATCCATGGATTGATCTCATACCTGTGCCAGAGATCCGTGATAATCTTCTGCACCTAGATGTGAATTCATACGATGCAGCGCAATTGTGTCGCGATATGCGAGGATTCCAGGAAGTGGCTGGCGGAAGGGGAGGTGTTGCTGTATGGGGACAGTCGTGGGATCCGCATGGTTGGGAAATTTCTCCAGCCTTTGCGCAGAAATGGCCATGGGTCGTCCAACGTTGCGAACATCTGCTCAAGTCGACAAATTATTGGCGAGGTACTCGGGGTGAACCTCCCTTGCAGTTTGGGCACGACGTAAGTCCCAGTCAGGATGGCCCTCTAAGAGTTGAGGAACTTGAACAAGAGCGGGGATCGATTCCACAATTCAAATTGAGTTCATGCTTAGTTGGCTGGGATGAGCCTCAAGGCCACTTACTATGGGGACGTCTGAGCTCTAATTAGTCATATCTATCGTAACAAAAGCCTATTTGAAAGGAAGAACTTGCAATATATAAGAAAACCTCATCTCCCTTTCACGATGCTACATTGAACCCCTATCTGCTGGTTCGAGTCCCATAAACCTCCATGACCCGAATCTCCCTGAAATTACAAGATTTGTAACCGCCAAACATAGTGATGAGAAGTCTATGAAATCGTCAGATACAACTGAGCGTGAGCTATCACCCCAGCGATGTACCCCGTATTCCCAGTTTTGGACTAATGTTACTCTGTACGACAGAAATAGAGATTCTTGTTGCGAAGCGACCTTAAGTCCAATTAGGCCTTGAGACCTGTCAATATGCTCTCTGAACATGCGCTACCTACATGGAAGCGAATATATCGCCATAGTATGCGTAGTAACCCAGATCTCGTGGGTGTTTGGTGGCCGGATTTTAGTAGCTCCATAATATAACCTCCATCATGTCATCAGGTTTTCCTTGCAAATTGCGAGATTTAGGGGTACAGTAATACAGAATTGTTTTCACCGCCGATTGGTCACCATTCCTTACTGGCGACAAATTATATTGGCATAAAATGGTAGTTATACCAACGTCTTCTAGCGTACCCAACCGAAATATACCAAGACATAGGGATTCACGCAGGAATAACATCGAGTCAAACACCTTGGGTAACGGCCATGGGGTTCATGCTGGCTAATAATTTGGTCTAGCCTGGTGAGGAAACAATCGGTCGCTGCTTTGCGGTTGTACGACCACGGGTGAGAAAGGTGAGTGCGCAATGGAAGGGGTGAGATCTAGCTGAGAATCACCCCGGATCACGCGATCGCCGTTCGTGTTACTGAATTCGGAGATATCTTTGCAGCTGAAACAGTGGATAATGCTGGATGGGAATGGGTACTATGGCTTCCTTCTGAGGCTCGACCTTTTTGTTCGGCGGTTAGAGACAGTACACTAGTCCTGGGATATGCGCCAGGGCAGATATATTTTATAGGATTTTTCGGATATAGTAGACATCAAACGGTTGCGCGAATGCCAATATTACTCTGTGATAGTCAAGAAGCTGTCCACGATGTCGCTTCCGTCCAACTGCGCTTTTCCCTCGAGCAACCCACCTCGAGTAGTAAAGTCGCCATTGACAAGAATGGATGTTATTGTGATACTGGTCTCAAACCACTGGTGTTTATACTTCAGAGATGTAATTCCCGTAGCGGTGACTAAAATACAAGAGTTATCATGCTATGGTGCTGCATTGGACACACCTTCGAGCATAATCGTGATCACGATACTGCTCTATCGTATTTTTGCCGCGGAAAAAATGTCACTCTATTCATAGTCCCTAGTCTTTGAGCGTTGTAGTTCGTTCTTGCAGCAGTCACAAACACGACAGTATTGTTGAAGCTTTTGTTTTCTACCTCAGTTATGGATAGGGCTTGATTTCCAAGAAGAGGGCATGCCAAGAAAATACAGATTGGCAGCTATTGGGCAAAGGGCGACACGGAAGTTTAACAGCTCGGTGGTATGAGCCTTGCGTCTCCAATCACCGGCTGGATCATACAAGCACTGGCGATATTTCATCACACATATCGTGCATGGGGTCGTACTAGAGGACTACACTAGGTTAGCTCCGTGGTTGAATGAGATATTTCCGAACTTAGACCTTTTTTTCTGACACTCGGTACAGGCCAGAGAAACGTTGTGTCGCTGATTTTCGACGAGTCAATGTTTAGATGCTGCATGCCAAGCTCTTTCTCCCCAGGCAGAAGCTTACGTAGAAAATTGTTCTTTACAATTACGGGATTAGACATTGATATGCCATTGACATGGCCGTGGACATGTCCGTAGGCCCATAGGGGGCCTCAGATGAGGGAATCTCTCTTCTACTGCACATAACCATTCTGATTGTCCTCCGGTTATCAGAGTCTCCATAGTTCCGAAACAATTCTATCATATGATATCTCTTAGGAAGAGTGCAGTCCAATTTCCGAACCTCTAGATCTGCGATAATTGCTATTCTTTCTTATCGTGTTGCACGACACGAGATCCTCCAGATTTGAACCTGAGACCACGATAGACTATATGCAGACCGAAATCCGTTATCTAAATTAAGCCCCCAATTGACTGGATCCGAATAGCCTTCGAGAGTTTGCTGAAGTGCGCACGTTGCAAGGTCCCAGAGGCGTACTGTCTCATCATCGGAACAGGACGCTAGCAGTCGACCATTAGGCGAGAATGCCACCGAGTTAATCGAATCTAAGTGGCCATTAATAGTCTGCTGTACTGCACCTATCACCAAGTTCCACAGGTGCGCTGTTTTATCAGCAGAGCAGGACACCAGTAGCCGACTATCGGGCGAAAAGGTCAACGAATTTAGCGGACGGGAATGGCCATTGAGAGTCTAGGTAAGTGCACCCGTCGTTGCGTCCCAAAGACGCACTACTGGACTCTCGTATGAGCCGGAAGCCCGGAAACGGCCGTCGGGTGAGAAGGACATGATTTGGACAGGAGCCTCAGAGTCATCGCCGTCGAGGATTTGGGTGAGTCCGCCTGCCGCTGGGTCCCAAAGGCGTACTGTTTCATTAGCAGAGCAGGACGCTAGTAGCTGGCTGTCGGGTGAAAAGGCTACCGATTCAGAGGCTGTCGACTCGCCGAAACTCAACGTTATATGGCCATCAATAGTTTGCTGTAGTGCGCGTGTCGCCAAGTCCCAGAGGTGCACTATCCAATCAACAGAACCAGACGCTAGCAGCCGCCTATGGGCGAGAAGACGACCGTGTTAAGCGAGCTCGAATAGCTAATAATCTGCTCTATTCCACCAGTAGCCATATCCCAGAGGCGCACTGTCCGGTCTTTAGAGCCAGAGGCTAGCAGTCGGCCATTAGGCGAGAAAACTACTGACTGAACGGAACCTGAATAGCCTTCTAAGGTCTGCGTATGTATACCCGTCGCTAGGTCCTAGAGCCGCACTGTCCGGTCACTAGAGCTAGACGATAGTACGTGGCCGTTAGGGGAGAAGGTCACCGACAAAACCGAATCTGAATGACCTTCGAGGGTTTGCAACTCTGCACCCTATTCTTCCTCAACCACTAGTAATTGGCATATCTAAGTAGGAAGCTCGTGCTTAAACACTTTGCGGAGTATTGCGGTTCGGGGTATGAATATAAGTCCTACACAATAGGCCTGCAGTAGGGCTTGATCAACTATCTGTCGATTTTTTAGAATAAAACGCTTAGCATCGTGAAGGAAATATGAAATCTAGAAAGAGTCGTTTCCCTAAAGCTGTCAGTGCAAATAATAAATAGCATTCTTTGGAACTTACCTATGTGGCTGTTTGGAGGCGATTAAGGATACTTAGTATTTCCGATGTAAGGCCTAGTAAGCTTATTGCTTCTACCTAGTGCAAAAAGTGCACCTAGAGAAACAGAAGGGTATCGTGTGCTATATTACTTAACCCTGTGCATTACACTAGATGATGTGCCTAATATCGACAAGCGTACTGCAATTCTGGAGGAAGATAACTATCGATAGTCTGACGATCAACTTCTACACGTTGGGTTCTATTACTTAGCAGTCGGCAGATATTTTTCCGAAGACTCTGATAGACATAGAGGCATTTCCTGGTTAACATATCGTGTATCTCTGTCTCACTTATTCTAAGCGGTGTCTTCTTTCGGGTTTCTAGATCAAGAAGAAAGTCCCGAAATGATAGGTGAAAGAGCCTTATAGGTTTTGACTTATTATCTAGCACTCTTAGCACTAAGTGTAGTGGGCTTAGTCGATAATATATAAGCCTCTTATAGAGGCCTAGAAGCTTCGATAGTGATTTTATAGAGAGTGGACTCTCTAGTATCACAATAGCACCAATCACTTTTTAGAACTCCGAGACTAGCTTTTCTTTTTGTTTCTCATGTTGCCTATTAACAAGGCGATTAAGAACCGGAAGATACGTCCCATCTAGCTTAAATCGATCATTCTGATGCGTTAAGATTTCGGTAAGGCTATCTAAAGGGTCCCAATCAGGTTCTTTAAATATATGACAAACAGTGGCAGCGAAGATAAATAATAGAACGGATAACGCCACTAGCCTTTGAAAATCTCTCTCACCCGGCCATTTTGTAGGTAGGTAGCGTTCTGTCCTAATCTCTGCAAGTCGATAATCAAAGAATAAGGATATATCGTGCTCGATCACTTCTAGAGGAATGTTATGGAGAATAAAGTCCTTATAATCATCGCTTGTAATCTTTGAAAATCCTAGACGGATCGGTAAATCGGGCCTACTTGTCAAAAGCACTCGTAGACGCATTGTAGCTATGCTTTGAAGCTGTAGGAGGAGTTAGAGTATAAGCCGAATGTCACTATCTCTATCGCATTCGTCTAATGCGTTAAGCACTATTATTATAGCCTAAACTAAGTTATCGGATAGCACGAGCTTTTGGAGTGGTTGAAGAAGGAGCTTTTCGAATTGCTCCCGTATTGCCTTTGCTGCAATACCTGGATTATCACGGACTGCTTGGCGTAGGAATGGCATCAGCTGAGGGTTGGATATTGCTAGTTGTCTTGCGATTGTTGGAAAAAGCCTCCTTGCATTCCCCCGGTCCCCTTCGCCTCTCTCAAAGAAAAAGCTTGCTCCTAGTGACTGCGCTTCCATGAACGATTTCGCCATTGTTCGAGAGATAGTTGACTTTCCCGTTCTAGCTATTCCATTTAACCAGAATATGCCTTTCTTACGTGGTGACAAAGCCCATTCTCTAATTTGATCGAGGAGATCGGTCCGTGTGCCTAGAAGACATTCATCTTTATGCTGATTCACGTATGAGTCAAATGCAGCTCCAGGCACAATGGCTAGTCTATCGTCAAGATCTGCATAAAAGTTAGCACTGCCGACACAGAACAAACACTCACGTCAAATACCCAGGGAGATATAAAACTCGTTCGTGACCGAACCGTGGTTGACTCCTATCTCTGATCCGTAATTGAAGCCACAGAATGATATGGTTGAATCCATGGTTCTCTTCATTAGCACTCGAGAGAAACATGCGGGGTTACTCACCCCTTAAGTGGCAGGATAGCCCCTACTTCACGTGACGTCTGGTAATCTTGCAGTTGCTATAACCCCAAATGATTATCATCTAGAAGTCCATGTCAGGTCGCTGCTGAATCCATATATTCAACGTGGTCCACGCAATTATATGTCCACAATTTGCCACAGTTTTATAACATACAAGGAAACACGACAAATCATCAGTCGAATCTTTATTCCTAAAAGGCCGCTGCATCCGCTCGTGCCCGTTCAGCTTTACTTCCCACTTTGTCGTCTACTAAAGACGGCGCTTGTGCTGAGGAATTTCCACGGCCAATTTCTGATATGAATTTTGTCTGAAGGGAGAGCCACGAGCCTCTACCTAGACCTCACCAAAACCCGCCCAGTACCCAACCCGCCCCGAGAATCTCGACCGTACGAGAAGGGCCCGGGGGCGCTCGGTTCTTCGTCATTGCAACTTACAGATACCGTAGCTTCGATTCTCAGCCAATAATTTGTAGTGCCAACGACATATGGCGCCGTCGCATTGAAGCAATAGAACTTGACTTCAAAATGATGACTTTGAAGGACAGCGAGTATCCTGGTCCTATGTCCTATGTATGATTGATACTACCTGTGTCACTTCATGAATAACGTGATAGCGGTATACCATAAAAACAGATCATTCTGGTGTCTTACTTCAACCAACGAAAGCAGCTTCGTGCAGATGGTAAGAGACCAGGCGTTTCAGCAGTTTCAAGGCTACCAAATAGTACTCCATGGAAGCTCAGCTGGGAGGGTCAGTGCGGCAGTCCCGCAGACAGCAGGTGATTCTCACCCTGATTCCCCACCCTGATTCTCATCCTGTCTATTGCGCACTCACCCTTGTCACCCCAGTTGCGCGACTGTAAAGCGGCGCTCAACCGTTTCTCACCTGGGCGACACCCACCCGTTTACTGACTGCACATAAGCACGTCCTTTGCCAACGCTAGCCATTTGTTCGGCTTAGCCCAAGGGGTGATCGCCGCTTTGCGGTCGCGTGACCCGGGGTGAGAAAGTGTGAGTACGCAATCGAAGGGGCGAGAAAGCTGAGTGAGAATAGCCCTCCGTCGCGCGTTCGCCGAACTGGTCACTTTAACCCAAAAGCTGTAAGAAAAGTGATTGGCTTATAGTATAGTTTCTCTAGCTAAAGCCCATAATGGCCAAGTGATAACACAAAGAAACAATGGAAGAGACTAAGAGTATTGGAGTCTTGGTGGTATTTCACAAACGTTCCGGCGTTCTTCCAAGCTAGCTTCTCTAGTGGCGTTAAGATAGTCCTAACTGAAGCTTCTTTTCGAATATTTATTTTCTATCGTGATTTGTTAAATCGACTAATCAGTGACACTTGCTAAGAAGGTGTTGGTTCTAGGGGCGTTCAAGGGTGATTTGTTATCAATTCAGTAGCCTGCCATACTCCAGAGTAGGGCTAGCTCAGCATTATTGCCCAAAAATAGAATAAAATGGAAGGCTAGGTTGGCTGTGAGGCCAATCACACTCGTAATTGAACTACGTCCTTCGCATAGCCACACACGCTGACCGTAAAAGTTAGCACGCTCCCCGCAACTGTCTTCCACATCTTTCACACGCAATTTTCAGTTTTTGCCATGCCATTCTGGTTCCTGCCTCCAGACTTCACTTCCCGCAAGGATGGTGCTATCCGTCTGGGAACAGTGCTAGAACACCCTCTTCGGCCAATGAGCATCCTAGCCTCCCAAGGAAACGGGCTGCCAGCCGACCTTGACCTGCCCTCAAAGGGGAGCATCATAGAACGAAATCACGAGCACCCCAGAGGCGCAGATGTCTCTGTCGGAATGAAGCTTTGGGCCGCTTTTCTTGAAATCGCGTCAGGTACAGCCGAAACGTCGGTAAATCTGTCTCGCAATCGCGACTTTGGGAAAGTGGACCACGAGGTGTGGACATTCGACCGCGAGCTTAGCGACAAATGCCTAAAGGAGATTATGGCAGTGCCCAAGGTACAGAAGTACGTGGACTCCGGCTTTCTTGGCCGCAGACCCGTCTACGTCATCACAGGGGTCCGCATAACCAATACTTCATTCACCGTGTCTACGCGATCCAATGAAAATGTGTCTGTCCAGGCTTCCACCTCCGCGAGCGATCCAACGGGCACAGTCCCAATCACGGCGGGAGCCGAGTGGAGCGTGCAACTTACAAACATAGCGGACGACTCTTATGAAACTGCACCAGGCATTGTATTTGCGTACCGCGTACATATAATCCGCACAAAAGGCGACGGCGAAGTAAGAGAAGATTTGTTCTCTCATAAGAAAGCATTCATGACTGGACTCAGTGGTCCAGACATCGAGTGCCTTGAAGTCAACTCACAGGTGCTTCGACAAGACCCCGACGAACCATTCGAAACATACATGCACAGTGCTAAAAGTGGTGATGATTGGGTTTCTGTACCGCTCCCTTTTTCAGGTAACTAAGTTGAGCTGCTCCGAGTACAAAGATATCATCCCACCTTACACATACAGTCCACGAGCGCACAAAGTCTTCGTAAATTATCTGGCCGTTTGACAAAGAATTTGACCGGATTGATAAACCGTATCCGATTGCCCGTGTCCGTCGACATAGCGTAGAATAGTTCCTCCATACCTTCGACCGTCCGTAATTTTTTAAGGGTTTTATCCTTCAGTAAGACAGGTTGCATTAGCTGAAGACAATCATAGTACGATAAAATGCTGGCCGCAATTCCCGCTGCCACCGCCGTGGAAACCGAAGATCCTGGGCCACAGACGTCGGGCTTGTATCCCCGAAGTCGGTGGGGAATATTGTCGCCGAACGTGGCGAATAATGGTGCCGGGCCGCGCAAATCAGAGGCAGGGTTCGTGTCGCTGCATGCACCCATGTAATTGGTAGATCGGATAGATATCACGTCCCTGCGGCTTGCTGGGAAGGCCGTGTCTTGGTGAGGGCCGGAGTTACCAGCGCTGGCAAGAAAGATTATGCGGTCCTCTCGCTTGGCTCGGACTGTCAAGATGGCATTTTTGATGTCATCATTGTTGTCAGAGACACCGAAGGACATCGATATTATATCAGCCTCATGTTTGATGCCGGCCCATACGATTGCCTATTGATCCTCGATATCAGTGTTAGAATCAATCCTTGATTGCAAAAACTAAAGGATACCGCACCTCGCCAATTTTTCCTTCGCTGCCGTCAAGTTCTGCCGTATTCTCCGCCACTCTTGCCACATACAACTCTGCAGACGGCGCAGCTTCTATCACAAGTGCAGTCATGAAAGTCCCATGACCGAATGAGTCTTTCTTCTCTTTAGATTGGTCGACGAAATCCTTGTATGCTTTGATACGATCTGCCCGTGCTGGAGATCCATCTTGAAAGTACGGCGCCGCGAGGCTGCATCCAGAATCCAAGATTGCCACGCGGATTGGTCTAACCTCAACATTGACTGAATGTCGCTGATTTAACTCGTGGACATAACGACCGATCCTTTTCAGATCATCCAGCCATTCTTCTGGGCTAACGATCCTCCCGCTATGGAAGGAGGTAAATGTAGATGGATCTAGTTCGCCAATCTGTACCGAGGTTGTGTAAATCGAGCTATCGGATGATTCAGGGCTATTCTTTTTTTGGAAGCAGACAGTTTCCCCGTCGGAAAGCGGACCCGCTAGCCACTGAAGGGGTTTTACCACCTTTTCATAAAAGACCTCTCGTCTTTCGGAAAGCCCCATGGGAAAGCAAGGATCTCGTGGACTTAGCGCAAAGTTCCTGCCAGTCATGCACGCATCGATAGCCTGGTCGAGTATATGCTTGCTCACGTGGCCATCCCAGGATTGTCCCTTCAGTTCTGTGAACAGCTTCGAGGCGGTCAAGAAGTCCTTGTTCATCCCACCGGTAAAGTCGCTTTCGTGCCGCTTGATCTGCGACGTCTGAATGGGCCTACCGAGGCTAATTTCGAGTAGCAAGATTGCCAGCGAGAATATTCTGGGACATTTGTGTATCAGGTCGGTGGTTGTATACTCCTCTAGCTCGTATTCAGTATGTTCAAAGGGAAAAGAGATGTATGCTTTGCATGGTAGCGGTGCGTTCGGGTCACTGGTGTTTGGCATGAACCAGATGTTGCCACTTGACCACTTCGCCAGCATCATCTTTGAATCATAAAGCTGCCAGAATCCTTGTGCTATAGCGTGAGATAGCACGATCTTTTCAGGTATGTTGAGACGATACTCTTGAAGGACACGCAGTAGGGGTAACCCAAGACCGGGTATGGCTTCGTGATGTAACGCGTAGACATCCTCATACTTGAATAGTCGTTGATCTCCAAACTCTAGGAAGATCCGGGCATTATTTCTTATGCTTAATATTTTACAGAAACCGGATACTTCCACCTTTCCAGAAGGTGAAGTCTGAACCTCACCGGCAAACTTGACCTTTTTCTGTGGCGAAATGAAGCCAATCTCTTGCCAATACCCAAGTGAGGGCAAAGAGATAAAAAGATCAAAGAGAGCGCTAGCATCTCGAGTCTGCTGAGGTCTGCCCAGATAGAGCCTGGTTGGATGAAACCCAGTATTATGCCTCCTGTGGGTTGTGTTTTCTTCACAAGAATCGCAGGCAGAATAATTCCAGATAGCTGTCAGGAGATTTTCAACTTCCTTCTGTGATATTTCGTCCTCATCGATCTGGAACGCCGTCTCTGTATTTGCAGTGAGCTTGGTGATGATCGACTGGCAGGTGGTGATAGTGGCTTCAATCAAAAAATCTGGTGCGTTTGCTAGAAAGCTCGCGGTTGTTGCTTTGACATTATTTTCGAGGCTTGATTTAACAATTTGCACGGTCCTAAGCGGGTCTCGTGCCTCCAGCCCTAGTCCCTTTGAGTATGCCGGCCACTGTTTGTATCATTATCAGCATAATCGAGTTTTAGCAGTGCGGTGAACAAAGCTTACGGTAACGATCCACGAGAGTTCCTGGAGAAGTTCCCCAGATAGTTTCTGCATAATGGGTTCTGATATCACAGCCATGTCGGACCCGAGGCATTCCGATGCCGCAAGGAACTTTGCTGAGAGTTGGAGCGTTCTCTTAAGGACACGGCGATTTTCAACTTCTATTTCCGCAATTAGATTACCCAGAGACGAGGTGAAAGAGACCAAGCTCTCGACAATATAGATTTCACCCGTGGGAGAGCCAGCGGATAGCATTGTCGACTGCCCGGACGAGGTCGTGGAACTGGCCTCGCCAGGTGGCCAGGGCCTCCTTATATCTTTGGTGAGGGACAAAAAAGATGCGAACATGGCTTCGCAGAGGCAACTTCCAACATCTCAATAGGTTTCCGGTCGCAAAATTGCTGTATGTTGCACCGAGGAAAGTTCCACAAAACTACTAGCGATTTGGAGGGACAAGCGGAGAATTTTGGTATCACCACAATGCCAGAGCCGCCCGCGTAAGCCATAGCGACAGTACTTGTGCACTTACCCCGCTCGCGCTGAAAAAAATGCCCATGTAACCGAACCCAGAGAACGCTACAAGAATAGATAAGCCCCAAGTCTCTGGAGCTTTTTGCCAGACCTTGTGTCCCAAGGTTAGTCGAAGTCCTAATAGAAGCACATTGTTGTCTTAAGACCCTGGCGCCCATGCGTTCCAGTGCTAATTCTCTTCACACAATTCATCCAGACCATCCCAAACGTGCATCGACAGATCAGCGCTGCTGTTCGGAATTCAGTCCAAGGGATGGTCTATTTTTGACATCTACCTCTTTCCTCGGTCTCGAAATTGAATCACCCCACCTAAAATTCGTACGGAGTCTCTCAGGATGGCTCCTAACCAGGCGTTCATGGCCGAGCTGGTCATTTTAATTCGCCACGAGTTCCGCCTGTGTATGGAGCAAAATAGTCTCATGCGCGAGAAGTGGGCCGAAGTGAGAATGTTAGACTTCAATCTCTGGGTCGCCGGAATGGGCGCAACAGCCGGAAAAAAGGCTTCGCTTGATGCTAGGCTTCAGGCCCTGCCAGACATGCTATCGACGCTGAAGCACTTGCTTTCCTCGCTCAAGAGCACTTTGATGGACTGCCGGAGGCTCTATGGCAATGAGCTTGAGGAGTCAATGGAAATTGTCGACTTAGTCATCGAGAACTTGGCCATGCTCGCCACCGTTATCAGACGCACAGGAAAGCGATCGCGTCTTAGGAGGGCAGACCTGACGTTCGACCCTCAAAGGCAAACACGACTCCGAAGGCATTTTGAGTGCATTGTGCTTCTCCGGCCGACAGAGAATGCCCTCTTCCGACCGGTGTCCTCGACGACTATTGCTGAGGATTGGATGAGTGTAGTACCCAATTTTGCCGAAGGAAGTGGCCATTTGACACCCCTCCAGACGCGGCTTATCAACGCCAATCTCAGGCGGAGGTACTGGTTTCTCTGTGCTCAAAGACATTCGGACAAGCTTGCTCGTCCTCAGACTTCAGCGGGACCACAGGCTTCCACACCTAGAGTAGGAACGCCGACAATATCACCTGTGGAAGGCTCCGTGTCTAGACCGTCAGACACGCCCTCCTCAAAATTAGCCAGTTCCAAAGGTTCGAAGCACCCAGACAAGGAGTCCACGTTGCCCGGTTTGTCGACAGTAGCATCGACTGTCGAGATCACAAACCCTTCTGCAGAAGATGAAGTTACTATACCAGGGGTACCTCAGACAAGAATCACTGCCATCACAGCTGCAGCCCAGTATCCGAGCCTCATGAAATCTTGTGATGACGAGCTCAAGGGACGCAAGATTCTCAAATGTCCTTGTTGTTGCCAGCCTCAGCCCGAAACCATGGCCAAGAACACCAATGCATGGAAGTAGGGGTCCATCTTTTCGTGTCCCGCTATAATTAGGATTACTCATTGTTTTATTACAGGAAACACCTTGTAGAGGACATCCATCCGTATACCTGCATCGCCGATAACTGCCCGACTCCACATATTCTGTATAGCACTCGGCGAGACTGGGAGAACCATGTGGAAACGGATCATAGTCCCAATAGATGGGTTTGTCCAATATGCATTCACACGGGCCCGATATTCTCCGGATTGGAAGCCTTAGCGGAACACGTGCAGGATCAGCACGGGGACGTGTTTCCGATGGATGATATCCACACTCTGCTCCACTTGGGAGCTACGAAGTCCTACGGACTAACGTGCTGCCCTCTCTGCAATTCATCTGGGTCTCTCGACGCCCCCGAATTGATTGACCACGTCTTGCAACACACCCACGACTTTGCCTTGCGGGCACTGCCGTGGCCCAAACACAGGGATCATGCCCGAAGCCTACCGGGCACGTACGACTCGAAAATCCCCAATGCGGACCTTGTAAGATCGTGGTTGGATGATGTTATTGAAGAAACTACGGACTCAATTGCTGCACAGCTGGATCTGAGGTCCTGGGACAGAGCTACCCAGGATCCTAACGAAGAGTGCAGCGGCTTCGACTACTTCGAGAAGAATGACTATTTCGCGGACTGCTCTAGTAGCGCCTCTCTCGCGGCCCTGTCAGAGCAGTCTGGCATGCACTCATGTACTGCAGCAGTTTCGGGCCTTGAAGAAGCTGTCCACCGGGATGGTTTATCCTCGGCGGCGAGCGTTATCGCAGTCATTCAACTGACAGGAAACCTCGTGAAGCTTTGCGGGATCTACATTCAAGAGGTGAACGAGGCACGAGACGAGATTTTAACCCTACAAGGGGCAATTTTAGGCCTCCAAGGAACACTCCAAGACCTGCAGAAACTCCTCCAAAGTAACGACGGAGAGGCTCTACCTACCTCCTCACGACTTGTCAGCAATATTACCGATTGCGTCTTCGACCTCCGAGCCTTACAGGCGAGACTTGATCTAGGAAATCGAAAGAAGCTGACGAGGGAGATGGGATTACGAGCCTTAACGTGGCCCCTTAAACGCACAGAGGGGGAGGGCGTTGCCCAGAACCTCGAGAGATACCAATCTTCATTTCTCTTATCTTTACAGGTGGATCAGAGGTACGATTATGGAACACTATATTTTGACTACATATGATTGACTCAAAATATGTATAGTTCTATGGATCTTAAGAAGTTAGAAGGTGCGATAGAGGCAGGATTTGAGTCATTCTCCGATCGAGACGAAGTCCAATGTCTCCAAGGCACTAGGACCGAAATTCTTCATCAGATAATGGAATGGGCAATGTCGCCTTCCCAAAAAAGCATCTTCTGGTTAAAAGGAATAGCTGGGACAGGAAAATCCACGATATCCCGGACTGTGGCAAAATCTCTTGAGGACACTAACCACCTAGGTGCTAGCTTCTTCTTTAAGAGGGGTGAAGGGGACCGAGGGAACGCTAAGAAGTTTTTTCCGACACTAATATGGCAACTGATGCTCAGAATTTCAGAGCTAAGGTCTAGCGTACAGAAGGCACTCTATCACGACCCTAACATTATGTCTAAAACTCTTAGGGAGCAGTTCGAGAAATTACTCCTTCAACCGCTGCTCAATCTTGACCAACTTGGCCGACAACCTCAAACCGCTGTGATAGTGATCGACGCTTTAGACGAATGTGAACATGACCACGATGTCCGGAACATCATTCGATTACTACCTCTTCTACAGAAGGCAAAGGCTGTTCGCCTTCGGATCTTCTTAACAAGCAGACCTGAACTCCCAATCAGCCTCGGCTTTAAAGAGATCGCGGATTATGAATATCAAGACCTTGCTCTTCACGAGATATCCGAAGAAGTGATAGAACACGACATACATTTATTCCTACTAGACCGATTTGCGAAAATTCAACACGATAGGAATATTTCTAAAGATTGGCCCGGCGACAACATCATCCGAGAACTAGTCACTATGTCCGCTCCACTGTTTATTTCGGCTGCCACTATTTGCCGTTATATCGAAAATTCGGAATGGGACCCTAAATTACGCCTCGCAGAGTTTCTAACTGACCAAGCCAAATATATATCGAGAATGGATAAGACGTACCTACCAATTCTAACGCGACTTCTGGACGATCAAGAGAGTGATGAATCGGAGCAGCAGCAGCAGCAGCTCCTACAAGAGTTCCAGAATACAGTCGGTGTTATCGTCCTTCTTGCTGTTCCGCTTTCTATAAATGCGCTGTCGCAGTTTCTAGGGATAGGAGCAGACAAGATTAGCAATCTATTGGATTTATTCCGATCGGTGTTAAGCATTCCCGGTGACCGAAATCAGCCTGTTAGGATTCTACATCTATCTTTTCAGGATTTTTTGGTCCAGTCTAAAACCAAGTTTTTGGTGGATAAGCCAAAAAAGCACAAAGACATAGCTAAGTTCTGTCTCAAAACTATGCGGAGTCATCTACAGAAAGACATCTGTAATCTAGCAAGCCCTAGAACGCATAGGGCAGACATCGACCCTCAACATATCCGCCAGTATCTACCACCGGATTTACAATACTCTTGCCGCTACTGGATACACCATCTCGAAAAAAGTCAGGCTTTATCCTCCGAGATAGAAGATGTGCGACTATTCCTACAGAAGCATTTCCTACATTGGGTAGAAGCCATGAGTCTTCTTGGCCTTACATCCGAAGTTGTGAAAATAATCAATCTAGTACAAACGGCCATACTTGTAGGTTTCTATAGGGGTTCTATATTTTCACTGATGCTTACTCATATAGGGAGACATTGAACATGAACTTGCAGACTTTCTACATGACGCATATAGATTTGTCCTCAAGAATAGACAAATTGTCGATGTTGCACCCCTTCAACTTTATTGCTCATGCCTTGTGTTTGCACCTAAACATTCAATAATTCGGAGACTGTTCTGTGGGGAGCTCCCATCTTGGATTTCTGGGTTGCCAAATACTGAAAAAGATTGGAGCGCAGAGTTACAAACCCTAGAGGGCCATGCTGGTTCGGTTCGTTCGGCGGCCTTCTCGCCAGACGGACAGCTAGTCGCGTCCGGCTCGACGGATAAAGCTATATGGCTTTGGGACACGATAGGCACGCTCCAGCAGACCCTAGAGGGCCATTCTGGCTTGGTTCAATCAGTGGCATTCTCGCCCGATGGCCGGCTAATCGCGTCTGGCTCTACGGATGAGACTGTACGGCTCTGGGATACGGCCACAGGCAGTCTACAGCAGACTCTTGAGGGCCATTCTAGCTCGGTGAACTCGGTGGCCTTCTCTCCCGCCGGCCGACTACTGGCGTCCGGCTCTGCGGATCGGACAGTGCGTCTATGGGACACGGTGACGGGTGTGCTCCAACAGACTTTTGAGGGCCATTCACAAGAGGTTCATTCAGTGACCTTCTCACCCAATGGCCGACTTATCGCGTCTGGCTCTGCGGATGAGACTGTACAGCTTTGGGATACGGCCACAGGCGGTCTACAGCAGACTCTCGAGGCCCAATCTAGCTCGGTGAACTCAGTGGCCTTCTCTCCCGCCGGCCGACTACTGGTGTCCGGCTCTGCGGATCGGACAGTGCGTCTATGGGACACAGCGACGGGTGTGCTCCAACAGACTTTCGAGGGCCATTCACAAGAGGTTGAATCAGTAGCCTTCTCACCCGACGGCCAACTACTGGCGTCCAGCTCTACGGATCGGACAGTGCGTGTATGGGATACGGCGACGGGTGCGCTCCAACAGACTCTTGAGGGCCATTCACACGAGGTTCATTCAGTGACCTTCTCACCCAACGGCCAACTACTAGCGTCCAGCTCTACGGATCGGACGGTGCGACTCTGGAACACAGCGACGGGCGTACTTCAGCAGACTCTCAAGGCCAAGGGCCATTTACATGAGGTTAATTCAGTGGCCTTCTCGCCCGACGGCCAACTACTGGCGTCCAGTTCTGCGGATCGAACATTGCGGCTCTGGGACACAGCAACCGGCTCGATCACGCAGATTCTGGGGGAAGGTTGTGGTTCAATTGCGTCAATAGCCTTCTCAACCGACGGCCGATCTGTAATCACCAATCTTGGACCCTTCGACATCCGTTCCGATATCCAGTCCGGCCATGAAATTCCTCTTGATATACCACTGAATAGCATCGACATATCAGTGTCAGATGGTCAGTGGATCAAAATCCACGGCAAAGAAGCCCTGTGGCTTCCTCCTGGATACCGGCCTACCTGTATAGCGACGTATAGTAACACTATCGCCCTTGGCCATGCATCTGGACGTGTCTCATTTATATCGTTCTCCTCTAGTAGTGATACACTAATGTAGTCCTACAATGAAACAAATTTGCTCTCTTGGTTTGAATATGACTCAGTGTTGTATGTTGTTATTCCTGCGCTACAGACTCAACCGGAAAGTGAATGTATACTCCTTTTTTGCCTACATAAGTAACCCATGCTGTATCACATAAATATTAACGTTATCTCGAAAGTAAGACGCAGAAAGTAGGAGGTACGCTGAAAATAAGAATAAAGATGTTACAGATTTCAACGTCTCACTTCGAATATAGACCTATTCTTGCTTCGGATGAATGTCTTTCCACATTCTTCCTGACTTTTGATCTTAACCACTCCAAGCAGTCATCGGAGAGGCGAGTTATATTCAATCACTAAGTCTCGAACTCCGATCTACTTTGAACCAGCTTCCTAGGCGCCTTTCAGTATCTTTCAGTTTCTCTCCGGTTCCTCAGCTTCATTTTCAAGAGTGTTTCTGAGGTAAGATCTATGAGCCAATTTGGAGTGAAATCGAAAACAAAGCTGACGAGTCTAAGGCAATGCTACCACCACGAAAATGCCAAAAGACCGCCCCGGCAGAGGGGTCGGCTGCGGACTCCCTAGTACAGGAAATTACCACAGAACAATCCCTAGCAGCCCTAACGGTGGGCGGACCGGATATCCTGCTAGGATTCTAGGCTAACAGGGCCAAAGAATGCCCTTGGCCAAAGGGCGCGCGGATTGTTCTCACCTCGGGAACACTACTGTTTTACCTAGTGGCCCTACTATTAAAAAGGGAGCTAGCCCTTAAACCGCCGAATAGGACAAAGCGTGACTGGTCCCCTACTAGAGGAGAGTTCGACAAGTCCACGGCCAGCAAAAAAGCTAACATCGAGGCACTGATTGCCTAGGCAGTAGGGGAGCTGCGTAAACCCTAAGATGCTTGCTCGAGTTGTAAGAAGGGGGATAGAATCTACTCTGGCTGTTATACGGTTCCGCGGCTGTCCTATTGCGCTGCCTGTCACCATAGCGGCAAGTAGGGTCGCTGCGACTAAGACAGAGCACCGGTTTAACAGGCGGAGCCTGTTAAAACACAACAGGGGGATGGCGATGTGATGGTCCTCGAAGACAGCCTGGCACTAGCTCGCTAGAAAATGCTTGTATACTAGGGCCTAGTGGAAATGACCGCCGCACAAATCATAATCCTAGAAGATGCTCTGGTAATCGTTCGTGCGGAAAAGGAGAAAGTTATTTAATGCGAATAATGAGGCTTCCGAGGGCGAGAGAATAGAAAATATCGCGCAAAATATAACGGCGATAATATTATATAGGCTTAATTTACCCTTCGTATTATACTGTACGTGTATGTTATATGTTTGAAGGATACCGAAAATACCGATCAATTACCGGAAAATTACTAGTGCCCAGCATGTGTCTGGGATGAGTCGTACCCAGGCTAGGCACTGGTATCTTTCCGATAATTTTTTGGTATTTGTCCGGTATGATTGTTGTATGGTTTTGGTATTATATGACTCACCTGCCTACTATCCACGGCTGGCATACCTAATTGCGCGGACAGCTCTAATCAAGCAATTATTGACATTATCGAATCTCATACAGGCTAAATTACATTGAGAGCTCAATTTGACCTTGAAAGACGATTCCTCAAATGGTCGAGCTGTATGGCTAGGTATAGCACAGGCATTTGATGAAGGCAACATATAAACCTACCTTCAGGCTTAAACCTTAAGGGGCTTGAGCATCACCGTTATAGCATCGTCTCCCGTATCAACGGAATCTGATACGCATTCAACACAGTATGGTTCCTCCAATCACTCCAATCATGGTTCAACAATGCCCACCAGTCATCATGATCCACGATACCCTCACGGACGTAGTACGAGCCACCCAAGTTCCATTCAAAATGTCCAATTGGTCCCTCGATTCGACTCGCGTTCAAGACGCGGTTGTCACCAGTGAGGAAATCCTTCAGACATAAAGCGTAAACGCCTTGATAATCAGAACTGTTTTGTGCGAAACCAAATTCGGTCAGTACGACTGGGGCGATGTTGCGTGAGGTTGTTTGAGGAGTCATATCAAGAGCGTTGAACCCGCGCTGGTAGAGTTCGTATTGGAAGAAAGTACAGTTTGCGATTGAGTTGTCGTAGCTGTGGAGCTCAAAAACAATTTTGTCTGCGTAGTGGAAGTCGCTCAGATTGAACACTCTGTTATCTTCTGGAGGCCTGAGGGGTTCGCCAGCTGTAATGGGGTTGAGCTCATGGTCGTAGTTGAGACCTGAGATGAACACCAGCGCGTCTGGGGCGGCGGCATTAACGATGTTCGCTGCGTCGATCATCTCATCGTACCATAGTGACCAGCCGTAAGTGTCATTTGCAGGGCCGTTGACTTGGCGAAGCTCGTTGCGGAGTGACAGGGCAGTCCTGGCTGGCCACTTTGCCGTGTACTTAGCCATGTATGCCAGACTACGCTTCCATTTTGCGACATCGAAGTATGTGTCACCAAACCAGCCATTTCCGTCATCAGGGCTGCAACACCATATAGCCTTGGAGACGTGGTTGTTGAAAACCAAGTGCAGTTTTTGTTTATGGAGCTCAGCTGCGACAGCATCCCAGACCTCGAGTCTGGTGGTATTCTCAGTGAAATTGGGATTGTGGTCGAGAATTTGACAGATAATGCTTGGAGCAAGCTCCGGCCCAAGTACCTTAACCATCGTATCCTTGATGCTGACGTCGCCGCCATTGTATAGGATGTCATCGACCATCTCTGTTGCCCAGCCCATACGAACGGAGTTGTAGTCGAGAGATTTGATCTTGGCCACGATGTTGGCGATAGAGGAGTACTGCAGGCCTTCGGGGATCATAGTCTCGCCCTCGCCGGGCCAGTTGATGCCGACGTACGTGAATGGCAATCCAGTGTCGTCGACAATATTCTTGCCCTCCGTATGAAAGGGGCCATGAGGCCATGAGATGCATTGGGTTGCGCCAGCCAGGAGGGCGAATATTATTGAGCGGGAGAACATGATGAGAAGACAATCGACACTCAGACGTCCACCGTCTTGAGCGACGCTATGGACTGTGGACAGTATCTATATGTGTATGTATATGTTTATCCCTTGTATACATCTGCCGTCCCCTGACAAGGTACGCACTGCTTACCCAGCTTCCTGCTCGTTCCCCAATTACAATTAGCCCAACTATTCATACCCCGCAGTTGCACGAGTAATCAAGCGGCACTAACTTCCCAATGTGGTTTCTGGGTTAAAAAGGTAGCATCTCCCCGCTTTCCCGCTCTCTCCGCGCATCTTTTGCAGGTTATCTTATCCCGCTCCCACGTCCGTTGGTTCGCCCCCGCCAGTCAATCTATGAGATCCCCAAAAGCGGACTGTTGAGATGACTGCCTGGCAGGACACCCCCTTTGTCTAGCTTGCAGGATCCCTTGCTGACCGATGCTAGTGACAAATGCCGCCGATTGCACCGGAAATGTCTGTCGTTCCCATTACTTTTTGTCGACGGTTCTCGCACTGACAGCATCTAGGTGATTTGGCGCAGCCGCGATGCGGCCTGTGCGAGAGAACTGGCGTAGACTGCCTCAACTCAATGAAAAGATTGCGCTTCAAGCAGGTTGTTCAGCACGTTGAGGTTGCTAGTCCGAGCCCGCAAAGAATCTCGGGAGAGAGTATTTCACCTCATCTCGGCCAGATCGTGGAGCCGATCTATTGACGCATGCTGTTGCTACTAGTCCGATATCGATATGTCCATGAAACAGACCGCGTTGTTCAGGCGCACCACAGCCGCCGGCAGCCCTCCCAAGATGATTGGCCCTCCTTATCCCCAACCGGGCCGAGTACCCCGCCGCCATCGGATGATACTATGCTGGAAACAAGCATATCCCCGAGAGTCATTCAGCCGGTCCCCGCAATCGCTGAGTCGTCGGCGACATTCCATACCTCTCCAAGCTCGGCCCCGCTACCCCCGGAAACGGCACCTAATTTACCTCCAAAAACGCCTTGCAGCCCTTCCACTCGCTGCTGGTCGTTCAAAAATGCCACTGAGGTTTTGCTCTTCCAGCACTTCACGCGATGCCTCTCCTCATTTGTGAGCATGATGCAAGTGACCGAGACCGTGAGCCAGCCAATCACTGATCTTAGGTTAGTTCGACCTCTGCGACCCGGACCACCACTTCGCCATCCAAATCCCAGTCCGAGCCCGGCTCTACCCCCCATTGATGGATGCAATTTTAGCCCTCTCCGCCCGCCACATGAGCCTTGTTGGCAAGGAAGTGGACTCTATCCTAGCTAGTCATTACTACCAACGATGTCTGAGCATTCTAATACCCGAACTCGACAGTGTCCACCATGACTGCGTGGACGACCTTCTCGCGGCAACGATAATCCTCAGACTGCACGAAGAACTCGACGGCCCATTTTCAGGATCAGAAACAACATACCGCCACAGCATAGGCACGCGAGCTCTACTCCAAACCCAAGCTTCACAAGTCTCGTCCGTCTCTGGCCTCCGCCGTGCCGCCTTTTGGGCGGGGTTGCGGCAGGAGATCTATGCATCAATTAAGCGGCATCGCCCACCTGCCATTAGAGCCTCTGCTGAGATGCTGGCACATCTTGGGCCTTTGGCAATGGATAGTGCGTGGGCGGAGAGTGCGGTTAGTCATTGTTTGGATGTTCTGGATTTCTGCTTCGGGGATGAAAGTATGAATGCGGATCTTTATGATACTTTATGTGAGAGAATTATGCGATGGGAAGTTGAGCGGCCCGCATCGTATGACCCGCTTTGTTTTGAGGTTCGGATAGATCCTAACGATGAGACGAATTCGTCTTGGGATGTAAGGTATCACGGGGACTGGCACGGTACGTAAACTGACTTTGGGGTTCGGCGCATGGAGTCCGCGAATGTGCCATCTCATTGCTTCATCTAGACTGACTAGGAATCCGCTAGCGAGTGCGTGGGCATATATCTCACTTGCAGGTATTCTCTTGGCCATCCAAAATCCCCGCCAACCACGTGTCGGACTGAATCGGGTCTCGGCGTGGAAGAATGTGCTCGTATGTTCATTTATTCGTTCTCACTCTCTCTTGTTATTTTGGGATTTTGAACGCCACTGCAAGGAATTCATGCCTCGGGCTAACCTACGATGTGATCTTCAGAAAGAGGTCCACTCAAAAATCAAACTCCTTTGTTCGATTGCTCAATGTAGAGCTGAAACTCCGGGACCCTCACTTGTGGCCTGCATGGCTGTATGGCTTGCGGGTGACATGGTTGAGGATCCGCGCGAGAGGAAAAGAGTGCTGGAGCTGTTGGCGACAACGGAGGCGGTACATGGCTGGCCGACGCAGGATATTTGCACGGAGCTTGTGGGCCTTTGGGAGGGCTAGTATACGGTATAGTAGATTTGATTTATTCATGGCTGGTACAGATGGAAAGCAGAGACAGTATGTCATATGGTTGTTTCGTAGCTGGACGTATTGTGATTGTTTCGGGGAAATCGGACCCGGGTTTGGCATCAACTTCAATGTAGCTCTCCCGATATTATTTTTTGGAGCTCGTGCCTCACCCTGGCGGGCGACGAGATACCGGAGTTGCATCGGATATAGCAGCGGTGGAGGGGGCGGACGCCCAGGACTGGGAGCGGAGTTTCTTTACCTGTTTGGGATAAGATGGAAGGGTAGCCGGTACCTGCAGTGACAGTTATACCGTCCGTGCACCCAATTTAGAGTTGGAGCAATGTGAAAATACTATATAGTATATGGAACCAACCCCTTCCGAGGTCCAAAGAACCACCTACTTATCAAGCCGATCAAAGGCGACGTTACGAAACTGCACTTTTGTCTTTAACAGCATTTCCAATTCCGTCCAAAAGCATAAGACGACATTGTGGCTACTGTTCCTCTGCCCTGACCCTAAATACTGCATCATCAAAATGGTCTCCGCGACAATCTCAGAATCCGAAATCGCTCTCCGCGAAAAACAATTCTTCGTGAATGATGGCATCCTCCCGCCCGAATCAATCGGTCTTCTCACGCCAACAACCCTCGACACCCCCGTCTCGGAAATGCAGCGCCGCTACAAAAAAGACGGCTACCTTCTCGTCAAAAACGTCCTCCCGCGCGAAGATGTCCTCCGGGTCCGCCAGAAATACTTCGAAAAGCTCGCACCCACAGGATGCCTTGCACCCAGCACAAAACCAGTCGAGGGAATATTCGACATGACCCAGAACCGCTTCAACTTCCCCGGCGTGGGCGCTGGCCCACCCGATATGACGGGTTCAGACCCCGAAGTCGCAAAGCAGTTTAATGATCTCGCGCTTGAGGCGCATCACGAAGATTGGTATAAGGAGGATCTATGCCATCATCCGGCCCTTCACGAGTTTGTTGCCAAGTTGACGGGGTGGGGAGAGAATACTTTGAGTATTCGTCGCACGTTGCTGAGGAACAATATGCCGCAGAATACGGCGATCGGTGTGCACTATGACCAGATCTTTCTGAGACATGGCGAGGATACATTTGTCACTGCTTGGGTTCCTATTGGGGATATCAGTATTGAGGGTGGTGGGTTGATTTATCTGGAGACAGGGCATGATATCGGTGAGCAGACGGAGAGGGAGTTCATGGAGCGTGCGAAGGCTGCGGGGATGACAGACCAGGAGGTGAAGGATGCGTATAATGCGAATATGATGTCGGGTGGGTTGTTGGACGTTGGACCGCTGCGGTATGCGAAGAAGTATGGGAGGAGGTGGCTTCTCACGCCATATGAGGCCGGGGATGTGGTGTTTCATAATCCTTATGCGGTAAGTGGAATCGTGTCCGATGTGAGTATGAAGTAAAGTGACGGTTATATTGATTTCCCGGCAGATTCATGCTTCGTGTATCAACCATGACCCGAAGAATGTTATCCGTCTAGGAACGGATCTGCGCTATGTAGACTCCAGCCGGCCTTGGGATACTGTGAGTTCACATACCAAAAGATGGTCCAGACCAGTCACTAATTCATCTACAGCGATGGTCAAATATTCTCGAGCCTGGCGATGGACTCTGAGAGACTTTCTGAAAGGAAGTCCCTGACTAAATAACGCTAGGTCCGACCTAATCGTCTTATGGAGATTGTTGCGACCGGAGGTTCGAGGTCTGTTGATGCTGCAGGGTGTGCAGATATTTCTCCTCGATGTCCTTGTTTCCTCTTGCGTGCAGAATGCTGATGTCTGTGTCTGTTCTTTTTCTCCTGTTCTTCTCATGCTTCTCACATATATTTAATCGTAGGATTCCGCATGGGAGAAAGGGTTTTGGTTTCTAGAGTTTCTTCGTCTTCGGGTTTGGCCGACTATAAGAGGTTTGTATTTACCCAGATGGATGTTTCCTTCTCCAGAGAATGCTAGAGTGTTTTTGCCTTTCCCATGTTCCTATGTGCCTGCGCGTAGCTGCTGGCCTGATCTGGCCGCTTTTCTTCAGCCCATTAGCTTTATTTTCTGTTTCCCTGGTCTGTCACTTGATAGTTATTGGAATGCTAGTATCATTATAATTTATCATTCGAGTAGATGAAACCTTACGAATGCGACTGAGTCTACGGAGCCAAATGAAAATGTACGATGGGTTGAGAGGCTATGCATTCCTCTACTAGCATGATGAGACAAAACAGACATGGATATATAGATATAGGTATATCATGTTGTTATCCTTGCATTTCAAAACAGAATAAATCCTAACTGAGCAGCGACAACTAAGTACCACAACATCCATGACACAGCGCGAAGAGGCAATATTGCGAAATCTACCTATGCCGTCTCTGTAGTACTCGTACGGACAGTATTCAACACTGTCTCGGTGTTGGGCTTCTCGAGACTCTTCTTGACCGGGTCCTTCGCCTCCTGGAATCAAATAGTTAGTAAAGAGACGCCCTCATGTTGAATATGAAAACCGAACCACTTACAAATACCTCATTCATCTCCTCCAAAGTCCTATCCTTCGTCTCGGCAAAGAAGAAGTAAATAAAAACACCCTCAAAAATATCCCAAAAGACAAAAAACAAGTAGAAATAGTAACCGATGTCTGCAAATGCTGGGCCAGAGGAATACCCAATAACGACACTACTCGCCGCAGAGGCAAGATTGGCCACTGCTGTTCCTTTCGCGCGAGTTGTGGTTGTAAGAGTCTCAACGATATACATCGTCTGCAAGGGGGTCCAGCCAAAGGAAAAGATCGCACCGAAGATAAAGACGAAGACGATCGTGCCATTTGCCGCGTGGGGATTTCCTTCAATTGCGGCCTTGGATGTCCCGGTAATAACAGCGAAGCAGACAGAGCAGCAAGCAATTGAGACAAGCAAGAGAGGTCTGCGGCCGATTTTATCGCAATACTGGGCACCGATAATAGCTGCTATAAAGCAGATCACAGGGTTCAATCCATTAATCAACAACTGTGTGTCTTCAGATGTTATCCCCGCATTCTCGATCATCACAGGGAGGTAGTACCCTGTGACTGAATTACCGCTCAGCTGCCCGAAACAAGCCATACCAAGCACGCAGATAAGCCGACGACGTGCGGAGTGGGTGCTGATGAGTTCTTTGTAATCCCACCATTTCTTGTCCGAGGCGTCTTGGCGGATGGTTTGTTGCATTTCGACCATTTGCAGGAGCACGACTGGATGTGTCTCTGAGCCCTCGCCGTGATATCGAGTCAGAACTGCCCGAGCTAGCTCGATTTTGCCATTTGCGATCAGCCACCGCGGGGATTCCGGGATAAACCAGATGCCGGTTGCAACAATTACAGAGGAGAGGAGTTGGCACCAGATGGGGATTCGGAATGCGTAGGGGTTGTCCCATTTTGCGCAGCCGTAGATTGTCCAGCTTGCTATAATGGAGCCGAGCCACCTTCACAACGTCAGTTATTCGATGTTGGATAGATCGAGTAGTCACTCACCACATGCAGTTATACAACCCCGTGTGGATTCCGCGAAACTTGGGATGAGACATCTCGCTCACATAGCATGGCGCACTGACGGAACAGAAACACACTCCGAACCCGAGGATAAAGCGACCCCCAATGAACATCTGGATATTGTGTGCGGGTGCCTGGATGCATGTCCCGAGTATAATCAGGAGAGCACCAGCAAGCATACCCATGCGTCGGCCAAAGTAGTCGTTAACTGGGCCTGTAAAAGGAATCGCGGCCACAGAGCCAATGTTGTAGACTGCCATGATGAATCCGACTTGCGATCCTGTGGTTCCTCTGTCATAAAGTCAGACACTGCCATGAATTACGAAGGAAGATATGTACTTGCGTGTGAAATGCATTTTGATAAGAGTCCATTGCGTTAAGCCCACCCATCAGGGAGCCATCAAACCCGTTGAGACACCCACAGAAGTACGAGATAAGCAGACATCCATACAGCCGGAACATGCTCTTGGTCCATGGGCTGCACCGGATCTCGGCCGCCTGCTCAGCGACATGGAGCAGTTCCTCGGTGCCACCGACTTCTTCAAGGTGGACGGCATTGAGAATTGTCTTGGCACCTTGAGAATCTTTACTTTCCTCATGATTAGAGTTGAGTGAAGTCATGTTGTAAGCTATTGAGTAAAAAATCGAAATGATGGAAATTTGACTGAAAAATGGTTGATGATCGACGGGGGCATAGCTCTATATAAGAAGTTTTGGATGCAGGGACGGTGCCATCCAAAGTCCAGGAAGCTGGGGAATTCTTGGCCAATATTTTTTCTTCTCAATTCATGCGGGGTCCCCGTGGGGTGTTGACGATCTGATCGTGACGTCGGGGGTATCGGGACCGAGCTATCTTCACTCTTCTGGTTTAAATCTCGGGCGGAGGCTGGAGGCGGACGAATATTTCCTAATGCAGGGAGACCCCACTGTGACTGAGCCATCCTCAGCTCTACCCTCCTTTAGGTATTTGGTGACTGGCATGGCATAACAGATTGCTACTCACGGTTACTTCTTCAAATACTCTATTTCTCGTGCATGATCAAAATCAGGCCGTCAGTATTCGGATTGCTCCAGTCTGAATCCACAAACCTCTCTAAGTGGTGGAAAATTCTTTAGAAAATTCCATATCACGTATATATATAACATCCCGGCTTAAAAGTTCCTACGGGATCCCTAAATGGTTTCTATAGTAGGCAAAGGCTCGTTTCGGCCTCGTTTCCCTTTAGCTGCCTAGATAAGGAAGGCTTGTAGGTCTTAAGGTCGGGAGGGTTTTTGGCTTCGGGATGCAGCTTAAGGAATCTAAAAGATGGTTACTTTATGGAATTCTATAGGGAACTACACACTAACTTGTTAAAGATTCTTAGGGTACGCTTATAGTCGCTCTCTATACGCGGCAGGACTGTCCGTCTGATTTCGGAGTATTCAAAGTTTGCTTAGTTTTACCACGTTATAGGTGTAAGCTAGCAGTTGGTCTGATTTCGTCATAATTGCGTTCGACTTGAAGCAAGAGCGAAACGGTACAGGGATGGGAGTGAAGTGGAAGGGACGTGGAATAGGGTGAGGGCAACTGGCGGCAACTGCCTGAAAGGCAAGAGCATGGTGTCTGCTCCGCAACGCGAAATCTTTCCCTTGATCAAAATTTACAAAGGCACATTTTGGGGCAGGGCTTCACCCCTCTGGGTGAAGAATATTCAGGTAGGTGAACTGCCGCCTGAAGCCGCCCGAACCCGCCTGAAGGTCCAAATCGTACGATATCTCCTGTACGGATAGTCAGCCTTTGTGACAGATTATGAGAAATAACATCGCATCCCACCATATTTCTCATGCCATTTCCGATTCTGGACGTGGAGATCTCCCCTCCACGCATAAAAAGCGGCATACCAATTGGTTATAGCTGCTAAGCGACGGCCTGGGTACTTCGCCAAAGGGTGAAAGAATAAACGGCAAATGAGGAGTATCATGCTCTGGCACATTCAAAGTTACATAATGGCACTTTTCTCGATTTAGGCATTGATAAGCTTGCCCACAAAAGCGAGACAGAAGCCACCGCCAGAATCAACCAAGACATTGTAGTGTTGGAGTTCGCAGGATTCGTGTGGAAAACGACGGGTTCAATTGAAGGTATAGCACGCCAATAACTTCTAATACTGTGGGGGGACATTTCGTGGCATCATGAGGTGACCCTGAAATATTCTCCGTTTATCATTGCGCAACTTTATTTCATTCTTTATTTACCCCCATAATCCAATCGTCTATGAGAATATGATCGAGTGGGCCCGATCGGCGGGCTGGGATCTTGGATCTCAGATGCGTCTGAAGTCCGAACTGTTCCAATGGCGCAGGAAATACCGTATTAGGAAGGCCTGTTAGCAATGCGAGACAATGATCAGCGACGCCAACACGGCTAATTAGATAGTTGAACCCGTGGATCTCAGTAGCTTAAAGATTCCATGGGTTTAACATATGCTAGGGATGAGACAAGTCAGATCGTGCGAATACAAAAAACCCCTGTATCCAGTCTGAGTTTGTGTTGTTTCTGTCCTATGCGTAATTCAGTGGAACTATCTTGTAGATCGTCCATAGTTCGTACCTTCGAGTGGATAAATATGGGTCTACCACTCGATTCACCCTTGAAACAGCCAATCATCATTCCGGTTGCAGCATTCTCAGATCATGCATGAGAAATCTTAGCACGAATTATGGAAATGATTGGGATTCCCTCGGGTTAGTCGAAAAACACAAAAACACCGGGTCCACAGAAGCAAGGGTGATCTTTTAGAGTGATCTGTCGCCCCTTATGGGCTTCCGCGATTCAACTTTACTGCGAGCCGGCCAGGTAAGCCTCTATCGCAGTTATGACTGTCGCCGCTGTCGAGAAAAATGTTCTCAAGAGAATTCCGACCTGGCGCAAAATCTTCGACCAAGGCAGTGTTTCTCAATACATCATTGATCAACACTACGATGGCGCCGGCACCGAGGAGGATCCATACCAAGTATCCTGGGTGGAGGAAGACCCCTGCGATCCTATGTTGTTTTCTGCAGTGACCAAATGGCTTATCATGGTCCTAGTAGGCATTGAGACACTGGCGGTGGCGTTGGTATCGTCTGCCTACTCGGGTGGCATTGTAGAAATACTCGAGGACTTCCAAGTCAGCGAGGAAATCGCTCTCCTGGGTATTTCGCTCTTCGTTATCGGATTCGCCGTGGGTCCCTTGTTCTGGGCGCCCTTAAGTGAGATTTACGGGCGTCGATATATGATGATCGTGAGTGCTGTGGGATTAACAGCCTTCACTGCTGGAAGCGCTGGGTCACAGAACATCTGGACACTGATCATTCTGCGATTCTTCGCTGCGTGTCTCGGTTCTGCGCCATTCGCCGTGTCGGGTGGTGTTATCGCCGATACATTCCCTGCCATCAGTCGCGGCCTTGCTAGCGGATTGTACTGTGCTGCACCGTTCCTCGGACCGACATTGGGTCCCATCGTCGGTGGCTTCTTGTCGGAAAATGCTGGTTGGCGATGGGTGGAGGGACTCCTTGCTGCCTTTGCTGGACTGTTCGCGATTATCACCATCCTTACCTTGCCGGAGACCTATGCGCCGGTGTTACTGAGCAAGCGTGCCGCACGTCTCTCCTCAATCACCGGGCATGTGTATCGCAGCAAAATCGAGATTGACAAGGGAAAGACGCATCTGGGAGCAGTCCTGAAAACTGCTCTCTCTCGGCCCTGGGTACTCCTATTCCGTGAGCCCATCGTCCTTCTTTTATCAATCTACCTCTCGATCATTTACGGCATGTAAGTATCATAGTCGCTCCATATTCACCCCGTCAGGCTCAACCAGAATCTTACGTTATGATTTTACAGTCTGTATCTATTTTTTGCAGCGATACCCATTGTCTATCAAACAGAGCGTGGTTGGAGTGAAGGGAAGAGCGGCCTCGCCTTCATTGGCATTTTGGTCGGCATCCTATTCTCTGTTGTCGCGACATTCCCAATGTACTTCCGATACAAGAAGAAGGTCCTCTCAACGCCCGGCCGAGTTGCTCCGGAAGCCCGACTCCCCGAGGCCTTTATTGGCGCTATAGCGCTAGTCGTTGGGTTGTTCTGGTTTGCCTGGACCAACTCACCTTCGATCCACTGGATGGCTTCGATCGCAGCCGGAGTTCCCTTTGGCTTTGGCATGGTCATGGTGTTTCTTCCCGTTTTAAACTACTTGATCGATGCCTACACAATCTACGCTGCGTCAGTCTTGGCCGCCAACGCCGCTTTGCGCTCGATCTTTGGTGCCGCTTTTCCCCTGTTCACCACTCCCATGTACAAGAACCTGGGCATCCACTGGGCTTCATCGATTCCTGCTTTCCTGGCGCTTGCTTGTGTGCCCTTGCCGTTCTTGTTCTATAAGTACGGCGCGGCGATTCGAGGCAGGTGTCACTATGCCGCAGAGTCCGATGCCCTCATGGAAAAGTTGTTTGGAAGGCCAGCGCCGCCGAAACTGGAAGAAACGCATGAAGAACGCCTCAATACCAAGGAATAATGTTTTATATATTGCATCCACATAGACTAATAGACTGTCTTGCCTCATTGGGCAGAAATGAACAAAATCTAATAACAATTTTCTGTTTTTTCCTTTCTGTTTAGCTCCATCCTTTCCGACGTTGACATTGTGACCATGCGAATATTTACCTAAGAGACGTCATATGCGATCATAAATGCGTATCTTCCTAATACGCAATTCATTATTAAGTTGCACCCCAAGGCGGGCTCAGAGGTCGATACATTAGCATTTCCTGCACATCAAAATCACATCGAAATATCGATTAAATGACGAGGCAGTATGTGATCGTTTGATACCCATCATTCCAACGGTTCTTCGACGAGTGCGTTTTTTTGGTTGGTAATTAAATAACGTCACAACTGAAAGTCGTTAACAAAATGAGCCTCTACGGCGCCCTCTCACTAGCTGAGTCGTATTTCGGCCTGGCCGTGTGTCTCTCATCATAAGTTGGACGCGCATAGTCTGGACTGGGACATCTGAGTTAATCCTGCAAATGACTCCACATTATGTTTGGTGATCTGACCGCAGGATCGATGTTAAATTATGCTTAGCAGTTAAGTCAACTTGAGCGGAATCCGACTTGGACGAAGTGATGCCATTTGTTTTACTGTCGTTAATATTCCGTCTTAATGGTTCGTATTTCTTCCTCTATTTGTCTTCGTGCTTTTCTGGCTTTCTATTTTCTTTTGAAGTTGAAGTACTGGAGCTAGACTGGCTTCATAATAGCCCCAAAAAAGTTCGAATGTTGTTATTTGCAAAGTGCACTCCAAAAATTGAATGTACATGTCCAGTAAGCTGCTTTCGAGCCCAGGGCACGCTAAGCCATATCACGTAATTCCCGGGAACTACCGAACACGAATGTAAGACAATTTGAAGTGAGTTGAGTCATCTCTCGACAGTTGAACCTCAGAATACTCTGTCAAGTGTATTGGAATTCTTCAAACAGTCTCCCACCGTACTCTCTCCAGGTAGCGGTCAGCTACAAAATGAGCACACAAGACATCGTGACCGTCAGGTCCTTCTTGCCTACTATCCCGCTCCCAGGGAACAAGGACCGACCAGACATTACAACGAGTCGATTGATCATCCGCGCTCTCAAAGCAGGCGACCTAGAAGCATTGCATTCTCTGCGCACTCAAGAACCAGTCATGAAGTGGACCAAGGCTGGCTGCATCGACCAAAATATCGAGCAGAGCAAAGCAAAACTGGATCCTTTCCTGGCCCCCAATGATGCTATCACCGCCAACTGCGCTATCTGCCTAAAAGACACGGGTGAATTCATCGGCATCGGTGGATGTCATCTCTATCCTGGAGACCACGGCTGGCCCGAGGTGGGGTATATGCTCCGAACTGAGGCTTGGGGACAGGGCATCGCCACGGAATTTCTCAGTGCTTGGCTTAAGTTCTGGGCGGGACTCCCTCGAACGGAGAGGGAGATTGAAGTCCAAAAGGATATGGTGGATAGCGAAGGTGCAGTCGAGGAGCAGCTCATTGCCATCACGGAAAAGAGCAATGCCCCGAGCCAGAGAGTCCTTATCAAGGCTGGATTCCAGCGCTTTCGGGATTTCACTGAAGTGGATGATTCCAAAACTAAGAGTCTTGTTGCTTTTCGCTTCTTCCCATCGAAAGGAATAAGATCTGACGGTGTTTGAGAGGCCGCTCCGGTTCTCCGCGGTCCTTATCAAGGACCCGGCGCTTGGATGCCCAAAGCGGCATCTCCCCGGAGTGGGATGGGATATAAAGTCTTTAGTTGAACGTATCAGCATTTGAAAGCCACTAGATGTATTTAATTTCAACATGGCGACGGAGGATGCAAAGAGCCTTAAGACTCCTAGTCTCCCCAATTGAAAGACATTTGTAGTGATTCACTACAATAAATACAGTTGCATACTCTCTACAGTATATGTACGCAGAGTGCAGTCAAGAAGCTTTTCCACCCCTGTCAAAAATGTGTTGTCTCGACATGTCAGGAGGAGCCCTTGCCACATTTGGCCTAGCCTCGAGTCAGTATTGCGGGCCCACGCGTGACACTTTCGGCCTTGTTTATCAGGTTGGCGGGTGTTTGCCGTTTCCCTGTCTTTGTATTTCAATTCCTTTATACCAGAGACCTTGAAAGTTCCGGTAGACAGTCTAGCCGGTATTACCCTTCATCCAACGCGGTCTCCGTCAAAGGCGGTTGATATGGACAAGCACGGAGCGTTCATTCTAGAAAGACCGTGTGGGAGAACGGAGAGACGGGCAGTCACCGTCTCTAACCAGGGATTATCAAGCCCAAACCCCCGAACCAATACCAAAGCAACTCAACCAGATCCTCCGAGTACCAGGATTTGATCAAAGCCGACTGGTTCCCTGACGTCGCAAGCATTCAACTGCTGAGGGGGACGGACACGTGAGCGGCCCGGTCACCGTCACCCCACGCTTATAGATCTGTACCACCGAGAGCATAAATTGAGGCCATGTCATGAGCTGTTGAGGCAGTTGATCTTGCAAACAGGTAAGACAGGTTTCACTACATACACACCAATATAATGGAGCAATATGACGTGGCAGTTGTTGGACTTGGTGTCCTCGGAAGTGCAGCGGCATACCACGCCGCTCAAAAGGGCAAGAAAGTCGTCGCATTTGAGCAGTTCGAGCTGGGTCACGTTCACGGTGCCTCTCATGACACATCGCGCATTGTCAGAACCACAAACTCATCACCTGAATATGTGGCTCTGGCCCAAGCTGCTTATAAGGACTGGGCTGCCCTCGAAAAGGCCACACATCAAAAGCTGTTGACGATTACGGGTGGAGTTTTTTCCTCCCCAAAGACGCCCCAACTCCCATCGGGGACTTCACGAGAAGTTTGGATGCCCGGAATGTTCCATATGAGGTTCTCAATGCCAAGGAAGTGAACAAGCGATGGCCCCAATTCGACATTCCGGATACCGTCGATACAGTATATACAGCCGATACCGGCATTGCTCATGCTGCAAAGACCGTCTTGGCTATGCAGAGCCTGGCGCGTATCCACGGTGCGGTGCTGAAAGAACATACACGAGTGGACCGCGTGATTCCCAAGGCGTCAGGTTCTGGTGTTGTCATCCAGACGTCAAAGGGACAAGTTCACGCAGCCAAAGTGATTCTTGCAGCCGACGCATGGACAAACAAGCTTCTCGCCCCTCTCGGCGTACATATCCCATTGTCAGTGATGCAAGAACAAGTGACATATTTTAAGCCGACAGAAGAGCAAGCTTGGGAGTCTAGCCGTTTCCCTGTGTGGATCTGGGGCGGCGATCCTTGTTTCTACGGCTTCCCATCTTTCGGCGAGCCAACCATCAAGGCTGCCCGTGATACATCCAATAACTTCATGACACCTGAGCAGCGTACCTATGTACACTCCCCCCAGTTGCTCGAGCAGCTTAATTCATTTATGGGCAAAGTCATGCCAGACAATGGCCGCCAGCCACTTCGAACCGTCACTTGTCAGTACACCATTACGCCAGATAGACAGTTCGTTATCAGCCCCCTGGAAAAGCATCGGGATATAATCGTTGGTCTTGGAGCTGCTCATGCTTTCAAATTCGCACCGGCCTTCGGTCGTGTTCTGGCGGAGTTGGCTATTGATGGGAAGAGCACAGAGGATCTTTCCAAGTTTGGCATTCCGCAGACAGCGACTTATACCAGCAAGCTTTGACATGGTCATTATTGATCCAAGGCGGGCTTATCATAAGCCAATATACTCAATTGATATCCTTGGTTTATATTCTGTCGTAAATTCATGTCTGTGATTTATCTAATAGTTCAAAAATGGACATATTCTTCACCATGCAATGTGGTTCCGAATTACATCCGAGCTCAGATCGTACATCACGATGGTCCGAATGGGCTTGCATACTTCCAATAATATCTGCGGCAGCCTCACATGACGTGAATTGGCCTGTGTTCTGGCGAGAATCAGACTGCGGTGATTCAGTCTCTGATTCAGTTGTGGCGGGAGTGAGTGTGGATGCTCGCTCTGCACAGGATCCTTGGCTGTCCAAACTGTCCACATTGCCATTTACATTAGATTCCGGTATTGAAATTTTGGAACCGATAGTCATAAGCTCATGTGGCGAGCTGTTCAAGTCTTTGTGAGGTGAAGTTGCCGAACGGTGGTATGCCACAAGAGGTGGAATCGGCGCTCTTTCTAGGTTGTTTTCCAATATTGAAGAAAGCATTTGATAAGACTGAGGTGGAATAGAGCTTGGTGGTTGCCCTTGCCATTCCAGGTATGCTTTGATTTGTGTTTCGGTCACACCGTGGAGCATGAGCAAAGATCGTAGCAGAACATTCTCTGTTGCTACCTTTTTTCCCGCTGCTTGAACCTCTTGTGTGGCTTTTACGCCAAGATTCTCAAACGAGCGTAATCGCTGCTCAAGGTCGTGAATGTACTCTTTTCGTCGTGTGCGAGAACGGCGCTGGTTATCACGGATTCTCGCGGATGAAGTTGCGGATCCCTTCGAAGTCTCAGATTGCCTTGCCTTCATACTCAGGAAATACAATATGGGTTGGAGCCATATGATACAGGTCTTCTAGTCTGAAAAGATGTCAAGATTGAACGGAACTCACTGAAGATTATCCGTTAGTTCAAGTTCACTATCAGACCCAACCGGATCCTCCAATCACAAGTACAAGACAGACCCATTTACGAGCTTGTCCAATCAGCAGTCAGCAGTGACATACTCAATTTGCATATTTGAATATTTTGTTGTTTTAATGCTGTGCCTTATTTCTTGGTATTACTTTCATTGACACTACCATATGCTGAATCTCCTTACAAAAAGAGTGCCGATAAATAGGCCTGCATCCTTGGCGCGACAATTTCTGTTGCCAAACTATTCCAAAAGGATGTCTTCTGCTCTTCCTCAAGTGGCTGCAAACACCCGCCAACCTGATGCTTCATTTCGATCCTTGTCATTGCCCGTGAATGAGGATGATCCAGATATTCGCCAGAAGTACAGGCCGTTCATCCTTAATGATGATGCAACTCAAGACTGGATCAACGAGTTAGATTTGGCCACCGCACTCGATATGGCCGAGCAGGACCTACGGGATACAAACGAGAGGTTGAAAGTTCTGGTACTTTATGGCAGCCTTCGGAGAAGATCATATTCACGGCTAGTGGCATTGGAGGCTTCTCGTATTCTGTTCCGACTGGGTTGTGATGTCCGTGTCTTTGATCCCCAAGGCCTTCCGATGAAAAACGACGTCGACACAGATCATCCCAAGGTACAGGAGCTCCGAAAGCTCAGCCAATGGAGTGACGGACATGTCTGGGTTTCGCCTGAACAACACGGCAATCTGGTGAGTTGCATCTTCGTCGTGAGAATCGCAACACTTTATAGAACTTCTACTCACTCGTGCTTTTCTCTGCAATTCTAGACTGCTGTTTTTAAGAATCAAATTGATTGGATTCCTCTGAGCACAGGAAGTGTTCGCCCCACCCAAGGCCGAACACTGGCCATTGCTCAAGTGTGCGGTGGATCGCAATCGTTTAATGCCGTCAACTCCCTACGTATCCTTGGTCGGTGGATGCGCATGTTTACTATTCCGAACCAATCTTCAATCCCGAGGGCATATACACAGTTCCCGGATGAGGGTCAATCCGAAGATCAACGACTCATGCCTAGTGGTAACCGAAATCGTCTGGTGGATTGCATGGAAGAATTTGTCAAATATACGATTTTGATGCGCCCTCATATCGGTCTCTTTAGCGATCGCTTTAGCGAACGGGAAGAGAAAAGATTAAAGGAAGCAAAAATGAATGCTGTTTCATAAAGCTGAGTTGAGGACATTAATTTAGACACAAGAAGAAAGTGTCCTGACTCACAGGTGAAGACTACTTGAACTATATCTCCTATCCAACTATCTTGCACAAACGAGCTCAGCGGCTCATTGTACTTCCAAATATAGACCGTATATCCCAGGCCAGATACAGATACATAGTCGATATTTTTAGCAATCTGATCATTTATTCTCATCATTGAGAGGAGAAAACAAAGTGTTGGCCTTACTATTCAAGGTGTTTATTAATTCTGCCTGAGGCCGCCACACAGCTGCCTCGGCAAAAGCCTGATGTCATCTGTTCGAATCGCCAACTTATCCTGCTTCGACCTTCTCAATTGCACCAAATATGCTCTGTGGTCTGATTTGAATAACTCAACTCTTCGGTATATTCATACTCTACTGCGCATATTCCTCTGCTTGAAACGCCCACTGTGCTTGCGACCATGGCCGCAGCCACCTCGCGACCTGCCACCCTTCCTTTGGCTGCCCTCCTTATATACCCTGCAACGCTATTGCTTGGCTCACTGTATTCGACCATCTCACCAACAGCGAATCCTTCTCGAGACACGCAACCTGCAAGCCCTCTGGCCCCTTCCCTCGCCGCAGATCTACACCTCTCCGAAAGCCCCGTCAACTACTTTGCCCGGAAAAATAATGTCTTCAACGTGTACTTTGTGAAGATCGGATGGCTATGGACAACAGCCGCTTTCGTATCGCTCCTACTCTTCCAACCCCTCTACTCTTCATCCCGACCACAGTCCTCGTCACATCAAGAAACACGTCTCCGCCGCACTCTCCAGGCTGTTCTACGCTACGCACTGGCGACCACGGCATGGTACCTCTCAACACAATGGTTCTTTGGGCCAGCGATTATTGATCGCGGATTCGTGGCCACGGGTGGAAAGTGCGAGCGTGCCTTTGAGAAGGTCTCGGAACTGGGCGCTGGCACCACCGACCTAGAAGCGCTGTTTACGGCTGCTACATGCAAGGCAGCTGGTGGAGCCTGGAGGGGTGGACATGATATCAGCGGACATGTGCTCATGTTGGTACTCGCCACGGGATTTCTGGCGTTTGAAGCTGTTGGTGCTAGCGCTCCTGCGTTTCTTTCACGCTTTGGCCCCTCCGGCGACGCGGGGCGTGAGCGCAAGACGAGTGATGCCGATAGCCCCCCTACAGTTGGAACCACTGAATCCGGCGGAGTTGCAAGGTTATGGTCACTCCGTCTTGTTTGGGGTGTTGTTGGCTTGGGATGGTGGATGCTCTTCATGACCGCGATTTGGTTCCATACGTGGTTAGAAAAGGTTTGTATATTCTTGCCGGTCCAAGTTCACATCTCGTTGCTAACATGTCTGACTAGTGGTCCGGTCTTTTGATTGCTTTGAGCGCTGTATACGCCATCTACATTCTGCCTAGACGGTTGGCATCATGGAGGAGTGTGGTTGGAGAGCCAGGGATATAGACACTGTGTATTCGACATGCCCTTTGTTCATCTGTGAATATGCCAAATAATGATAGATTGCATTGTTTTGAGCTTAGAAACCAAGGGCTTTAGTGCTTTTCATCCTAATATTAATAGGATATTTGAATCGGAGATATTTTTCATACTACCTCCTTCATTGATACAATACATCTGATGTGGCATCCATGTGCTGCGACTTTGACAGGTCTGTTCACTTTTCGGGTGTCGGTTGGGCTTCAGGGCCTAGAAATCCACTTTGAAACGCTTAAACCAACAAGCATACCATCAATATCATGATCAAATTTGGTCGAATTGGGTTGACTCACCTCCCGGAATCAACGCGGCTGCATACATCACCCGAGTGATAGGCCTCAGGTCCACTGGAGTCAGATCATCGGAGATGGAGAGCTCCATATATGGGTCCCAAGCAGCAATAATAGCAGACGAGAAAGACTTTAGATTAACGGCGCTCTCTTTTTCGTTGGCTTGTTCGGCCTGGCATTCTATGCCCATACAGGCACCAAATTCACGGAAAGCCAAGCGAAACTTGATATTTCGCTCCAAGTAGCGGTTGATTTCAAATAGGTTGTCTGGAATCATAGGTCAGCATGTTCACAAGATTCCAAGCGACAACAACGAACTGACACATTTGTTCAAAACATCCCCTGGCTAGTTCAGCAGCCCAAGCCTCTCGCTCGGCAAACCAATGTGCAGACCACAAGGTCATTCCCAAATCCAGCGGGTCACTGGAAACATAGTGCTCCCCTTTACGAACCATCACACGTTTGTAGTCGGAAATCTCCTCGGCCAAGACTTCGCCATCACCTGCTTCAACGGCCGAAGCCTGCAGCAGGCGAAAGACAACGTATCCATCAATAGGATCCAAATTTCCCTCTGATGCAACCAATGCCTTTGTCAGACTAATATTCATTTTCCATACCATCCTCGGGCGGGCTGTGGTACGACCGACGAAGAACTTTGGATGAATAGCTTTTGCCAGTTTCACAGCTTGTCTGTTGTACTCCATATTCCTGGAAGCTCTCGCCATCCGGTTCAGCGCAAACATCCATAGAGTGAGGTAATGGTGATATTGCCCATCTGCGTCTGGACCATGATCGTCTGTCTTACCGATTCTCAACCCACCACCCAGCGGATTCGTGTCAGTTGCTCCTGGCAGCCGGGAGTTCCCGTCACGGGTTCTACCTAGGACATTATGCACAGTATTAATCAGGCGGTCTGCGAGCACGAGATACCGGTCATCCCATTCGTCTCGCTTTTTGGATATGTTGTATTGGCTGTGCATTGTCAACAAGTTGACTACGCCGAAGGCGTCTGTCCAGAGGTATCGACCTCCGTGGCCGCCTGATCTTGGCGGTGGGTTCCAGTCTGCTGGGTCTTCTATGCTGGTAAAACTGCCATAAAGTGATTCCATCGCTTTCTCGAAGCGATCTAGGCGTGGGGATGGGCTGCTGATTGGGAGAGCCATCCTTGAAGTATATGTGCTGAAGGTCAATTGAATATGGGCGTGGTTCTTGAAATTGTGGAATGCTTGTCTAGAAGTGAGGTTGAGTAGAATGAGGGGCTTCAATGATTGCATTGAGTTTGTTTCATTTGCAGTGAGAAGCGTTCATTGTCGCGCTTATTGGTGTTGGTACATTATGGTTCGGCTTTGACGGGGGTGAAGTCATCATGATTCCAGTCGCCACAATGTAAGTCATTCGCTAGGAAATGTCCCGGACAACAGATGAACATAAAATTTTGTCGTTTCGCATGACGAGACGGTAGCTGTATCTCTATCAGCAGGAAAGACATTCATCGTGTCCGGTTGATCGGTTTCATCAGTTGACTGCGCTCGTCAACAATCCATGCGATTAGCTTCCCTCTTTCTGAGGTCAAACAAAATGTCAAAGTTTCAAGAACTATTTAATTCAGCAATACATCCCCTTCCTGCTATCGAAGACCAAAATTTCGCTTCCCATTTCGACACCTTTGCAGGCAAACAAGTGACGCTCTTGGGCGACGGCAGCCACGGAACATCCGAATTCTACTCAGCACGAGCAGAAATCACCAAGCGACTCATCGAGCGACATGGCTACACTATGGTCGCAGTGGAAGCAGATTGGCCAGATGCAGAGGCGATCGATCGATACGTTCGCTTGCGCCCAGGACCAAAGTCTCAAATCGGAGGCACCGCAAAGGGATATGCACCCTTCAACAGATTCCCAACCTGGATGTGGAGAAACTCCGAAATGCAGCAGTTGGTAGAGTGGATGCGTGATCGAAACCAGCGTCTGCCACCAGAGAGAAGAGCCGGATTCTATGGGTTGGACCTCTACAGCATGGGAGCTTCGATTAATGCAGTGATTGACTACCTGGACCGGGTAGATCCACAAGCAAGCAAGCAAGCTCGTCGGCGATATGGATGCCTAGAACCCTGGGTTGATGATCCCACTGCGTATGGCCTGGCATCCCTGAGAGGCATGGGAGACTGTGAAGAAGGCGTGATGAAAATGTTGGCAGATCTTCTTGAGAGACGGCTCGAATATGCTCAACGTGACTTGCGAAATGGTGACGAGTATCATAGTGGTGAACAAAATGCTCATCTGGTTCGTGACGCTGAGAAGTACTACAAGGCCATGTACTACAACTCCGCGAGCTCGTGGAACTTGCGTGACCTCCATATGTTTGAGACCTTGCAGCGACTATTGCGGCATCACGAGGGACAGAAAGCCATTGTCTGGGCGCATAACTCTCATGTTGGGGATGCCCGCTACACCAGTATGGGCTTCCGCCGCAGGGAACTCAACATTGGACAGCTGTGTCGTGAGCGACTAGGTCGCGAGAACGTGACTATCCTTGGCTGTGGTACTCATACCGGGACAGTCGCAGCTGCTCATGAGTGGGATGATGATATGGAGGTCATGAATGTTCGTCCGTCTCGAGAGGACAGTTGGGAGATTATTGCCCATAATACTGGGGTACCAAGTTTCGTGCTGGATTTACGTCGGGATAACATGGATGTTTCTCTGAGGTCTGCTCTGGCTGCTGAACAGCGGCTTCAGCGTTTTATTGGGGTTATCTATCGCCCTGATACTGAGCGAATCTCCCACTACTCGCAGGCTATTCTGCACAAGCAGTTTGACGGCTACATCTGGTTTGATGAGACTCAAGCCGTCAAACCTCTCGACGTTGTCCAACCTGCCACGCCCCTTGGAAAGGGCGAAACATATCCATTTGGGCTCTAGTGAAGGTGACAAGTTAGTTTCACAATCTTTGTAAAGCTTTGTATGCAACAAAAAGAATGGTCCCATTAAACAGATTAAGTATATTTCTTGCTTGTCAATGAAAGAGTTATTTATTCTAAACGAGTCCCCACAGTGATGGTAGTAGTAGCATCTTCCGCTCCTTGCTTTGTATAAACATGCTTCGTATCTCTTGACCCCGGGATATCTAGTGCTGGCAATTCAGCAATAAATACCCTGGAATCCATTTCATATGCCACATTCCCAGACTTGCTTCCGTGAGTTTGTAAATTTATGAGAAGGCTCACTGCCTGGGTGGTGTGTTCCGTCAACTTCGTCGGTCTGTGTTGTCTCCCCAACTGAAGCTTGTGTGTCTGCTTGGTTCTCTTGAATGGACCGTTCATCGAACAACCCGTTACCCGGTGACTTCTGCTTGTGCTGCTGCCTTTTCTTCCACAGACGCGAGAAGATGACGCCAGTCCCAAATGCTGTCGCGCCTGCAACACCGCCAACAACACCCCCGGCAATTCCACCTGAGTAAATCGTAGCTTTTCAAAATAGATGCATTTTCATAATAGAGTCGCCGGGCCTCATTTCGGGGAGTGAGCATCTCTTCTGCCGACGAGGTAGGGCTGTCTGGGTGGACTGAGGGCAATGCTTCGTGATGGAGCAAGCGTGTGATATCGAGACTTGGCAGTAGGGGACACCAAACCCTGATCACCAATCAAGGTCATTGCACTGCTTGTAGAATGAGGGACAGAACATATCCTCTACCAAATAGAGGGTGATAGGTTGGTACATTATTTATCTGACCTTGTTTGGCCGGCGGGCGTTGAACCTTGTGACTATTGTGGACCCTCCGTAGGTAGAAGTGTAGACACTATGCAAGCTTTCGACAAGGCTTTGGTGAGATATACTCGTAGAATGCTCTAAACGAGATCGATGCTATTAGATACAAATGCAATAGAACAGGGTCTATAAAACGGGGATCCTAGACTATGCCTTTTATGGACTAGCGTGGTATGACGTCGGGACCGAGCAGTTCGGGACCGAGCATCAACGTCTGCTATGTTTCTATTTTGACATTCAATCAGACGCTAACTCGCTACTCGATGCTTAATATGGGATTCCCTACAAGAGAAAATACAGATTGATGTAATAATTGGCTCTTGCCGAGCTGCCCCGATATATTTGCGTCTGAGCATTACCTCCTATCACGCTCAGGTCACACGTGAGGATTAAACATGTCTGGCATCACAAGAGGGCATTCTTGCATGTTATGTCAGAGACGCAAAGTCCGGTGTGATAAGCAGAAGCCCTGCGGAAACTGTGTTAAAGCAAACGCCGAATGCACTGTTGTTCCCTCGCGGCCTCGTGGGAAAAGAAACACCCCAAAGCCCCAGGGAAAAGACTTGGCTGAAAGACTCAAAAAGTATGAAGAGCTTATGACACGACATGGGCTTGATTTTGTGTCGCTTATTGATCAGGGCAATCCTGGTGTACCTGGGCTGCCTCATGACAAGGAAATATCCTCCAATGACGGTCCCTGGAACGAACGTCCATCTAGGACAACCAAAGAAAGGCAAGTATTGGATCTTGAATAACCTTCCAGTTCGAAAATTTTAGTTTTCACCTAACATGCGACTAGGGACTCTAAATGGTTCGCATACTATAATGAGGTATGGAACGGAACAAAGTACGAATGTGACGCATAGCTAACTGTGTTCAGTACCGAGCTGCTGATGAAATGCTACATGGCTCCTCAGACGAGGAATCTGACCGTCCAACTGCCCACCATGCTTTTGATACTATGTTCAATGACACCAGCGGCTTTCCATTTGTCGCGGGTAGCTTACAGGCCGAGCCCACTACACATCCATCCTCAACTCAGGTTATCCAATTATGGCAAATCTATATAAACAACGTGAATCCTCTCCTGAAGATCAGCCATGTTCCCACGCTTCAACCTCAGATAATTGAGGCGTGTACGAACCCTGCCAACATTCCGAAGCCTATCAGCGCTCTCATGTTTGGAATATACCTTACAGCCGTAAATTCTATGGATGATAAAGACGTTCACAATGTTCTTGGAGACGAAAAACCCACTGCTTTCGCTCGATATCGCAAAGCTATGGAGCAAGCTCTGATCGATGTTAGTTTCATGAAATCTTCCGATTTTATGGTACTCCAGGCCTATTTCCTATATCTGGTAAGTTCCACTCCCTTTATTGTTCATCATCTTGTAAGCAACAAGACATGCCTCTTGCCAGGCATCCTGACGTATGCTAACGAGTTTCTGAATAGATCACGATGAGACTTTGGATTGACCCTCGGTCTCTTTTCTGCCTCATTGGCATCGCTGTTCGCATGGCAACCCGCATTGGTCTGCATCGAGACGGTGCCCAGTTCGGCCTTTCTCTTTTCGAAACTGAGCAAAGAAGGCGACTTTGGTGGCAGATAGTTGTTCTTGACAAGCGAATAGCTGAAATTACTGGATCACCAATCAGCGCGTTGTCCTCTATGGGAGCAGACTGCCGGTATCCCCTCAACGTGAATGATACAGATCTTCACCCCCAATCTAAAGAGCCTCCATTACCATCCCCTGGGATGACCGAAATGACGTTTTCTCTCACGCGCATCGAAATAACCGTTGCCTCTGCACCTGATGGCATTCGACCAAATCCTAAAGTTTCCAACAATGCACACCCTAACAATGAATCGTGCACCGCAGACACTAGCAAACCCCAGAAACAAAACACGAATGTCTCCGATAACCTCGACCGCTACTGCAAACACATGGAATCGGCCTATCTAAAGCCCTGCGACGTCAAAATCCCCCTTCAACTCTTCACCCTCCTAATGACACGCGTATCCCTCTACAAGCTCCGAGTCCTCGACTTCGTATGCCAAGGTACTTCCTCCTCAGACCCAGATCACAAACGACAAGACGCCGCCTTTCTAGCTGCAATCCACATGCTTGAATCAGATAATACCATTCATACCACGGCAAGTCTCCGTGGACTAGTATGGTACAGTAACATGCATATACCCTTACCGGGATACATCTTCCTCGCCAACGAAATCCGTCACCGCACCACAGGTGAACTCTGTGAACGTGCGTGGGACGCTATCTGCCAAAGCCCATATCATAAAGGATTGAGTCGAAATCTTCGGAGTCCATTGCATGTTGCCCTTGGGCAGACTATTTTGAAGGCTTGGGATGCTCGTGAGAGGGCGGAATTGAAGGGTGGTAAGGTGCTGCAGCCTCCGGTTCTTGTTGTTTCACTTCGTGAAACTCTTCCTGGTCATCTCACTGGGCAGAGGGCTGGGCGAGATATGGCGGGAGCTACTATGGAGCCTGAGGATGGGTCTTCCTTTTTGCGTGGATCTGCGCCAAGTTCTCTGAATGAGGCCGGGAACGTGATGCCTGGCGAATATATGATGTTGGACTCTATGGCTGGGATAAGTGATTTGCCTGGCTCATCTTCTTTTGACTACAATCAGACCTTCTGGACGAATCTGATGCAGGCTGGTGCTTTTGGTGGTTTCTGGGAGGATTCTAATTATATCATGCAGCAAGAGTAACCCTTGAAGCTCTTTGAGCATGTTCTGAGAGCAAATTTGAAAATACAGCTGGGGTCACAAATGTGTATATGCCACTGATGAAGTTTTGGACAATACACGAAAAAAAGCCTCTAAGCGAGTATATCGTTTCATGCATTGTTCTCGTCCTACTTTGTGCCTCTCCTTTTTCACCCATTTTCGAATGCCTCGGGTTGATCATGTAGATTGTATAAAGGTGGAGGCGTCAAACGGCTTACGGCCTATTCCTGTATCGACAGTCACAAACGGTCAAATTTCTAACTTCATTAATTACATCAATGGTTATGGCGAAGTGGCTGTCCTTCCTGGGCCAGTTTCTGATACTTCACAGCCTTCTTCAGCACCATACCCTCACTCAACTGTGCCGTTTCCTGGCGGAACAGCTCCTGCCATGGAGTACCACTTGGGGCAACAGTATATCCGTCAACACCCAAGTCCTTCCTCCGCTGTGCAATCTCCTCATCACTAATGAGAAGATTAACCTGTCGCTTCCGCAAGTCAATACGAAGCCTGTCCCCATCTTTCAAGATGGCAAGGTTTCCTCCGGCCGCCGCCTCGGGGCTAGCATTCAAGATGGAAGGAGATCCAGAAGTTCCCGACTGCCGACCATCTCCAATACAGAATAATCCATCGATACCATCCTTGAGAAGTCGACCAGGCGGATGCATGTTGACAACCTCTGCCGCTCCGGGATACCCGATCGGACCGACACCACGCATAACAAGGATAGTCTTATCGTCAATTTGCGCGGAGCTTTCCAGGCGATGTTCATAATCCTCAGGACCGTCAAAGACCACAACAGATCCTTCAAACGCATCTGGGTCTTCGGGGTTCGAAAGATAGCGTTTCCGGAAAGAAGGCGAGATCACACATGTCTTCATGATAGCGGAGTCGAACAGATTTCCCTTCAAATGAGCGAAACCGGCATTCTTCATTAACGGGTCGTCGTATGGACGGATGACCTTCCGATCCCACGTGTGCTTGCCGCGGACATTCTCGGCGAGGGTTTGGCCATTGCAAGTTAGGACGTCGCCGTGTATCTTGCCCTGGTCCAACAGCTCAGCCATGATAGCGGGAAGACCGCCGGCACGGTAGTATTCCTCGCCGAGGTATTCTCCAGAAGGCTGCATGTTCAATAAGAGTGGAATGGTTGATCCTAGAGTATCCCAATCATCCATGGAAACTTCCACGCCCGCGTGCTGGGCAATGGCATTGATGTGAATAGGGGCGTTGGTGCTGCCGCCAATAGCGGCGTTTGCCACAATAGCATTCTCGAATGCCTCTCTTGTCATCAGATCGCATGGCTTTCGATCTGCTTCTACCATCTCCACGATCCGCAGACCGGTTTCATAGGCGCACTGAGCTCTGTGGCGGTATGCTGCGGGAATGGCGGCTGATCCAGGAAGTGCCATTCCTAATGACTCTGCGAGGGCATTCATTGTTGAGGCGGTTCCCATGGTGTTGCAATGGCCGACTGATGGTGTTCTGGGTTTCCGATTAGCTTATATTATTGTTAACTAGATGCTTCGTAAGGTCTTACCCTCTAGCAATATAATCCATGAATTCATGCTCGTCAATGTCACCCGTGGCATATAGCTCTCGTCCGTGCCACAGGACACTGCCCGCTCCGGTCAAGGCTCCCTTGGAATAACCGTTGAGCATAGGTCCCACATTCATACAAATAGCCGGAATATTCTGTGAGAAGTTAGCATTGAGGTACCAAATTTCTCTGAAAGCATGATGCTCACCATAGTAGCCGCGGCCATCAAACAAGCCGGTGTAGTCTTGTCACAGCCGGTGAGCAACACAACACCATCAAGGAAATATCCAGTCAAGATTTCCACCAAACCAAGATATGCAAGATTACGATCAAGAGTAGCAGTAGGCCGTCTGGAAGTCTCTTGAATAGGATGGGTAGGGAACTCAAACGGAATACCACCAGCAGTTCGGATACCCTCCCGAACCCGCTTCGAGAGCTCGATGTGGTGGCGATTGCAAGGTGCGATATCTGACCCCGTCTGGGCAATTCCAATCATGGGTTTTCCAGACATAAGCTCTTCTCTGGTAATGCCGTAATTGAAATACCGCTCCATATAGATGGCAGTCATACCAGGGTTGCTGGCACAATCGAACCACGATGAAGACCGGAGTGTCCGCCCCGGTTGCTTGACGGGGACTTGGGCATTGTCGCGGTCATTTGTGACACCCATGCGGGTTTCTAGTTCCTGATTGCGTCGTCGTAGAGCTTGTAGCTCGCTGAGACAGTCTTCTATGTTGATAGACTGGGGCTGAGGGGCGTCATTGCTGCATGAGCAGCCCTCGCAGGACTTTTTGGAGGAGCACACCATAATGTGGGATGTGAGACTATGTTCAAGGGTGACATTTTTAGTGGGGGATTGCAGATTATATATAGATGGCTGTTCATTCGTGTTTTCCCCGGAACTGCGGAGGTCGGATTGACACTTTCCGGAATGCGTGGGGTGGTGATGTAGTGGGATGTGTTTTGCCCCGGAGAAGAGCCGAGACTTGCCTCTCGGGAAGTGACCAGCCGGAGGTCGGATATTGGTATTTCCTAGTCAACATATCTACGAACCTCGACATTCTTATTTCTTCATCTATTCATCTCACAATGCAAGGAACAAACCGTGTCAAATCAGTCCTCGACAAGGGCGGACTCGCATTGGGCGTGTGGCAGATGCTGCCCGGCAGCAACATGTCGCGCACTCTAGCGAGAGCCGGATACGATTGGGTTCTGGTAGACTGTGAACATGGCAACATTGATGGTAAGCAATGCATATCTTCATATATTTAAGAGATACTCACCTTCTTCCAGATGCCGCAATGCACGAAGCTGTCCCCGCCATAACGTCATATGGAGTCAGTCCCATCGTCCGAGTTCCGGATTTCCAATCCTGGATGATCAAACGTATGTGATACGTCGTCAATCCAAGTCACAATATTCTAACTATTTGTATAGGAGCATTGGACGCAGGTGCCCATGGAGTCCTCGCTCCTCTGGTACGAACCGTTGAAGACGCTAAGAGCTTCGTCGAGGCATGCCGATTCCCACCACAGGGCAAGCGAGGCTTCGGCTCGCCATTCCCAATGGAACGCTTTGGGCCAAATGTGACTGCTACGCAGTATCTTACGGAGGCAAATGCCAACATATTGCTATCTGTGCAAATTGAGACGAAAGAAGCATTCGACGATGTCGATGCCATTGCCGCTGTTGATGGGCTCGACCTGTTGTTTGTGGGACCATTCGATCTCGGCAATGGCATCGGCCACCCCGTGCTCACTGGCACGTTCGCGCCTGAATTGGAGCAGGCTATTGAAAAGGTTCTGGCTTCAGCACACAAGGCTGGCAAGAAGGCTGGTATTTACTGTGGGAGTGGAACTCAAGCGAAGAAATATGCCGATCTTGGATATGACTTTGTCAATGTTGTGACTGATATTGGTGCTTTGACTAGCTCGCTGGCGAGTGAGATGCAGATTGTCACTCAGAAGGCGGGTAAGACTGCCTCTGGGCCTTACGGTAACTAGACGGTGTGCCCCCTTTGCAATGATAAAATGGAGGGTATTTGGAATATGCTTGTCTTTAATTTCATAACATGTATCATTATTCATGCACCTAGAGAATGCCAAAAGGAGAGTGATTCGACATCCACCTGGAAGCCTTGAGCAATCGCCTCAAGGTCGAGATCGGACAATTCCAAATTCAGTAAAGGAGACCCAAAGCCAACGGTCCGGTCTGGAAATCCTTGCTCGCCAGTGGGAATGTTTGAGTCGTCCATAACAACACTTTCACCTGGTAGACTGTGCACAGAAGTACTTGTGCGCTGGTTGTCATCCGGGGTGCTAATCCCCAGGTGAGTAATCAGCTTATCCAGATTCTCCTTGGCCTTCTCTGCTGCAGCATAGAGACGTGTATGCTCGACTAGGATATTGCGGCAGAGTGCCAGAGATTGAAAGACAGTAGAATTGCTTCCCTTCTGTGCAACTATTCGGGCGTGGATCGTTGCGCTGATGTAGGTGGCATAAGACAACATATATGGCGCACTGCTTAATGAGAAATGCTGGGAGTAGTCGTGCAAAATTTGAACAATCTGATTTGCAGCCGACGTGCAGGCGTTTACTGACTCGTGGGCGGTTGTTGAATTGATCACGCCGCCATGGCCTCCTGTGATTAATGGGCGATGCACAAGAATGACCAACACGTTAAATAGAGCCCTAAATCTCGTCAGTGGTTTTCGATTGACCTTGGCTGAGTGTAAGTGCATACAGGAGACATGCAGACTGAGGCAAAAGAACCGATTGGTCTGGAAAGGATAGGTAATCAAGCTGAGGCGTCAGGCTTTGTCGCCATCTTCTCAACTGGGACTTTATATCCTCTGAGACACTCTCTTTGTGGGCAGGACTCGACTCTCGGGATTCGGAGTATATTTCGCATAGGATACGTTCGACGATCGTTGTCAATTCGCAGAATTTGGTAAGCAAAGATACATTCAATGATGGAACCACCTTATATGGCTTGTTTGTCGTATATGAAATATCCTGGAAAGGCTCCAATTCGTCATAATCATCCAAGAAGTCCAAAGATGCCCTCATGTTGACATGATTGAGAAGGGGCGGTCTTCCTTGGAAAAGGCATTGGATCTTGTCAATTACTGTAGACTTATTAGACTCAATTGCGGTAATGCCAGCTGGTGATTCTGGACTCACAATATGCACCCCAAAGTACTCGCTTCCGGATTTCAAGCTCTTCAGCAGGAATACCATCGGGGGAAGGGAGCACATGCAATCCGAGATCAATAAACATATTAAACGCATTGCCGGCATAAAGCCACGATAAACTCCTCTCATCACATCGCGAGAAAAGCGCATTAGACATAATCAGCAATGCCTGAAGAGTGGTGATTTCACTTTTATCGAAGCAATCCCGGAGAAGCTGGGTAAACCGTTGACGGAATTTCCATCCTGCGGTAGTAATGTCATTTGGGTCCGAGCGAAGCTCGGGACTGTCACAATGTTTCGATACTACAAAGAATATCGCATTCAATAGCAACTTGGAGAAGTAGGGTCCTTCGCAGGCCATGTCTCGCATGAATGCTGGCCGGTAGATTATCTGCGCTGTGTAGAGTTGACGACTCCAGTATATGGAGAGGAGATGCATGCCGATTTCGGGATCGACCCCATCAAAGTCTAGTCTTCCTGCAGCTAGATTGAGAGGCTCGAGTTGTCCTGGGAATACTCCTTTAGTATCATACCTATAGATCTTCTATGGTGCACGACTTACTCTGCCTTGCGGTCTGAGAGAAAAGAAGATGCCGTATCATCTCTTCATTGGAATGATCATCCGAAGGTGGTCGATTCTGCTCAGTATAGTTTGGACTCGTATCATCATAAACTGTACTCGTTGGACCATGGTACAGCGATATATTCCTGCGGTCGTTTTCCGGAACCTCTGGATGCGATGCATCTCTAATTTCATTGGAAGAATCATTTCGCGAGAGACCGATGCCCCCTCCTATTCTTGAAATTGGCAATGGAGTTCGTGATGAGCTACCCAATGTAGATGGGCTACCCACCGTAATGGGACTTGCTTGCTTTGACTGCACTCTCCCAGACGGACCGGCACTTCTGTTCCGTAGCTGAGTGCATTGCCGTCGAAGTATGTCATTCTCCTGCTCTAGTTCTGCAATGCGGTGATTGGTTGGTCTGAATATAAATAATCAGTCCTTTATAATTCAATTCGGGGGATCTACTTCTTACCTTGGCTTTTGGTGCACAGCCCCTACCTGGCAATCGATTCCCTTGGCCACACAGTTGCCGCACTGAGGTCTTTGTGCATCACACTTCAACTACTAATTTTCAGCTCTGGATAACTATATAGGGACATAGTCTCGTACCTTTTTCTGGCGGCAGAACACGCACGCTGCCGCCGATCGGCTTCTTCGAGTCGACATTGGTAGTCGGAAAGTCTCATTCCGAGATTTGCCCCCAAGATCACTCAGGCCGGATATTGCGGCCTTGGATCTCAGGCCTTCAAACCACACTAACTTAGTTACAACATCATCAACAAGCTTTGTGGGGGTGGCTGAAGCACATCTAAAAGAGGATCTTGGATATTTGGACGAGGTATGGTCTCCGAGCCAGTCAGTCCTTTTTTTAGCCCTAATCCCGGCAACGCCCCGGGGTCTGCCTGACTGGTCAAAGTATTCCAACATATATCCTGAGAAGTATGAGAGCATGTCAGCATTATCTACGCCCAGGTCACTTGCTAACCTCATAGCCATGAATTTCCCCTGTCATGCTCATACAAAGCATCTATAAAATCCAATCAATGCAATCTGTCGTGTACAAGCCCTGGGAATCTACATGTAGGTAAAAGCTCAAGGGAATAAAGCCGAGAAAGCATCTGTAACCCCATAATTCGTAAATCCCTAGCCAAAAATGAGTCCCATAAGCGCCACGCTCACAATGCCCCAAGAAAAGAAACTCCAATGAATGCACCAGTCTCACGATCCCGGTCCAAATCCAGCAATTCAAAGCACGTCAAGATCAAAACCCGACCAGACCAGATAAATCGAGCCCTCAATGCCCACCATCGGAATCCGGAACCTTCCCCCAGAAGCAACAACAACCCGATCAACCTCTCCGCGACACTCAGGCATAGCACTCCTCATCTCACGAGCAAGCACATCCCGAAAACTAGCAAAAGCCTCACGCTTCCCGCGCAGATCCTGATTGCCGCGCTGGACGAGCTCGACAAATTCACGAGTGTAGATATCAGGGTTGCGCGCTGAGTCGACATAGTCGATTATTTCTGGTGGGAGTTGGATGCTGGACAAGGGTGGGTTTGAGGGGTCTGTCGTTTGGTCCGGTTGGATTTCGGTATTTGGGGGGAGTTGGGTGTGTGTCGAAAGGTTTGAGAGGGCTAGGGTAAGGTTTTTGCTGGGTTGGGTTGTTGGTTAGTTTTTTTAGTTAAGTTGGTTTGGGGTTGCGAGTCTGGGGACTGGGTTGGGTCGTGGGATGCGGGTGATTCTTTGGTTTTGGTTGCGATTGGGGGAATGGAGGTTGTGAAAACAGGTCAAGTGTAGCTAACGTACATCTTTCGCACGAGCTCTTGCTGTGTCTCTGGGCCTAGGTAGCCGTGGACGGCGGATTGAATCTCGAATAACTGTTGGATGACATCTTTTAGGTCGTCTGTATAGCGCGTTAGCTTTGGGACCCTGCTGCTGACCAGGATAGAACTCGCCATCGACCGTTTTCAAGGTCACAGGAGCCATGGCTTTACCTGTTGAAAGAAGAAAGGACAGGCGAGCTAGAAGTGAGGGAGGTTCTTAGTCTTGCGGGGAGAAAACAAGGCGGTGAGAGAGGTATCAAAGCACATGCGTCGATATCATGAGCGACATGTGTTGGAAAAACTAAGGAGAATTACAGAATAAAAGTCTGAGAACTGATGTCATGTCCAATATGTCACTGTCTATATATGCATAGCTCGAGGGAACCAGTCATTCCCGGAGATGCGCCCGAAGGGCGAACAACACGTACACACGCTGAAACCGCATCATGTGAAACAAAACGACTTCTATCTTGTACTCTACACTTCCCGAGTCCGCAAACTAGCGTATTTGGGGATTTCAATCTCCGTCTCCATCTCAAGTCCGGAGAGGCTCGGGAATCGCTTGCTGAAGTTGGCTTCCCAGTCTTCGCCAGGGCTTGCCGGGGTTGTTTGGAAGGACGGACTCTGGCCCTGGCCTTGGCTGGTGCCAGGTCGCGAGGTGTCTGCGCCAACGCGCAAATTCTTGGGCTTTGGCGGTGCGGTTGGTCTGGCTGCGGGACGTTGCGTAGATGGGTAGCTGGTGGTGGTGCCAGATCCTGCTGGGGCGCTGTTGTCGTCCCGGCGGTCCGGAGTAGCTATGGAGCCCTCGCGAGCGCTGTAACTAGGACCAGATGTTCTAGATGCGGGGATTTGACTGGGGATGGATTGGGTTTCACTCTGCTTTGCCTGCAAAGAAGAAGTCTCTGTGAACCGACCATATCCAGTCGCTGTCTTGGGGACGACCGGCTTGCTAGACTCTCCGAGCAATGACTGCACCTTGTTCTGAATGGTACGGGAGCGAGGGCCATCGCTGGCCGACCTTCCTCCATCGCCCTTTTCAGCAACCCGGCGGCGATACTCGGCTGCAGCACTGGCAACCCGTTTTTCTTCTTGTGAGAGTCGACGACGCTCCAGCTCTCGGCGCATCTCGGGTGAGATATCGTCGCGGTCTGCGTCTTCCAGAGCAATATCATTGTCTGGCGAAAAGCGCTCCTCGCCTGAATCAGACCCTCCGATCAAGCTTTGCTGAGGCATCCCCTCGGACGAGGGTGTTGAGGGCTTATCCTGGTTGCCCGCCTCGAATCGGCGGAAAGCATCGCCAAATCGTCCGGCAAACAAGTTCTTGCCTCCTGAGAGCGAAAGAGTAGAGAGACTGCCACGCTGTTTGTGCTTGTGGCTACCGCTAGAGCGTTTTTCACGCTTCCGGTTGCTTTCCTCTTCCTCCTTTGCTCGTAGATAGTCAACATCCGAAGAAATATTAGCCCGGTCAGCATCCCGATCAATGTCGGTACGGACAGACCGTAGGGGCGCACCACCTTCGTACTGCGCACGAGACATATCCAAAGAGGAGCGGGGGCTTTCCGAATTCCGCGGCAAGTCATATCTCGCCGGTGATTGTACTGACATGGGACGAGCCTTTGCCACGGCAGACTTGGAGCGTCCCACGGGGTCGCTCATCTCCAACCCAGATGGGCGTCGCAAAGTCTCCATGGATGGACGCGCAGAGTTAGAGAGAGTAGAGATACGATCAGATGATAGGCGGGGGCTCGCTTCCGGCTTCAGGCTTGACATCGGAGGCGACGGCGCCTTGTCTTCTACCTTCCAGGGTTGACTGGAAGGCCGCTCATTATCGGACGAGGGGAATCGATAAATCGGGCGACTAGATATCTTCGGCTCTGGCAGACGAGGTGTTTGAGCGGGCGAAGTCATGGTACCGGTCGACACCATCGTTGGCCGCTGGGGAGTGGGCTGATACAAGTGGGCTGGCTGCCGTGTAGGTACTTCGCGAGCATTGGGAGATCGTACGGGTGACGCTTGAGATGGTCGCTTGAAAGCTGGCTTTTGCTCGCGCTCAGGTGACTGGTGGCGGGCAAAGACGTCATCAGCCAAGGCGTTGGTGAGTCGCTGAGATAGATCTTCGTCCTCGGACTTTGATTCTGTCACAGTTGGTTCGAACTCAAACTTGTCACCCTTCTCGTGCAAGATGTCAAACTGGTCCAATGATGGGAATCGTTTTGACATCTCCTCTACCGTCTTCTTTCGGGAAGCGCCTCCATCTAAAGCGGCGAACGGATCAGTCGACGAGCCACCGGCCGGGTTCCGGTACGGCGATGGACTGGGTCGCGCGGAGCTATTGTGGGACGACTGGGGTTTCCCTGGTCTACCACGTCGCATAGGCGCAATCTCGGGGATGATCTCGGTCTCCTGCACCGGCGGGGAGAACACTGCGCCAGCTGCGGGGGCCTCTACAGGCGTAGGAGGAAGCTCCTGGTACTTGCGCGCTTCTGAGACAGAGCGATTGGAATATATCTACACGGCGTCAACATCAAATCTCCAAAAAAAAAAAAAAGAAAAGAAAAGAAAAGAAAAAAGAAAGGGTGATGACGAACGTCTTTGATCGGAACTTCCTTTCCTTGCATCTTGCATACCTCGCGCATCACCTCGTATATATTGGGACGGTTGCGCGGGTCTTCCTTCAGCATTGAACCTGAGCGAGTGTGTCAGTAGCAGGTCCTCGACCTCGAAGATATTCCCTAGACTCACCAATCAATAGCTTTAACCGAGGCGAGAACGATGGGTAGGAGGGGTATTTGAAGGTTGCGTTGAGAATGGCCATCTGACCAACCTCTTCAAACGGAGTCGTATAGTAGCATAGTTTGTACAAGAACACACCGAGTGCCCAAATATCACTCTTTTCGTCAATTGGTTGCTTCCGGTAGACGTCAATCATCTCCGGACTGCGGTACTGCAACGTCGTATGTCGCTGGACATCATCTTCAATCAGGCGACCTTCAGCGGCCGAAGTCGCAGCAGGACGAGGGGGTGCGGAGGACCCAAAATCACACAGCTTGTAAGTGGCGGAGCTCCCCTTGCCCGAGATCAACACATTCTCAACTTTCAAATCACGATGGAGAAGAGGGGGCTTGAGATAGTGCATACAAGCAACGCCTTCAGCCACATCCGAGAAAATCTTAACAATTTCTGGCTCTGTCAAGCGGTGTTGAAGCCGGGTGTTCATGAAGTCAATCAGACCCCCGCCCGCGCAGTACTCCATAACCAAGAACACTTCATATCCGCCGCCGCGCAACTGCGAAGCATGCGAATCAATATACTTCACAATATGCCGGTGGCCCTTAAGTTTCTTCATCGTTTCGACCTCGGTGCGCATGTTGGCGAGGGCCGCTTTGTCGGGCACGGCAACCCGCTTGAGCACTGCGGTCTCGGAGCCATTGACAGGTTGGGGCAGTCGCACCACGTAGACATGAGCAAAGCCACCTTCAGAGAGGTACTTTTCCACTACCACGCGATGGCTGCCGACCTGCACCTTAGTGCCCGGAAGCAAGGTCCCCGCAGGTGCAGTCGCTGCGGCGACGGGGTTATAGGCGGGGAATTGACGTGACGTCGCGGAATGACCATGGTAGGCTTGGGAGGACATGGTGGCACGGATGCCCTTAAAGGGCAGGTCAGGAATCGGTTCTCGACGACTAGCGATGCGGCATAGAGAGAGAGAGGGAGAAGGAGAATTGGAGGGGGGAAGGCGAATGTTGGAGATGGGTGCGAGAGGAGCTAAGGGGACAAGTTGGCGGGGAGGCGGAGACACGGGGGTAGTACCTGACTACCAAACAGCCGCAAAGGACAGAAATGAAGCTGAGTTGAGATAGGAAGAGGACGATCGATGCCAGAGAGCAATGGAATCTCAACACCGCCCAATCATCGGCTACGGATCACGTTCTGCCGAGTCCCTCTCTCTCTCTTTCTCTACACGAACAGACTAACTCGGGCTTCGAATGGCCCCAGTGGGCCACTCCATTCATTCCACTTGATGACTCCAGTGGCTCCAATGACCCCTACGTACGGCCCTGACCTGGTCATGGCCTCGCATCTCATGCCCTAGGTCATGGGACCTGGTTCCGGGTGGCCTACCGGAGAGCCAACTATATATCCAACAGGCTCCAGATTACCTCAACCCTTGCAAAAGCCAAAGCGAACCGCCGTAACCTTTCAGGGCTAGCGACCCACTACGTTCGAACCATCCCCAACCGCTTGACCGCAATATCAACTCGGAGGTTGTGATATTCCGCGTCCCCACGAGCCAAAATTGAGGTGGTATTGGCTCAGGTAGCCTCTAGGGTCCGACTCAAATAGGGGAAATACCAGAATACCGTGACACTGTTATACATGTAGAGAGTATAAACGCCCATGATATCACCGTGTCTCACCTGCCCTGGGCTCAGGTGTCGAGGTGTCAACATGGGATGATATAAGCAATTCCCAAAAGGGAAAAACCAAAACAAGAAAACACTTCGGACTTCAACTTGATATTCATGACGATGAGCTTCATCTATTATAAAATAAAAGATACCAGATGATGTCCCATGCTAATACCTTGCTATCACTCAATTATCTCTAGAAGATCTTCACGGAGGGGTACTACTGCATCAACAGTCTCATCCCTTGACGTTCCAGGGCCACTCATACTTGGGCGTTGAGCCGCGTGGCATTCAAAAGTATTCAATGTAATGTTAGATGTCGCATCCCAAAATCCATAGTACCGATTGAGTAAATGTCTTAGCAGGCAGCCGTGGCCAAGATGTGATGGCCACGTCGAATGTGCAGGAGTTGGCGCCGATCCTTAGCGGCTCCCACGTCTCCCAAACAAACCCCCCCCGTGGCAACACACACTTCCCATCTTTCGCTTCGATTTCGCGCTTTGGGGTCTGGGAATCTGTGCATAGTCATACTGATTCTGATTTTGTCTGAGATTAGCACAGATAGCCCTCCAAGCACTGAGGCCTTGGGCACTCAGTGCAACTCTCATCCGATTGAACATGATCTGGCAATTGACATTCAACCGCGAGATCCCATCTAACTAGGTTTGAACACCAATCCAGGTCCCAAATCGGTCATTTTTCTATCGGCTGAGGCTGTGCTGCACCGCAGTCGCCTTATTATATATCGTGTTTCCCTCGTTGATCCGACATGGACGAGGGCCCGCCGCCTCCGCCGCCGCCACATGGCGAGAATCCTCATACGACGGAGGGCGAATATCGCAAATCCTCCGATCTGCCCCAGGGCAATTACGACATCTTTATTGTTCCACCTCACTCCGCTGGCTCGGGTTTCCTCTACCTTCCGTCTCTACAATGCAACCGAAACAGTTTCCTGGCCGGTGTCGCGAGTACGCTGCTGGCCGTGATGGCCTGGGTGCTTGTCTCTCCGATCTTGAAAGCATGGTATATAGCCTCCGTTGGCAGTGGAAGTGGAATGGGCATGGCAGTGGTCGCGCTCGGGTTAGGCGTCGCTGGGTGGGCATTTGGGTCTGCCCAGTCTGGTAGCGCTGGCGACAAAGGCAACGGCGGTGCTCGAGGAGGACGGTTCGGCTTTAATGGTCCTGGAGGCCCGGGGGCCCCTGGCAATGGTGGACCAAACAGCAACCAGAACTCCTCCGGTGCCGGCTATGGCCAGGGTAAAGGCTACGGCGGCAATGGGGATCAGCGACAACAGCATGGAGGAAACTTTGGCGGACAACAGCGCGGCAACCAGTATGCTGGAAACCAGCATAGTGGTGGTCCTCCTCCAAACGCTGAAAATGAGAAGCGTGAAAAGGAAGAGGCCGAAAGACGCGCTAAAGAAGAACGAGCCAAAGAACAGCAGGCTAAGGAAGAGCGTGCTCGGGAGGAGCGGGCCAGAGAGGAGCGTGCTAGGGAGGAACGTGCTAAGGCAGAGCGTGCTGCTAAAGAAGCCCGTGCCAAAGAAGAAGCTAAGCGCAAAGAGGAATTGCGCCGCAAGATGGATGAGTTCAAGCGCAAACGCGACGCAGAGGCCAAGGAGAAGGAGAAGAAGCGCGAGCGCGAAGCCATGGAGAAAGAACTCAAGGAGCGCCGCGAGCAGCTTGAGAAAGAAATGGCAGCAGCTAAGGCAGCCGCCGAAAAAGAAGCTCGCGATCGAATGGAGAAAGAAGCCGCTGAAGCTCGTGAGAGGCACGCAAAGGCCGAAGCCGAGGCGAAAGCCAAAGCCGAAAAGCTGGAAGCAGAAGCCAAGGAGCGGGCTGCCAAAGCAGCTGCTGAGAAAGAAGCCGCTGCAAAAGAAGCTGCCCACAAGGAAGCCATGGCTAGGTTTGCGGCTCTCAAAGAGGCAGCAAGCAAGAAGTATGCCGAAAAGAAGGCCCAAGACGCAAAAAAAGAGGCCGCTGCGAAACCACCGCCTAAACCAGCCAGTGCTGGCAATCCTCCTCGTACACCTTCTCCCAAGAAACCACCTCATCCAACGGCCAACACGGCTGCCGAAGACGATGCCTATTCCTTTCGGCCCTACGACAGACCACGGCGCCCATACGCAGCTGCAACCTCCGTCTACTCGGAGTCCTCTTACGCGCCTTCTCACTCAACTGCGCGCACAACTCCTCCGCCTTCACATCGCAGCTCATACTCAACCAAGGATCCAGACAAGATCGTGATCCAAGGTGTGTACGCCTTCAACAACGCCTTCATGAAAACACCCATAGCACAGCTCGTTTCCGGCCAGGGCATGATAACCGACGGCCTCGTGCTTCGAATCACAACCGAAGGCCTCTTCATCGACGATGACCTGCGCGGCATCGGCCAGCGCGAATGGGACGTCAAAGCATGGACCCTCAAGCTGGCCGAGGTATGGTGTCCACAAGTGAACGCAGCAACCTCCGCCAAATTACCCTCCAGCAACCCCTTCTCCTTCCGGCGCGGGAACAACGTCCCCACAAACGAAGAGTCGGAGGTCTTTCTCGCCAATTTTCTCAAGGTCTGCAAGAATACTTGCCGCCTGGCTTCGCCGAGTGCATGCTTTTCTCCCAGCGCTGCAGGTAGTGCTGTCAATGGTGGCAAGTCTGACTTTCGTGGTCTGCATGTTCTACGCGCTAGTCTGCGCGACCAGGAAGGGAAGAGGTATGTCTTCGTGTTGCAGGACACCGAGGCGTGGAAGGTCGCTATTGGACTCCAGCGGCTGCGGGCTGGTGCTCTAGTCCGCGCACTGGGTGTATCAGCCATGCCAGTTCCAGAATGCAAGACCATGCTCAGTGGTCTGGGCTATGTTTGATTGAATCCAGCGTCGTTGCTGCTTGCTGGATCTCATCCCATCCCATTCTTATTTCTTGCTTCTTTCGTCTTCATCTTCATCTTCATCTTCGTATGCCCTATGCCCTTTTTGTGTTCGACTGTTCGACTTGATCGTCATCCCTCATAAGCGGCGGAGTTTGCTTCATGCTGTTCTGTCCCCTATATCCATTCGCTTTCTTGTTGCCTTACCATTCCCAAATTTTTGAGATTCCCCCCTTATCATGATCATGTTTTGAATTTCGTTGTTTATTAATTAGTACAGTTGTTTAGCAAGAGGAGAGCAGAGGAGAGTACATACCGCACAACCATAGCCGCAATTATTTAGTTATATTATACTGATTTTACGAATGCATAGCATGATTATAGCTATACAGAGAGAAACTACACCTAGCCTAAAGAAGAATGGGGAGAGAGAAAAGACATGCTTCAGGAAGTCTAATGGATTTCGTCTCACGTAGATGTACGCACGCTATATGCCGCTCCTCGACTGGAAACCAGATCGAGAAGCATGGAGTATTTCGACTGCAAAGACGTGTAACTGATTGTCCCAAACAAGAAGAAGCCCAGGGGGAAAAAAGCTGAACCAATGAGCTTGTATAAACGCCGGAAATGGTCTGTCGGATATATCTTGTATATCTTGCGTGCGCTCTCCGAATCTCCTTCATGATGCACCATTCTCGTAGATTCATACAGATTCCAACAAACATATACACAGTTCTCGAAAGGAGACACAACGGGGCAAAAGAGATAAGAGAAAAAAAGGGATGCAATAAGAAGAGAAGATGGAAAGGGGAAAAAAATCAAATCTATCATATCGGGAATCATATGGGCGTTTCCTTAGAAACAGAAACATGAACATGGCGAGAACATCGTGTGGTGTGAACAAAGGGCCGAAAACAGAAAATGACGCCCTGGCTTCCGCCAAATCAATGTATAGGATATCGAGGTGTAACTCCAACTCCGGTCGAAGACATGCGAATTCCTTTGTTCTCCCGCTTCATCCATTCCATACGAATTATAGCTGAAGCGAGAGAATTGGTGGGTGGTTGGGAAAGGGGGCTATGGACTGCCCGGGGCCGTCTTCGTCTAGAAGGGGAAGCCGCCGCCGCGAGCCTGGCCGCCGAAGGGGTGGCCGCCTGCAGAGGCGAAGCCTCCGCCGCCGCCGCCGTTCATCATGTTGAACAGGATGTTGGGGTCGATGTTGATGTGACTGGCTCCGCCGCCCATACCACCCATGCCGCCCATTCCTCCCATACCACCCATGCCGCCCATGCCTCCCATACCGCCGAAGCCGCCGCCGCCGAACATGTCGGCTGGGTCCATCAGGTCGTCTCCGTTATCATAAGCAGCACGTTTCCTAGGAGATGGGTTAGTTCTGTAGTTGATTTGTGATGAAGGGGAGATCGTAAACTTACTGAGAATCAATGAGGGTTTCGTAGGCCTCTCCGATCTCCTTGAACTTCTCATCACCGGCCTCACCGTCACGGTTCTTATCCGGGTGGTATTGGATGGCCATCTTACGGTAGGCCTTCTTGATCTCGGTCTCGCTGGCATCCTTGCCGACCCCTAGAATCTTGTAGTAATCCTTGCGCTGGGACTTCTTAAGCTCGAACTCGGCGCGACGGATCTCCTCTGCAATGCCCTTCTCGCTGGGGTTGTTCTCGGCAACGCTCTTATAGTCGCGGACGGCATCCTCCCAGTTGTCGGCACCGGCATTGGCCTTGGCACGGACCTTCATAGCCTTGACATAGCCGGGGTCGAGGCGCAGGGCCTCAGTGCAGTCCTGAATAGCAGAATCATACTCCTTGAGGTTGATGTAGGCCTGTGCACGGTTCCCCAGGATCTTGGCGTTCATATCCTTGTTGGTGGGGTCGACCTCGAGAGCTTGGCCCCAGAGATCGATGGCCCGGTGGTAGTCTTTCGCCTTGAAAGCGGTATTTCCTTCCTCCTTAGTGCGGGCCAGCTTCTGCACAATACGCAGCAACTTGATCGCCTGCTTCATGTCCGGGTCCAGCCCGAGGCACATCTTCAGGAGCTTCAGCGCCTGCTCGGACTCACCGGAGGCGTAGAAAGCGCGGGCACGGATCATCATGGCATCCGGGTCCTGGCTGTTCTCGCGCAGCATGCCGATCGCGATGTCCTGTGCCTTGCCGAGCGAGTTGCTGTTGTTCAGCCTCAGCTGGGCCTCGGCTGCCAGGAGCGTCCACTTGCGGGGCTCCTTCACCCCTTGTCCGAGTCCTTGCCGTGCCTGGTCCAGACAGAAGATCACCATTGACACCCCGCGGTCCTCTGCTAATGTCTCCTCGGCTTGTGTGACGAATCGAAGCATTTTCTCTGCGGGGGCTTTGTCGGTCGCGGAGACCGCCGGCTGGATCTGTGACAGCACGTTCAGAGCCTCTGATGGGCGACCCAGGCTGGTCAAGATCTTCGCCCAGCGGTGCATAATCTTGGGATTGTTGGGGTCGAGGTCGTTGGAGCGCTCAATATCCTCGAGTGCGTTCAGGTACTGCTTAGCAGACATGTAGGCCGCCGCGCGGTTGGACAGGTAGGCCGATGAGTTGGGGTTAATCTCAATAGCTGTAGACAAATATTCATCAGCGACCCCGGTCGTCTAGAGTGGATCAAGTCCGAGTTAGAGAAAATGCATACCCTTGTTGTATTCCTGGATCGCTCTGTAGTAGTTGCCATCCTTGAAGAACTTGTTTCCCGCCAGCTTGAACGAGTCAGCCTCATCGGCAGACGATGAGTTCGGCTGGTGCGGTGGGGGAGTCGGACTCCGTTCCTCGTTTGTGCCGTTCTTGAGAGTCTCCTGAGGATCGATGTCCATGGAGCTCCGCTCCTCTCTAGATGCTGCCATGGCCGACAATCGACGACGTAGCTCGTCAGGCGGAAGATTCAGCGGGTGTACGTCCTGGTCACGCGAAGACCGAGCGAACTTGAAAGTAGAATTTGGTCCCGAATTCGAGGACGAGCGACTATGAGAGAAGTATGTTTTGGGTTTGGCGGGGGCTTTGGTGGGCGAGGGAGAGGATTTGGAGGGCGATTTAGAGGGCGACTTGGAAGGCGACTTGGAGGATTTGCGCGAAGCGGAGAAGGAAGTTCTCGGTGATGGGGAATCAGAATCTTTCTCCTTGTCCTTGTCTTTCTTGAAGATATGGGCGAGTTGGACCATTGGGTGGGGGAAAAGAGGCGTTCGGGGGAATTTTTTTTCTATCGAAGGCGGTAGAACCGGGGAGACTTCCAAAGATCTCAAGCACTTCTGAGGTCGACACAATGATATATGTTATGTTCAAACCATGTCAGTCTGCTCTTGTCATGTTAATAAATATGACTGCAAACGCAAACTGTCAACTGCAAACTGCAAACTGCAAACTGTGAATTGTGGACTGTCACCAACGGCGAGCTGAAGTATGGGGGTATGGGTGAAGACAAGAGAAGAAATCGTCTGACCTTTCCCTTATAATATATTTTATATTTTATTTAATGAGAACGTCCTAGGCAAATAATTCAGAGGCTGGAGAGCTACTGGTCTGTGTTAGCGCGCAAAAGAACTGGAGCAATGGAGTCACTACATGCATTTCTCGACGGAAATGATCCCCCCAGCCGCTGGAAAAATCAGGTCAGGTCGATTCGAGAATCTTCTTCTTACGGCACGCATGAAGACTTGATCACCCCCTCAACGGAGTGGGCAGGGATGGCGAGGCTGTCTATAACTCGCAGTGGAGCGGTGGATCCGACATGCAGTTTGCTACGCTGACGGTGACAGGCATACATCCAGCGCTGTGACTGGCGTCTTGGAGAGGGGAACCCCTGCATCGGGCTTTCTTGAGACGGATATACTAACTATGGATACTAAAACATGTCTCGACCAATCCAGGTAGACTGTCGTGTCTTTTTCCCGGGGTAATATCTCGCGTGAGTCTTGGCTCTGAGATATATACAGAAGTGAAGGCCTTGATCCTCCTTAATTTTGCATCTTTTGATGTGTCTTATCTGGCACCCTTTGAAAAACGGGTTGATATGATGTGCTTGATATCGTTCTTGTCTTCCAGCTGGAACCCTCGGTGAACACCTTACCACATGGGCCACTATAAAACTATAAAACCATTGGTCAGTGCTCAAGTCCCTTCTTATGCTTCTTGTGTATCATATTTGATCAGGATGTCAATGGTAGGACTCACATAGGGGTTAAGAAGTAAGATGAAAAGACTCGAACTGGCGGTGAGACCAATATTGAACACGTCGATTCAGACTTGATAAAGCCCCCTGAGCGATGAATTTCATCTGTAGGATATCAAATAAAATTGGCTTTGCATCCAATAAAATTCAGCCACAACCATAACTGAAATAACTTAAAGTTATCAGTTATGTTGACATGTAGTTCGGCCCATGCTTTTTATAGATGTTACCATCGCGACCGACCTTAAGAGACTAGCGCAACTCATCTGCAATCAGACCAGCTCGATAGCCCCCCATCAGGCCGGTAAGTTCTGCCTCCTTTCCGCGATATCAATCCACCTAGAAATCCGCGCATCTCTTAGCCGCGCTGCATGCATTGAGCCATATCTGTGGCTGCCATAAGGTGGTGGCTGGTCCACTTGATAATCTGCACTCACGCGACCAGGGCTAGGGCTGAATGATGAGTCGATTTGAAATGGCGACATGGATGAAATCGGCGAAATTGGTGAGGATGTCGAAGACAATGATCTGTTTCGGGTCTGAGGATCCGGTATACGCGGCCTGTCTGTATGCCCAACTATCCAATATCCTTCGTCTTCGTGCCAGAAAAGGGGTAGACAGGTCTGTGGCCGTCTAGGGAGCGAACTGGATCGGAAGTTGGATGAGGCAAGTGAAGGCAGCTCGCGTTCTTGTTGGGGGTGATAGTCTGGAAATATCTCGTCGGAAGGATTTGGACTTCTCCTCCCTCTGTGGGCTGGGCTTCGTCTGAGATTGGGGTCGAGTGAGGGCCCAGAGGGCCAGTCGTTTCGTCTTTGATACTGCCGTTGTGATGCGGTGTTTGTTGAAGTCGGTGCTGGTGGTAAAGGTTTCCAAACCAGGATGTTGGTAATGCTGGTATCCGGAGGGGGCGAGTGTATATGAATACGAGGATTTGTGGGATCTGGTGGGACACAGAGTCGAGGATTGTCAACTGGAGGCCCCTCGAGGGATGAGAGATCCATGAGCGGAATGTCGAACTTGGGTGACCTTGAGGAAGTTGTGTGAAGTTTTCGTAAACATGGACAAAAGTGCATTGTGCAGACAATATACGGTCAGGGTCCAGTATACACTATCTTTAAACACAGTGGCGTGCTCTTTGATAAGTGGCAATGGTGGGATCGTCGTGAAGGCTCGTATTCAAAACCAAAATAAACATTGGACACGAGAATTAGTCCTAGGACAGGTTGAGGAAAGGCCTGAGATTATGTCCGACCTCACTCGAGACAAAGGATCATGGCATATGCCTTGCAAGGCATGGAGCAGCTTATTATAGAACCAACTCCATAATCTGAGCACATAGGGCGTCCTTAGGGCTAACAACACATAGGGGGATCTCAACGACGCTTATTCTATTCTATTTTTCTCGCCTGCTCAGCATCCATCGTGACCGCTCATCACTTACCCCTGTAAGCACCAATTCCTTGTCCAAGAAACGGTCGCAGGATTTCGCCAGGAGCGGAAAGTGGGCGAATATTTTGCTATGATCCTGAAACTGATTAGCCTCTCGGTCTGAATTGGGGTCCAAATTCGATACTAGAAGGATCTCCCTCGCTCTCACCGCAAGGGCTTAATAGTGTCATATAGAGACGGTCTTATCCGAGCCTCCCGCTTCGCCTTGAAATTACACGGAACAGGAATGAGGCCCCAAAAGCCAAGAACGAATGTAAATTGTAATAGAAGGGGCCGTGGTTCCTTAGACCCCACAGCTGCGGATACGCCTCTCGGGATTGACATCGAGTCTGTGGCGGTGAATGTTAGTCACTGAAAAGTGTGCCTAAGAGATGGCTCTATATATTTGTTGTCAGTATACGGTGATGTATATTGGTATAAAAGGTTCAAGGGCGTGTACTCAACCAGTTTAGAACCGTAAGTGCCCTGCAGACACGGTTCCCGCCATTGTGGTCACTGGTGGGGCTCTTTATTTTTGTCTACCAATCATTTACCGTAGTTCGTGTAAATGACATAGGGAGGGTCACGATTTTACGGCAGAAAGAGGGAGGATGGTGCGAGATATGTACGTAAACATCTAGAAAGGTGGAGCTATATTACTCTCAGAATGATAACTAAAGATCGATCTGTTTGTTTTGCTGCTGCTAATTTGGTGCCTTTAACACCATGACTTAGCACCGCCCCCATCCCTTCGGAATAGTCCCTCTTATCCAGCAATCCTCCATATTTCCCCCTATTCCAGCCCCGCAGAAAAGTCCATCGAAAAAGGCCAAGTCAATACCCTGTAGGTCATCTTCATCGCGTAGAATTTCCATAGAATCAGACAACTCTGCGTCGGTCCTGTTCATTTGAATGGATCCATCTGATGAAGAGGGCTGGTAGTGATTCAACGGCAAGATCCTCGAATCCGGATGGCCCATCATTGACATGACGTCGTATCCAGATGGGTGTCGGTTATGTTCGATAGGCTGGACCGGGCTCAGCATATTGGAGACAGACATGGTCGACATGTCGGGATCAGGCTGAGCTTCTGTTTTTGGCACACACTTTGAGACAATACCACGTTCAAAATTGATGGCGCCAAAATAGGGGATGTGGACTTGTAGTGTCTTGCCATCGTTGGTCAACCTGCCGTCACACTCAAGCCCTCCGTCATCGCTCTTAGACGAGCTTGTGTTGTACATGTCACCCCTCGCGGCATTTGCCTCAATGGTGAGAAGATGATGAATTATTCGGGTGAGTTTACAGGAAATCAAATCATGTTCATCGCGGGCCTTGGATTCAAGAATCCCTAGGGCACACTCCATGGAGCCACGGTCACTCGGGCGGCTGTGGACAAGGGACTCAAAACCAGTGTATGCATCCGAGTTCTCAGATCCTCGGAACTCGCTGCGGGAGTTGATGTGAGAAATACAAAGTATGTTGATGGCAATAAAAGCAAGAAAATCACTGCCGCGGCAGTAGAAGTATGCAGGATTTGAAGTGCGGAATGCATTATAGCGAGACAGTATTTCGCGGCTGGCATTGATGGCGGTAATTTTGCTATGATTGTTCTTTTGTCCAGACGAGGAAAAGATGTAGGGTAGATGCAGCCGTATAAGCATGTGATAGTGCGTTAATTGATCCATGATACGAACTGTATCTCGAAGGACTTTGGTACTGTCACTTTTGCAGGGCATAAAATTCGGTATCAGCCACCATTGAGGTGCCATATCATCTGCAGCTTTGCGTAATAGCATGTCGTCCTCCTGCACATTGACAAGGCTGTACACCCCGCCATTGTTCCGCTCAATAATACGACCGGCGACAGCGCAGTGGATGCGTTGCATGCGGTCATTTGGGCTGTACTCTTCTAACGCGTCAGGAGTAGAAAAGCGGTCGTCGAGTGACGTGTGCGGCAAGCCTAGCATGATTGACAGGGAGCGGTCCCTTTGAATCAATAGAAAATAAGTTTGAGCGGGGTTGAATGCCACTCTAGTCTCGGGCTCAAGGAATTTCAGGGATGGTGAGGCAAGTCCACGGTGCAGAGCCATCATCTGCGCAATGGCAGTCGCCCGATGTATTGCCATCCATGCACGATGAAGGTTTCCAGCGTAATTCTGGTACACAGCCTCAAGGACGATGCATTCCATACCCTCGACAGAGCGGATGAGGTCTTCATTAGTAGTGACGAGGCTGATGGCTCTGTCAGTTACACGAGACATGATTGAGCGGACAGAGACGCCGACCCTACCAAACTCTCGGAGGCAAGAAGGCGGAATTCCTTGTAGAAATATTCCGAGGACCAGAAGCTTACGCGCAATCAGCACCGGGTGCATACCCGACTTAGGGGGTTTAGTATCTCCCTTGTGGATGATAGAGCCTCGTCCGCGAAGGTGGAGGCAGACTTACATAGTCCCCAGAATAATGGGAGTGAAATGCCTGTTGGGAGGCTACAAACCTTCTCAATATCACTTTCACTGGGCCATGCTGCGATAAGGTCGCGAGCTAGTTCTTGATGTTTGTTTGGAGGTAGCTTGTGCGAGACTGATGGTGACTTCGATGGGATCCCCGGGATGAGATGTCTCTCATAATTTAAATCTTGCTTTTCGGATGTCAAAGGCTAGGTCACTTAATTACGGTGAATGGGCAAATTTACCAAGGTGTGGGTTGTAGATGATACTACCTCTGGTTGGCACTTTTCCCCATCCTCTAGTGTCACCGAGGTTGACTGAGCAGGCGACTGTAGACTTAGGCCGGATTCAGTCTGATCCAGCAACTGCTCGAGCAGGCCTTCCACCCGGCGAAGCCGACCCTCTAACCCATTGCTGCTCGCAGAGGAGACTGTCTTATCAGGATACTCCTGAGTGATGCAAGTACTCCCGCGTCTCCGACAATCATTGCATGCATATGCCGAAGAGCCGAAGACGCACCGAACCTTTCGTCGCTTGCATTCCCAACAGCTTTGGGTCCCCTTCCGTATCTTTCTTCGCTCGGCTCCGGGGCTGTTCTTTTGGCGGATCACTTCATCCATGACTTATAACACACCAAGCTTCACCAATATGATGAATATATTGACTTGAACCTCTAGCTCCGATATTAAAGATCACTTCAGGGCAGAGGCGATGAATGAACATCTATCAATTTCCCGAGCTCAGCTGAACTCTATACGCTCAGCGGACGGTCACATGACTATAATCACAGCTCGCGTTTCATCCCTCCTCTTATTGGTTAATTAAATTACTAGCCGTAAGATTGTTTTCCTAGTATTTCATAGTCGCTACCTACACAATTGATAGAGCCCAAGTCCGAGAGGAAGGAACCGGTTTTTGGAATACCATTGTATGAAGCGTGAGAATACTTTTATTCATTCTGGCAAGCTCTCAGTCAAGCCTTTATAGAGATCGCAGAAGATGCTAAAACTTATCACCTTGAATGATGATTCACTAAACTTTTACGGAGAATGTATTCTAAGTCAATAGCAAAAAGGTCAAGATTGCGACTGCTGGTGGTCCTGGCAGTGGATGCTTTGAGCTTACCAACGTGTTCTGCGCAGTCCACGAGAGTTTCTAATTCTTTCAGTAAATGTCGCTCAGGAGATCACTGATGTTCTCCCCGAGACTAAGAAGCATTAGATCATTATTTTGTCGAGAAAGGTTTGCAATCCCAGACATAACATGGGTTAAAACAGACTACAAAGACCCCGAATAGTGGGGGCAAATACTGCAGGTAGTCAACACTTTACTCTCTGTTGTTCCTGGACAGTAGCATCCAAACAGTCTAGCCCAGAATAGACTTTCGACGCCGTAGTTCAAGCTGGTGTTAGCGTTTTGCGCCCAATGAGTGGGCAACCCAAGCTTGAAGCTTGTCTCTTCTCTTATGTTTCTTCTTACTCATTGACAAATTGTAGATCTGGCTTGGAACAACTGAGCTGCTACGGCTACGAAGATAAAGCCCGCCAATATCTGGAAGAGCTAAACACAGACAAAATGGTGGGACGTGGAAAGCCTTTATGAAATATTTCCAGTATCTAACAAATATATTATCTGCAGATTCTACAATACGCACTGTTCCAACGAGGTCTCTCTGTAGACCACTTGACCCGTCCTTACAAGTCGACCAAGCACATTGATCAAATGGAAATCCCCTTCGATTTTGCAAACCGTCATCACCGTGGATGGCAGCAATGATGATCAAATCGCGCTCACTACAGCGAAAGACCACACTGATGTCGTAGCTAGAGATATTGACTTCGAGGGGAAGTGGCCGGTTGTTGGGGGTATCACAGGCACGATATCTCCATCGGGCAGCTTTTAGCCCCCGGCGAGAAAGTCCGCGGTGAGCGACTTCAGCTGATATACTGTTATGTTTATTGCTTTTATTGATATTCTATTCACCAGGGGGCAAGCCTTTTCATGTCAATAAAAGTGAAAGCAGAAGAACTCGAGAAGAGGACATGGCAAACCTCTTGGGTCCCGAAATGTTGACCACCCTCAATCCCACCGGACCAGGTTGATATATTTTCGAGAATTGGCGTTGCCGGAATTATTCTGGCTTTTTCCGCAAATGCGTTGGCTGTTTCAGACGAATGGAATCGACTGCTGCCGGATTATAAGTACACTCAAGCAGAAAATTTCTTGGGTTCGAAATGGAGTGGTAAGCCGTGTGGAGAAAGTCAGATGTCTTCCGGCGGTAATTGGCATATTGGAAGAATGAGACTTATTTTGACATGAGCTATTTGTCGTGACAAATAGCCTCTGGACTTCACACACTCCTCTTACCTACAATTGAAAGAGTTAGGACACTGCAAGTTTCTTCTAGTTTCATATTCACTTTAGTCAATATACACTGAACTAGCAAACATATAACACGATTCCAAGATTCTCTTTTGGTTACATACACACTGAGTTTACTTCTTCGTGATTTCAACTACTCAGGTCACAATGAGGCTGGCTAATAAGGATGCACGATTGGGTTCTAAATGCGCTGGAGATTGCCAGAGCAAGCTTAAACTACCAGCATTGGTTGATTGATCGGCAAAGGCTATCCGGACAACTGCTAGGAAGGAAATCATCTAAGAAATCTTCATTATGTTAAGATAATTCTAACGACTATGTCAGATTCACAGGTTTCGATAGGTGTAATAGGGTCTCACGAAACTCGAGGCTTGTTAATTTCAATATAAGCTTGATGGTATTCTGAGTTCGAGTGAGAGAGAGTAGGAAGCAAACGTAGCGGAGTCCGAATTTATAAGATAACCTGTGTGCAACGGTATGCACCATCACACAGCATCTTTTTCATTTCCAGTCTATTTATTAAGGTAGGTCTTTCCATTCTATCGTGTAAGAAGTGAGGATCTATCGTCTATTCGTCCACGCCTGCACACAGATATGCGGAGTGGGAGAGGGGGCGATGATTCCAGCTGAAAAATAGGTGTGCGAACTCTTGCTTTATCTCCAAGCATTTTGTTCAATAAGTTGGAAGATGATCCTATAGCATATCATCTTCATATACGCGTATTGAATTACTCCCACAAGCCTCTTCAGCTATCGCTAGTATTAGTTACAGGTTCTAAGATACAAATTCCTCGACACTCTACCTATTTTCATACAGAAAGGTAGGATCGAGAGTGCGCCAAGTGAATATGCAGAGCGGATTACAGCCTACATAATGTACATGGGAATGTGGAGTAAGTTAACTGTGTAATGTATCACCAAAACGTGCATCTCATAGCTAATAAAATGCAGGATTGCATGCACTGCATGGCTAATATTGAAGGTCTAGGCGGAAAAAGCAATTTATGTTCAGCTAGCCAGTAGCTTCAATTATTGATGAAGAAGACCTCTTACTGTATTACGTCAAGATATACATCAGCGCAAATATGACTCTGCTACGAGCTATGTCTCATTAGCGAAAGGTGATTCACGCATCCATAAAGATGAAGTTTGGGTATGATATGCAAGTCAGTTACAAAGCCTCTGGGTACTGTAGTCCAGCAAAAATGGGCGATCAGCCCTGACCCAGATTAAAAGATTGTTCGGTAATTCACGCGGAAAGACACGGAAACGAGGGCAACCATTCCACTATCTCGAAGTGGCTTAGTATACATCGACGTTAGGGTTCAAGAAGCAATCAATTTGGAACAAGGGCAGGTGACCCCGATTTTAGGCAGTACTGTACCAATACCAAGCGATTTACTTTCCAATCATAATCCGTCGCATATTCAGCCCTAGGATGCACCAGGTGGACGCTAGCACGAGGCCAAGGGGCAGAGGTAGGACACGGACTCAAAAGGATCGTACTCCGTACTACGTTGGGGATTAGTATAGAAGCTGGTCAGGGGCAAAGTAGAATTACATGTTGGCATTGCAAGTAACTCGTAAAATATTAAGAAAATATGTAGACGGCAAGGTAGGATACATTCCAAAAAGGTTACGGGCGCTGGAAAGATGGAAAAGGTGCAAAGCTGTCATGGTTTACATTAAGGTCGTGCTCAAGCCACCAAGCGAGCTTCACACAACTCCGAAGCTATCCAGGAAGCCCAAGAAGAGTAAAAAAAAAGGAATATGTATATAAAAAAGCAAAAACGGATAGTCATATCCAATCAGAAAACAATAGTTCCAAGGTAAATCACCAAAAGCACTAAATAACACAGTCCACTCTTGACATCACCTCCAATAATCACTTCGGTTTATGCGACAACTGCGCCGGGACTGGACCATCAAGATCCAATTACGTGCAAGGGTGCATCACTGAAGAGATCATTTAAGCCAGGACGAAGGCAGCGATGGCAGCGAAGCCAGCGAAGCCAACGGAGCCGGAGAGAGCACCAGCACCGTTGAAGGCGGGGGAGGAGGTGGAGGGGGTAGCAGAGGCAGTGCCGGAGGGGGAGACCTTGCTGCTGGAGGGAACGTGGGGGACACCGCCGCTACCGCCGTTGCCAGCGCTGGAGGTGGCGGAGGGAGTCACGGTCGAGTAGATGACGGTGGGGATGCAGGTGGTGATGGCGGTGACCGAGGGGGTACCGACGGGGGCGACGGGGCTCACGGAGCTCACGGAGGGAACAACGGAGGGAACGCCGGAGGAGACAGCGCTGCTGGAGGCAGGAGCGGTCCAGGCGGGGGTCTCGGAGGACCAGACGGGGGACTCAGAAGAGCCAACGCTGGAGACAGCGGGGGCGCTGCTGGTAGGGACAGCAGGGGCGCTGGTGGTCTGGGCGGGAGTGCCAGTGGGCTCAGCACCGGAGTTGCCGGGGCAGTCGGTGACAGTGGGAGCGCAGGAGGTGATGGTAACCTCGTCAGTCTCGTAGACGGTCTTGTCACCACCGGGGGCGGCAATGGCAAGGCCGGCGAAGAAGGCAACAGTGGCAGCTGTGAAACGCATTTTGAATATATGTACGGAAAACCGGGTGATTGTTCAAAAAGGTTATATAAAAAGCGTAGCTTTTGTAGAAAGAGAGTTGGTAGTTGGTAAAGAGTGGAAGACCGAAGTCGAAGAGAGTGACTGGATGCTATGCAACGAAGTGTGTACTTAGAGAAGAAAGAAAGAAGGGAAAGGAGGGGAGGCAGGGGGCCTTTGTATGAACGGGGAGATTAGTGTCAAGATCAGCACAACACGCTTTGCCCCTAAAAAAGGGGAAACACTGTTCCTGAGTGTGTACTGGGTACTTCACTGACACTACATCCACACCGTATCCTGGTAGGTACCGGTTACTCGGGCTCTGTGCTTTGTCTGTTTCGCCATGACCAGATGAGTGTAATTTTGGACTAGTGTGGGCTAGCGTGGTTCTGGTAACGCCGATCGCGCCATTAAAACTGGACATTGAGACAGGATGTGACAGTACAGGTCATGGGATCTATAGAGCCCTGATATCGAGTACACTGCAATGCAACCTTCTGTATACATCTGTTGTCTCGACTCTTTTCCTAGGGTAATTTGACCGTTTCTGCCCAGCATAATAAACACAATGACGCTGTTTCAGACCGCACCGACGATCCACTACCCGTTCCTGGCGTCCCAGTTGCAGTTCCCCCGTGGGTCTCTATCTGACTCCACTTACCCCTGAACAGCCCGCGAATGTGTTTTGCCAAGAACCGTATTGTGCAAGGGCGAATCCACGATGATGTGCACTTTACCTGCGAAATTGAGGTCGGTCCTTACTCCGGATGTTCATCTCAACAGGGAACCAAACACTCTGTGGCTCTATGACTGGTGCTGCGTCTGTCGGAGCGAATCACCGAGACATGGTATTATTACAGTCCCTTTACTTTCCTTTCGTTACGTCGTGTGGAGCACTAATAATGGGACTGTGCTGTGTCCTCCGGGGCACTGAGTATATCGTCGACCGAGATATTGTCTCGCTTTGTTAAATCCCTACATGTACAATAATAGAAACACAGTATATTTTGCAGGATAGAACTGCTTATAACTATCGACGCCTTATACCCACACGCTCTCTGTCCATATATTAATTAATTAAGCCCGATAAATCCGTAAGCGAAGAACCCTCGTCCTCGCTCCATGATCCAATCCCCCCGCAACGGGAAGGTCTCATGCGCTTTATGGCGGAACAACGGTTAGACCGCATTATGTACCTCCGCGTAAAGTGCTTAACGAAGCTTACTCGTGGGAGCCCCCTTTGCCACCCGGCTATGGGAAGTATGCTCAAGAGTATGAACATGTACTTTGGAAATTAAATCGAGGTCTAGCCCACCTTATTGGGCGTGTCCCTGGCGTGGCGCATTGCAGTGTAATCTCGTTTCGGTCACACCAGCAGCCTGGCCTTCTGGTTAATGGGGCTTAGAGCGTTCAATGTGGTTGGAAACCTGGCCTATTGCAGAGTATCAATGCGTTGTTGTGTCGATCTTCATCCTGTTCCTGAGTCGAGACCTCGGATCAGGCACTGGAAGCGGTTCGACCACCAGTCAAGAGTTAAGGCTAGCCTCGATTCCATGTATGGCGTTTAACCAATTATTACTTAGCCCGGGTTTGTCGTCATGATTGTGGTTGTTTTCTTACATGTAACCAAAATCCGGGATAGGGGTTACATCTAATAGTTCAGCAACAAAGCAGTCCCTGAGTCCTCGTGGCGCCCCCAGACTCCACTTGCCGCCAGTGAAGGTGAAGTCTTGCCCCTTTTTCAATAGATCGGTCGGGCTTGACTGTTGTTTTCTTATCAACCCCATACTTGTTTTTGTACTATGTTTAGCCTTCTTTTCTAACTTTGTGGAATAATTATTGGTGGGGATATCTGATACGTTTGTTTCTCTAGATGATCTTACTGTATGAATAGGGGATGTTCGTGCGATAATAATAGCTGTGGACCTGGACTTCTTCCGAAGTTCAACCTTCCTATACAGTGTGTGCTATCATCTTTCGAATTGTTCTCCGGTAAGACAGTGTGTCTGCTAGAGCCCATCCCTGATCCTCAGGGGCAGTGGCTTGCTTTGCCAACTCACCGCTCATTCAGCATTTCAAGGCTAAGGAAATATATTGCACGTTCACGTCTTTTGTTCAATGTGTTCGATATGAATGTGATCACCTGCCAATGAGAGCGTGATTGACCCAAGTGGACTCAATTGCGTGCTGTTCAATGCTTTCAAAGAATATTCATGGCTCACCGAAAGCACTCACCCCAACTGAAGACTAAACAAATATAACTATGACATCCCTAACGTACAGCGACACGCGACAATATTTCAAGACCATGTCATGGTTCGACCTCGAAGCCACAATCACGTCTAAGCGACTTGTGACTACGGAAATCCATCTGATCGCTCCATAATCAGGTGTCAAGCAATCCCGCCGAACGATCAGCAACAACGCGTCATGTTTAGCGCCGAGACCACGAATCGGCGGCAACAAAATTGGAGCCGCGGAATTATAGTTCCCAAATAAACCTGTACTCGCTAACATTCTGCCCTTTTTATCTTGGTCTTGATGGTGCAATGTGTGACGACAATGTGACACGGAGCCAGCTAAGTACCGACATGTCTTTGGTCAATTAGGTACTTTGTGCGCTGCCTTTTGAATAACACGGTGCGGATTTGGATGATATCGAAGGCTTTCACATGAGAGACTTGGTAGCATTTTTGACTTAGGAGCGAACTGCTTAGAACTCATCGCAGACCCGGTTCAAGATTTTACCTCATCTCACACGTTTGTCCTAGGCTGACAACAGGCAATTGATCAATATTATAGAAACTGTTGCAGACCATAGATGGTTTTCAGTAAATATACTTTTGTGATAGCTTTTTTGCTTCTGCTCATCGACGGCGGGGGCGGCTATTCAGCGGTCTGTTCACATATATTGTACTGTACATTACCTGCACTCTCGGCTTACCGAATCTCCAAATCGGCTGGAGTACGATTCGGTAGAAGATTTAACAGGCGTCTCTGATGAACCCAAAGTTGTGATATCACAGCCACATCCATGATCGACTGTATATCAAACTTGACCTAATCGGGACTGACCGATTTTGAGTCAGACCAAAATAGACGTGTATGTAACTAGAAGCATTCTTAACCATTTTCCTGATCCAATGTCCAATACTATGTATTTTTGCGATTTTCAAGGGCTACAGTGTGCTGTACCGAATTTGCTTGACCTATGATGACATCGGATCCATTGCGCGGCCTGAGATGTGCCTTGGCTAAGCCACACCCAAGGGATATATATCTCTGACTTCATGGTCCCTCAAATGACATAAGTCCTATATAGTTTTCTGATACATCGTTTGTGATTTAATCCCAGAAAGATTGTAGTAACCTTGGATTGGACGTACTGCAAGGATAACAGTATGCAGGGCGAAATATTAGGTGAAGTATAAGGCGAAGTATATGGGCAAGTGGAGAAATGAGTTGGCAATGATGTCGACGCCACACTGTTCTGGCTGCAAATGTGCCCAGCGGGAGGCAATTGCGGCTCCAAGGCAACAATATATCCGATGTTTCTATACTCGAGTTGGTAAACGCCTATGTTCGTGCTTCCGAACCATGGCTCTGAGCACTCAATCTCTTCACTTCTCTTTCAAGTAAATATCAATTTGTTCAATTTGTTCAATATATTCAGATTATCCTTAGAATAGAATAGAATAGACAACCGCGATCGCCGTGTTTCAGCTGAAGCGCCTTCTGAAACACCGTGGCCCCACTGCCCGTAGGACCCGAGTCTCTCGGCTGTGTTGCTCTATTAATATTCAACTGGTTAGATGTCATATGTAACTTAGTACGTACTGTGTCAAAGATCTTATATAGGTGGAGTGGAAGGTCACCTGCTCTCGGCAACCTCGCAACTTCAAAGGGCCTTATCTCTTACAGTGTACTCCGTACTTTTTCCCTCTTTACCCCACCTCTCTCTTTCTCTGCCTTCCATCCAGGACTCGCGGTCCGTCGACGCTGTGGCTACTCTCGCTGATCCGAACGAGTTGTTCTTGCCTGGCGAAAGGCAAAACAATCTCGCCATGTCATCCTCCGTCCCTCTCCTTCGACCGCCCGTCCCTGGCGCCCGCAACAACAACGGCAGCCCGCGAGCTCCGAAGCTCACGTTAGGCATTCCCCCTCTCCAAGCGCCAAACCTGTCAATGGCAACGGCGCCCCCGCTCCAGCGCTTCAACCTTTGCCTCAACCTCAACTCCAGCGCCCGGCTGGGCGACCTGGACGACCAACACTGCAACTGTCGACTCCCATGGGCAGTCAGCAGAATGTCTCCCAACAGCCAACCCTCATGCCGAATGGACGACCAGCTCCGCCCCCGCTGAGCACGAATGGACTCGGAGGTGGTTCCAGTTTGGAGGTGAAGACCGTCGGACCGGCGTCTGCAACCTCTGCCAATTATTCGTCAGCTAATAATCTCTCCATTCGACAATCTGGCGGCGACTCATCAGACCCTTCGTCGGCGATTGGTTCGGTGTACTCAGATCGCGATGGTGTGTCGATGGAACGCGAAAACAGCGTGAATGGACTCCTTCCCGATCTGGATAAACTGTCTTTGGAGAAGGGCCGGCCCCTCGATGTTGATGACCTCGATGATGAGGGATGGCATGCGGCCAGTGAACAGGACAAAATCGTCGAGTTGGGTAGTCTAGGCGAAGGTGCCGGCGGGGCCGTCACCCGATGCAAACTCAAGGAGGGAAAGACCGTGTTCGCATTAAAGGTATGTCCTTTTGGCGAGTCGAGAATGCGCCCAGCGAGACTAATGCGTCTATTTAGATCATTACTACAGACCCAAACCCCGATGTCAAAAAACAGATTGTTCGTGAGCTCAATTTCAACAAAGATTGCGCCTCCCACCACATCTGTCGCTACTATGGTGCTTTCATGGATAAGTCTACCGGCACAATTTCCATTGCCATGGAGTTCTGCGAAGGCGGCAGTCTCGACAGCATTTACAAAGAAGTCAAAAAGCTTGGAGGTCGCACTGGAGAGAAGGTTCTCGGCAAGGTCGCCGAAGGGGTCTTGAATGGGTTGACCTACCTCCACAGCCGCAAGATTATCCATCGAGGTATGAACTATGGTGCTCTCATATGATCCAGTGACCGGTTAGCTAACTTCGCATACAGATATCAAACCATCCAACATTCTCTTATGCCGTGACGGCAAAGTCAAACTCTGTGACTTCGGTGTTAGCGGTGAATTCGGTACCAAGGGTGACGCCAACACCTTCATCGGCACTTCTTACTACATGGCTCCGGAACGTATCACTGGTCAATCATACACGATCACATCCGACGTGTGGTCTCTCGGTGTGACTCTGCTCGAAGTCGCGCAGCACCGATTCCCCTTCCCTGCCGATGGGACTGAGATGCAACCCCGTGCAGGTTTAATAGACCTTCTCACATATATTGTCCGCCAGCCAATTCCCAAGTTGAAGGATGAGCCGAACAGCGGCATTCGTTGGTCGGACAATTTCAAGTACTTCATCGAATGCTGGTGAGTGTTCCCTGGAAGCCGGTCTACTTTATAATACTAACTGGAATCCCAGTCTGGAAAAAGAACCTCCTCGACGAGCAACTCCCTGGCGGATGCTGGAACATCCATGGGTACTGGACATGAAGAACAAGAAGGTCAACATGGCAAACTTTGTGAGGCAGGTATGGGATTGGAAGGAGTAAAAACCGAAGGATCCCACCGAGACCTCCCAGTCTCGCATTGCACTGCATTTTTAGTTCCACTTTTGAGTATAGGTGGCTGGATCCCTAAGGATTGACCTGGCTGTCAACACCACTCAAACGACCCATTCGTCACGACTCATCCAATGCTTTTTGTGCTTTCCGCTTCTTTTCCCTCCCGGGCCGGAACTCGCGGAGTCTCGACAACTTTCTCATACCCTATCATACCATCCTGCTGTTTTCTCCATCTTCCAGCGACACAGATTTCATCGCCAACGCTTCACCTCCTACGATCCTTTACGGCCTGACTCTCCCGCATTGCATTCCTTCCAATATCCCCATCCCTCCGTGGTGTCTCTCTCCCTATCTCTCCTTTATTTACATTACATTACCTATTCCATTCTCATTCCCTCCCTCCTCTCTCTCTTCCCTTATCCATGGGATGGACCCCCTCTCTTTCCATTTGCTATTCTAGTTTCTGGTTTCTCCTTTCCTGTGACATTTCGAGCCTGGACATATCGGTCATCTTGGTATATGGCCTTCTTCTTTTTCCTTTACGTGTATAGCGCTCTTCCCTTGGTTCCTGTGTCTGATTTAGGGTTTTACTTGGGGTCATCTTTGCTTTGCATCATCTTTGCTTTGCACTGGATGCGGGAGTGTATGCAGGGCATTGGAAGCTTCCTTAATACCATTGCATCTGACTTAAAGTTACGTCGATATAATAGTGCGTAGAAGCATACACAACTTATACCGTGGCTACCTACCTGTGATTTACATGTCTACGAGGGATACACAATAAAGCCTCCAAGGAATCTTTCTTAAGATTACATATCATATCGTTGCTATCATAAATGCTACATACAGCCCCAATCTCAATCCGAATACGAATTGTAGAGCGACGAAACTATATCCGTATCCAACCATCAGGATCTCTATCTCTCTCCTCCTTAGACACATATATGCCTACCATGTTACTTGTTCACAGGATCAGCACCCAATACCCACCCAATACCACTAACCAAACCACCAGTCACCATATTGCTAACCATATCCCTCTTCCGAACACGGCTCTCGCTATCAGGCGACAACGGACGATCCCCATCAGCCGCGACTTTGAAATTCGAATTCGAACCTGGGCCCGAAGCCGTTGAATCGGCTGCTCCACGAAGTGGGAAGGCGTTCTTATGCAAGGCAAGGGCTGCACCACGCGCAACTTCGAATAGACCCATCGGCGCCTCGTGGTGCGAACTCATAGCTGCACGGGCACGTGCACGACGTGCGGCGCGTTGCTGCTCGGTATCGAAGGCGTCCCGCTCTGAATCCGAAGGTCCGAACCCGCCTGGGACGGATGAGAGGGTGTCGCCCTTTGTGTCCCAGAGGTCTTCTTCTTGTTGTTCGCGGGCGCGGAGGGAAGAGAGTTCTTCGTCGCAACGGCGCCAGGCACCTAGGATTTCGGGGAGGGGGTCTGGGGAGGGGACGAGGACGAGGGCTAGGGAGAGGAGTTCCATTCTTTGGGAGAGGTGGGTGATTTGGGATTGGAGGGTTGGGGGTGGGTTGACTGGGGTTGTGGAGCGGTAGCGGCCGGCGTTGTAGACGGCTCGCCAGGAGATGTCGTCTGGGACGGTGGGGGTTGTGAGGAGTGGGGAGGAGGTTGAGAGGAGGGATGGGGGTGTTAGCCTGGTGAGGATGTAGGAGTAGGCTGTGCCGAAGTCGTTTGAGGATAGGGCGGAGGCGATTGCCAGGGAGGTGATGCGACGTTCGGCTGTGAGGAGGATGGATTCCTCTGAAGGCTTCTGGTGAGATGGTTCATTCTCGGCTTCAGCTGTGGTGTTTGTGGGCACGCCTGCGGCTACTAGGTTGCGCCCGATAGATAGGAGATCATCCAGTTTGGTGTAGCTCTTTGCATTTTGCTCCAGGACCTTCTCAATCAATAGAAGAGGGTCATGGTGAACGCGGATGCTGACAGGCTGGAAGGGGACACCATGTTGGAGAGTCAGGGAGTAGAATGAGAGGGCATGGGTCGCGGCGATGAGAGCATGGATCTGTTTGAATCCAACAGAGCCGGGGAAGTGTGGTTGGAATGCTTGTAATCTGGACGGTTGTCAGTGCCATGCTTCGTAATTTCTCGTACAATAGCGCTTACATGTCGTAGGCCCTCTTCATTCCTCCGCGGGTTCGGTTGCCATTGCTTGCGTTGTCATACGCAGCGAATATCGCATCTTGGACCGCCAACTCCACTTGGGTTGCACTCAGTGGTGCTGCTTTGGAGTCGGTATATAGGTCCACGGCCAATTGGTGTTCTGGGAATGGTATCAGTATCAATAGTAAACAGTGATGGTCGGTGAACTTACCTCTGGCCGCCAATAGAGCCTTCAGGATTTCTATTTCCACCGTGTCACGCGGAATCCTCCAGAAAAGTCCGTGGTAAACTGAAGGTTCATCCCAAACCTCTGACTGTTCCGCCTGCCAATCTCGAAGCCAAAGCAGCCGTTCCCGGACCGATAGCCATTCTTGATATGACCTGGGTTGCTTCACGGTCGAGCTGACCACGCTCTTAAGCTCTGCCAGTTGCATCTCCTCGGTGCTGTGAAGGCACATGTTTGCGGCAACACGACAGGGAACCAGATGACCAAGTTCGGTTAATATGCGAAGGGAGATAAGTAAGGCGCTGAGGAATGAGATCGATGGAGGCGACGGCTGAGTAAGAGGATTTGTCGGTCTCAAGAGGGCGTTCTGCAGCAGCGATGCCCGGGAGGTCGAGGAAATGGAATCGGTATCATAGTAAATAGATGGCAGCACAGAGTCAGAGCTTAAGTATAAGCTTTCCTCTAGGTCGAGCAGCTTGGCAACACGCTCCAACACCCTGAAAGAGCCCTTTAGCACAGCCATCGAGGAATCCGCATGCGCATATATCACAGAAAGACCGGATTGGCCGTATCGAGTCTGCAGTTCTTTCGCTTTTTCCTTCGACATTTGTGTACCGGGTTCTTCATACCCCCCAAATCGACATCTGACGGTCCATCCCATTGTGTGAATGCGCCCACAACACTGTCATGGTCCACAAGACTTCGTGAGAGGAGCCATTCGTTCACGTGTTCCCAACCAGCCAATTCGGCGGACGGAGTCTTTGAAGACCCTTCGATGAAAGATACTGAGTTCTGCGCAGCAGCCTCGTTGAGTCTCCGCCGTTTCGATCGGTTACCGCCATAAAGCCAAGGTCCAATTAGACCTCTCAAGTTATTAACCAAGTCCATGCTGCTTCCCTCGGAACTCATCAAAGACAGGAGAATGTTGACAGCCGTCTGATCGTCCATAGACTCTAAGATCTCAAGTGATATTGTCTCGTCGCGGTGCGCATAGTATTCATAATTCAGTCGAAGCAATGGTAATAGGCTCGAGATTAGCCATGTTCGAATAATTGGCGAGTGTTCGTAGAACGGCAGAACGAGTTCGAGGACGAGTGGCTGGAGTGCTGTTTCCGAGTCGATCAGATGCGCCCGATGTATGATAAATTGAGTCAGCGGATCTGCGGAGGCGACATCCTCTTCCTCGTCGGGGCGTTGTAGTGGTCGTAGATTAAGCTTCCGTACGCGCTTTCGGGCTACCGATTCGGACAAGTCTTGAACGGCCGATGTATCAAGCGATCGGTCTGCGGGCACAATATTGGAGCTATTGGCTAGCTTTTGAATTACCGAAGTGTAGTGAGAGGGCTCTGTACTCTCCGGGAGGAAGGTCAGGATAATGCGCAGGAGGCGTTCCAGTGGAAAACAATGAGGAAACTGCGCCTGTAGAACGGGCAAGTCGGCCACGTTGCCACCTGCGCAGAGGATCGTGGCTAGCAGGATAGCGTGCGCGTCTGACAACTCGAGAGCCATGATCTAAAGAGTCGAGACAGTGTGAGGTGGCCTCATAGTAGGTGACGGTGTTGCATACGGCGGGGCGCACAGACCAAGTCGGAAACGAAAGGGAAGAGTCGCATCCGTCGGCCACTTCATCACCACCTTTTTCGCGGTCTCTGTGCCTACCACCAGTTCAATTACCTCCTTCTGCACTTCACAATGGCCTCCGGTTACGGTCTCAACGGCGGTATGTGACATTTCGCCCTGTTCCCGAGGGACCTGCCCTGGTCCGCGGCCATGAGCCCTCGGATCACAACATGCGCAGCCAGTTACCTCCCCCGCCAATGAACACGGCTAACACACTACTGTGGCTTCTAGGTCAGAACCGCTGCTACCCCTTCTGGCAGGAGGTCCTCGGTTGCTACGTGGTCAACTCCGGCGAGGGTGAGGCTGGCAAGAAGAAGTGTGTGCCCGCCCTGGAGGATTACTACGAGTGCCTTCACCACCGGAAAGAGGTAAGGACAATCCCCGATCGATATTTTTGCGCATTCGAAATGCAAGAACTAGGTCTAATGGAATTTCATGACAACAGGCTCTCCGTACTATGAAGATGCAAGCTGCCTATCGCAAGGCCGAGGCCGCACACCCGCGAGAGAACGCCCCCAAGGCCGAGCAAATCCGCAGCCTGGGCCTACTTGGGAAGGAAGAAGAGGCAACTGCTCTGCTGAACCAACGGTGAATGGGAGGGTTGTGCTTGTTCTTTTTCAATGCCTGTTATTCCGTGTTTCCGCCCGGGACTTTTGCCCGGAGCCTGTGACTGTATAGAAACGCTCAACTGCTCTTGACCATCAGGTCTGTTGGTTCGAAATGATACTCCAATTCGATGACAATCGGTCTTTCATCCTGGTGTGTTAAACTCGTGATATGAGTCCGGGGTGGAAATGTGACAATAGGAGACGAGATATTTCTAACCCCATAAGCTTAATTGGCAGGCTAGATATATAGCCTGGCTGGGTGCAGACAATCACGCTCTGTGGTCGGTCGTTTGTCCCTAGCCGCTTCTCCCGGTGCTCTTTCCTGGTTTTCCCTTTATAAAGTTTGCGGGATTCTTCTCCTCCGCCAGCGACCTTTGATAATGGGGGCATGAGAGTCCTGGAGGATAGCTTCAGCCACCTACTCGTAGTCAGCAGCATCCTTGTAGCACATGTATACATGTATACGCTACGTATATGGCTGTGTTCCGCCTAGGCTCCATCCGCTCATAAGGTGTCGTCGAAGTCACTGCCCTAGGCAGGTCTCCTGGTACAAGTAAAACAAAGCTATTTATGTGTCTGGGCAATAAATTGACAGATCTGAGCATCCAATTAGAAAATTCTAAGCTTTATTGGAAAAAAGGTAAAGTATAAGCATGGCGTGCATGGATCTCTCGATCTATATATTTGCAGCATCACCATACCCCGTGTACTGTATATATATAATTTGACAGTATATCAATATCAATGATTATAACGAGTATAAGATCACATTTGACCATTTAATATTTCGGATACAAGTCTTGGAAGATATCTTAACTTTATTCAGCATGCAGTAACTTAATTCATCAAATGTTTCTTCAAAGGTGCAAACATTGCGAAAATTGCGAAAAATTGCAAACCATCGCATACATTGTTGATCTCTGAAACCTCAGGTGATCTGGCATGTGGCATTTTTGACTCCTTGAAATACCCATATTTCGATCGCACTCTCTAATTCATACATCATTTCGATCTTAATGAACGCGTCTGTCACGTGATGACCCAGCAAAGAAAAAATCGTCGCGCTGTGAGTGGAAGCCCGCCCGCACTAAACCAAAAGCAGCCTAGCGTCAGCAACCCAAACATGGACCAGCGCGCCGGGCAGAAGCACCCCCAATGATATAAACCCGGCTGCGTGACCTCGACCCTTCTCTACTAAAATCTTCCCTTTGCTGACTAAGGGCGTTAGGCGTTCCTGGCTTCCCTTCCGCGCTTCACTTTACGTTGCCTTTTAAGTTGCCTGATTGGAATTCGGTTTTGGCTTTGGATTTTTTTTTTTTTTCCCACCCCAATTGCGCCCTTCACTCGGGTGAAAGAGTGAAGGCCCGCCATGGCTTCCCGGTAAGTGACCGCCAATCACTACGCGTATGTCACGTGATACTAATATAAGCCCCAGCCTCGACCGTCTCGTCACGTGAGTTTATATCTGGTTGGGATGTAAGTAGACTACTGACCACCATCTAGGCTTCTCGAGACGGGCAGTACGCAGTTGATTCGTAATACAGCTGCCCAACAGCTGGCGGACGTTCAGAAACAGCACCCTGATGAACTGTTCAACTTGCTCGGGCGCATCCTGCCTTATCTCAGATCCAAGTCCTGGGATACAAGGACAGCTGCCGCCAAGGCGATTGGACTGATCGTATCGAATGCAGATCCGTATGATCCAAATGAGGACGACGGTCTCCAAATGAAGTCGGCCGCAGAGCACGACGATGTTGAAATCAAGTCAGAGGTCAAGTTAGAAGAACCCATTCCGAGTGATGGTCTCCTCAAGTTGGACACCTTGGATATCGCTTCCGTATTGAAATATGGCAAGCGGCTCCTCGGTAGTGCGGGCAAAGAGTATGAGTATTCACTCGCATCCATGGAACCAGCAGCCCGATTGCAGCATCAAAAGAAGACCTTGTCTGCGCGACTCGGCCTCCAAGGCGAGTACGACGATGATGAACTCATAGAGGATATCGACCTTGCCCCTAAGGTGGTGACTCCCGCTCCCAAGCGCGAGCCGGAAATTGCTCCGGTTTCTCGCCAAAACAGCGTGCATGATCCTCCCTCTCGGCGGCCCTCGTCCCCGAGCGAAGCCGCAATCAAGGAAGATGGTGGGTTGAGCAAGCGACAACTCAATCAACTCAAACGCAAGAACAAGCAAAATGCCAAGATGGGAGCTAACAAAGTTCGTGTTGTGGATCTGTCTTCAAAGCGCCAGTCTGAGATTGTTGCGACCCCTGTGGCCACTCCCCTCCCCGTCAAATCTGAGAACGACAATGACCAGAATGGCGAGACAAAACCCGACTATTTCTCTCTTGAGCGCGCCGAAGATGACGATGACTCCAAATTGGTCACAGAATTCAAGGGACCCATTGTCCCCGAGCGACCTCACATCCAGCCGGAGATCGTGGAGCAAGGTGGTGGATGGCCATTAGAGCACATGTGCGAATTCCTGACGATGGACATCTTCGACTCAAATTGGGAGGTTCGACACGGTGCAGCGATGGCTCTGCGTGAAGTGATCAGGGTCCAGGGCATTGCAGCTGGTCGCCTGGATGGGAAATCCCGCGAAGAAAACGATGCCCTCAACCGCCGGTGGTTGGATGACCTCTCATGCCGGCTACTTTGTGTTCTCATACTGGACCGATTCGGTGATTACATTTCCGACAACGTGGTTGCCCCTATCCGGGAAACCGTGGGCCAGACCCTAGGTGCCCTCCTTTCACATCTGCACCCCAAGTCAGTCCGATCATCCTACCGTTGCCTTTATCGTATTATCATGCAGAATGACCTAGGGTTAGATCGCCCCATATGGGAGGTCTGCCACGGTGGCATGATCGGCCTTCGGTATCTTGTTGCAGTCCGAAAGGACTTGCTTGTCAAGGTTTCAAGTATGATGGATGGCGTCTTGGAGGCTGTCATGAAAGGCTTGGCTGATTTCGATGATGATGTTCGGGCTGTCAGTGCCGCCACCCTTGTCCCCATTGCAGAAGAGTTTGTCACATCTCGGACTGGAACTCTTGGTCCTCTGATGAACATTGTCTGGGACTGTCTTTCCAACCTACAAGATGATCTCAGTGCTAGCACCGGTTCTGTCATGGATCTTTTGGCCAAACTGTGCACATTCTCCCAAGTTCTGGATGCAATGAAGGCGAACGCCGCAGATGACCCAGAGGCTTCATTTGGAAAGCTGGTTCCTCGTCTCTACCCCTTCCTCCGCCATACCATCACCAGTGTCCGCTCTGCCGTGCTTCGAGCTCTCATGACATTCTTGAAGCTAGAGGGCGAAGGTACCACCGACTGGGTAGATGGCAAGGCACTGCGGTTAATCTTTCAGAATCTTCTCGTGGAGCGCAATGAGGGTGTCTTGAAATTATCTATCCAAGTCTGGTCGGAGCTGCTCAAGGTTGTTGAGTTGCGTGGCTCATTCGGATCCGAGGCCGAGCTGTCAGAGTCAGTCCAACCTTTGGTCACCCTGACTCTGGGCGCTTTCGGTGTCCCACGATACCCCATCCCCATGAACGCATCACTCTTTATCAAACCGTCCGGCGTACCATTCTGTGCTGCTCCTGCTCCCCCTCCCTCCAAATCCTCTCCTCCCCTCGCCACTCCCGGCGTGACCGAGACACCCAAGCCGGGACGCAGACGCAAGTCAGAGAAGAAGGAAGCGCCCCCTCCATCAGCCCACAACGTGGATGGCCATATGCTGTCCGGTGATATCGATCTCGTCGGTGCCGACACCATGCTGAGATCAAAGATTTATGCCGCCAAGGCATTGGGTGAACTGATTTCATTCTGGGACAAGTATGACCTTCCAAGCCTTTGGCCCGCGATTTTGGACGGCTTGAAGTTCCCTGCTTCAACAACACAGCTTTCTTCCGCAATGGTTATAGAGGAGTATGCTCGCCGCTCTGGATCAGAGAGCAAACACACTTCGACTTTGACAGACCATCTCCGACCTATCCTTGAAGGCGAGCGTCCATCCTGGTATGTCGATATTGCATGCTACCTTCATGTAGCTCGCGCTCAGTGCCATTCATTGTTGAACACGTTTCGCGACCATGCACATGTTGCACCCTCCCGACTGCCCACATTGGCTGTCGTCGTACAGGGCGACGCAGAAGCCGGACCCAATGCCTTCTCTCTGGCTGACGCCGAGAAGATTGTTGGTCCAGACTTTGACCGTCTGAAGAAGAACTTGACACCCGCTCAACGTATCACTGCTACTCAAGTATTAAATGATACCCGCACCAC